AAAGTAAATCTAATTCCTCTTTCCAGTATCCTGTCTTTTATTTTGCTCTTTCTTTTTCTTACTTTCAAATTCTCTTCTCTTACTCTGCTTTTTAGCCATTTTCTTCTTTCGTGGATTAATTTTATTCCACTCTTTATTGTCTCACTTTCTTTTTCTCTTCCTCTCTCTTAACCTGCGTTTTCAGTCATATCCTTCTTCCTTTTATCCTACTTTTTCTAGTCTTACTCAACTACTTTCATTCTGCCTTCTTTCTCCTTTTATCCTAATTTTTCTAGTCTTATCCACTACTTTCATTCTTCTTTCTTTCTCCTTTTATCCTACTTTTTCTAGTCTTATCTACTACTTTCATCCTGCTTTATCAGACACTTTCTTAATTCATTTTCTTCTTTATTATACTCTTTCTTGTCTCGCTTTCAACTTTTCAAAAAGTTCAGCTCACTCTTCTGGTTTCTTTCTTCTTTCTTATTCTCCACTTTCTCTATAATCTTTTCTTCTAATCTAATTCTATCATCTAAAAATATATTGAGGAAGAAATTTACAAAGCATCTTTACGTTTTATTTTCTCGTCATAATATTCACAAGTTTGTAAATCAATGCTGTAAAAACAATTGCAGAATGAGTCCCATTTCATTGATAGATTTTCCTACATTCTTTAGTTTTTGGGATTCTTTTACTGAGTTTAGATTGGTAGGCGTTAATTCCTAGATTAGAACTGAGGATTGATTAATCCTGAGATTTGTAGGTCTGATGTGTTTACATTACACTGGAGAAACCTTACTCAATCCATACACCTGAGCCTACTATACCGGAGAACAACTGGTCAATAACAAACCTGGTTTAATGAAGAGAATAGGACTATTAAAGGAACTGTTCGCGTAATTTTAAGTTACCCTCTATTCCAATATTTTAAAGATGACATTGGCCGATTTACAAAGGTACCATGGAAACTGTCAGTTCTCTAGATTTAAAAGTGTTTAATTCTGATAATTCCCATATGTTTGCTGCAGTAGAAATGCGCAATTGACTTTGTAAGGAAATTACAATTGAAAATGATTAGTTTTTAAAATAATAAACTTTGATCATTGACCAGACAAAGCTTTTAATGGTACTGTTGTAAATCTGGCATTGCCATATTTACATATCACCATAGTTTTAGTAGAAGTAAATATTTCCATTTACTGATAGCGCCGATTGAAGGATTCATAACTCTGATTGGATAGTGAGATAGATAGAAAGATAGATGTTACCGCCATACTATTTCTATTGGTTCAGAATAGACATCAAACATATGTCCAAACCCTGATTGGATCAGGCGCTAATGAACTCTTTTTTGTCCGAATTGTTGACTGATGAGAGACGTGGGTATTGCATAATTTCTTGTGAAACAGCTAAACTCTCCGTCAGGGATTTTTTTAGCTCGATAGAACTGATGAATAAATTCTCTCCATTAAAATAACATTTCAGGAATATAAAACAACTTTATATGATTGAAATAATCATTTGCACGATCAAAATCAAAATCTTTATCACAAAATTGTACAAAAAGAATCTAAAAGTTTAATTTGTATATGTTTGATTACTGAATAAAATATCTTCACTTACAATAAAATCTGAAGGATTACACTAAAAATGTGCATATATAATTACAGTAAAAATCTGTATGATTACAATAAAAATCTGTCAAATTACACAAAAATGTGTATGTTACAGTAAGAATGTGTATGATTACAGTAAAAATGTGTATGTTACAGTAAAATTTGTATGGTTACAGTAAAATTTGTATGATTACAGTAAAATTTGTATGATTAAAGTAAAATTTGTATGATTACAGTAAAATGTGTATGATTACAGTAAAATTTGTATGATTACAGTAAAATTTGTATGATTACAGTATAATTTGTATGATTACAGTAAAATGTGTATGATTACAGTAAAATTTGTATGATTATAGTAAAAATTGTATGGTTGCAATAAAAATTTAAACGGTGATCTGATTGCTTTGAATCAATGCAATTCTCAAGGTTTTTATTGCAATCTTACATATAAATATTTCTTTATTCTACAGGTTGGCTACTTCTTATCGGAATAAGCAATAGCGTCTTTGCCACAAACTCTGATTTTCTGATCTCTATATCATTGTCGTAGACCTTCGAGATTTCGAACTATGTATTTTGTTAGATCAAGTCATCAAAATTTTATATATCCAAGGTTTGGACGATCAGGTTTCAAAGTTAAAGGGATTTGAAAATTTGAGTTTGTGGCAAAGACTCCATAACTTTATGAATAAAAGCCTGTCTCGAAAAAATTATTGGAAATTTACATTTCCAAACCCAATTTACTTTTTATGTTTTTGTATATGATGAATGATACGGAGTCCTACCCCCCTCTCCTCTCCTGGTTTCTCGGGTAGAGCACTAAACCTTCTCCCGGTTCATTCCTGGCCTCTCACAGTTCAACCTTACCTCTCCTCTACTCTAGTATTGTCTAATCCTTTTACTCTCATAGTTCAACCTTACCTCATCTCTACTCCAGTATTATCAAAACCTTATACTCTAATAGTTCAACCTTACCTCTCCTCTACTCCAGTATTATCTAAACCTTATACTCTCACAGTTCAACCTTACCTCTCCTCTACTCCAGTATTATCTAAACCTTATACTTTCACACACAGTTCACCCTTACCTCTCCTCTACTCCAGTATTATCTAAACCTTACACTCTCATAGTTCAACCTTACCTCTCCTCTACTCCAGTATTATCTAAACCTTATACTCTCACACACAGTTCAACCTTACCTCTTCTCTACTCCAGTATTATCTAAACCTAATACTCTAATAGTTCAACCTTACCTCTCCTCTACTCCAGTATTATCTAAACCTTATACTCTCATAGTTCAACCTTACCTCTCCTCTATACCATTATTGTCTAAACCTTATACTCTCATAGTTCAACCTTACCTCTCCTCTACTCCAGTATTATCTAAACCTTATACTCTCATAGTTCAACCTTACCTCTCCTCTACTCCAGTATTATCAAAACCTTATACTCTCATAGTTCAACCTTACCTCTCCTCTACTCCAGTATTATCTAAACCTTATACTCNGAACTGTTTACAAAGTTCGGCTCCTGGGTTAAAGGAACTGATCACCAAAGTTGGCCCCTTGGTTAATGAAACTGTTTACCAAAGTTTGCTTTAGTTTTAAAGGAACTGTTCACCAAAGTTTGCTTTTGGGTTAAAGAAAATGTTTACAAAATTCGGCTCTTGGGCTAAAGTACCTGTTTACCAAAGTCTGCTTATTGGATTAAAGAAATTGCTTATTGAATTGTGTTTAATGATAAAAAAAACACTTCACAAAATTTCGATTGGTGTTTTAAGAATTGTAAACAAAGAACTGCTTTTGTGTTAATGAAAGAAAAATATTTGTTTTTTTTCAGAAGCAATTGTTTTCCAGTTTTTGGGCCTTTATTAATGCAATTGTTTATCAAATTAAGTTTTGTAATAAACCAAACTCCATTTTGTAATAAAGGGATTATTTCCCCCTATTCTGGAAGGGCAGAAACGTACAAAGAGACTGAGTCTTGCAACAAATTAAAATTTTACTATCCCTATATCTTTACAACCTGTTAATGTAAACCTTTGATGTTTCAAATCTAATTATTTGGTAAAACATAATTAAAAGTTTGAAATATCAAATGTCAACGACATTGGGTTGCAAAGGTATAGAGTAGAAAATCAGTCTGAAATATTCTGCGCTGATTTTCAACGATCGATCTCGATATCCATTGTGGAAATTTATAAACGAATATAGTCTTTGCCACAAACTCTGATTTTCTAATCACTATATCTTTGGAACCAAATTTTGTGGACCTTAGATATTTCAAACTATGAGTTCTGTTAAATCAAATAATCAGAGTTTGAAATATCAAAAGTTTACAATATCGGGTTTAAATATTTGATTTTGTTACAAAGACTCAATTCCTTTATCTGTAGCATAAGTTGGAAATCAATGCTTAATCCCTAGATTCAAAACGCTAAAGTTTTGACTTCCGGATAAATAAATATACCGGATAAATAAATATATCGGATATATAAGTATACCGGATATATAAGTATACCGGATATATAAATATACCGGATATTTAAATATACCGGATATATAAGTATACCGGATATATAAATATACCGGATATATAAATATACCGGATAAATAAATATACCGGATAAATAAATCGGATATATAAGTATACCGGATAAATAAATATACCGGATATATAAATATACCGGATATATAAATATACCGGATATATAAGTATACCGGATATATAAGTATACCGGATATATAAATATACCGGATATATAAATATACTGGATGTACTCAATGATATTATATCTCAATAATCACAATGATTTATCTAAATCTGTGAGAAAGAAATTATAATCAAAAACCTCCAAGCAGTTTTTGTTTACTCAGATGTAAAGATGTCGTCTCATGCACAATTTATCTTCATCATGGTCTATCTCCGACCTATGTCTGTCGACAAAATGTCTAAGTTCTTCTAATTATAGTATTTATAATATTATCTTGTTCCAGGCTTAGCTGCCAACCCAGAGATAAGAATATATCCTTTGCCAATTTTACTCAGATTATTTTCATCTCTCCTCGTCCTATTGGGACAGTTTTGAGAGGGACAAGGAGAAGAGATTAATCGCCACCCTGGAATAACCAGGGCGAGATGCGTTTGGCTTCTTCTATTTGGAGTCAATCGTGTTTTGGTCTTTAATTCAACAATACGGAGTGGACATTTTTTACTTTTTCATTTAAAACGCATGCATATGCCAAAAAGAAAATGAGAGAAAATGTTATGTCTAATTGCTAGGATAAGGATCTAATTGATAAACCTGCGTTTCTTCCTGACTCCGTGTCCATATACCAATAGATATATAGGACCAGAAGAGGGACAGTAATATTTTTTTTATTTTTTGTTCAAATTTTCAGATAAAAAAATGATGGTTCGAAAAAAAAATCTGGAAAGAATTGTTCAAGGAATTCTTCTTCTTTCAGTTTTCAACTTCTCCTCGCATAAAGGTTAAAAACTAATTTTTCTTCATTGTTATATGAAAGTGAAGAAAGTGAAAACCAGAAAACTGCTGAATAAGAAGACGACATTAAAGTAATGATCAAGTGTATTTGATCTTGTTTCACAGCAATATAGTTTCAGTTGTAACTTATTAATTAACTAATTAAGTGAAATGGATCTTTTTACACTGCACACTGCTGTGTCTCATGTTCATTAGACTGTTTAAAATCATAATCACTGTACGAACACAAGTTTCTGGTTCTCACTGTACGAACACAAGTTTCTGGTTCTCACTGTACGAACACAAGTTTCTGGTTCTCACTGTACGAACACAAGTTTCTGTAGTCGTAATTTCACGTGACTCTCCATTTGGAGAATAGTATTTACGATTCACAACGTACCCTTTCAACCTTTGGCTGATTAAGCATCTTGACGACGGAAATATCTCAACTTTCTAGTGGAAAATTGAGTGTCATTGGTATCCATGTGACGTCATTCGAACGTCGTGTACAAAATACACTGCAGTACATACACCCGAGTTTAATAAAATATATTTGTGAATTCCTTGTGAATCGGACGTGCCACTTTGTTTAATGAGGGACACTTCAAAGTTCATCTGCAGTCCCTTAGAAGTATATTAGAGTTTTTAACTATATCTAGCTTGAGATATCCTTGGTTTGTTTATTAGAGTTTTTAACTATATCTAGCTTGAGATATCCTTGGTTTGTTTATTCGAGTTTTTAACTATATCTAGCTTGAGATATCCCTGGTTCGTTTATTAGAGTTTTTAACTATATCTAGCTTAAGATATCCCTGGTTCGTTTATTAGAGTTTTTAACTATATCTAGCTTGAGATATCCCTGGTTTGTTTATTAGAGTTTTTAACTATATCTAGCTTGAGATATCCTTGGTTTGTTTATTAGAGTTTTTAACTATAGCTAGCTTGAGATATCCATGGTTTGTTTATCGAGTTTGCTCTTCACAAATGTTTGCTCAAATGTTTGAGATTGACTTAAACCAATTTACTCATATCATATCATCTTGATTGAATTAACATACTTTTAAACTTAAACAAATATTTTTGATAATATATAATAATAATAATGCTTGCTTAAGAACACAAAGAATGCAAGAAGTAAAGAAATTAAATATATTAAAGTTTGTCTGAGTTGGGACCTTTTAAATCAACGGACCTGATTCAAATTAATTAAATGAGTTAACGTCATTATTTTAACATGGTTAGCTTAACTTGTCTCTCATTGGTCAAATATTGTTATTTTTACCCTAGCCCTAGGAAGGAAAACCATGACTTTAACTCATTTGAATCGATTTAAATCTTTACCGTTCATTCAAAAGATCCCATCCTTGATCAACGAAAAGCAAATTAAAAATAAAAACAAATCCAGAGATTTCAAAATATGAATAAAACATAGATAATTGTCCATCCTGAGATTTTCTTTTCAGAGTTGGATTTGCTGCAGGCGATCTCAGTTCCTTTTGATGATCCGAAGCATGTTTATTTTGCGGAGGGTCTTCATGGTCTCCATGCATTTGGCCTAAGAGCAGGTTAGTTTTTAATGGTTAATGGTTTTTAATTGTCGGATTTAATTAATACAAAGATTTTGTCTGAATATTTTAAGCCAAAGAAAAACTCGAAATTATTCTTCAAACTTAAATTCAAAGTATTTGAAAGGTTAAATATTTATTTATTTAGTTAACATGCAAACTCAAGATTTTACGTACGAGACTTCTTTAGTTTGTGCAGACGTTTAATCAAAATTTCTCTTTTCAGAAACATCGGATAGAAGTAAAAATTTGATTTGGATTTATTCAATTCACAATTCAATTTTCACAAGCACTGCTGACAGCAGTAGATATTAAAATTATTGGATCAGAGGCCGACTTCAAAGAATTGGTTCCAATTGAAATTATAATCCGTGTTTTGAGATTTGAGCCGGCGCTCAATCGAAACTGGTTCTGGGCGGTTCGACGACGCGGTTCGAATTCTTTAAATTCGAGCTTAGGTTCTGATAAAATTGAAAGAACTGCATTTTTAAATATATAGATGCTATGAATTAATAGTAACAAATAAGGAAATTAAAGGCAGTGTGTCTAATGTTGGGCATCAGTTTATAAATATCAGACTAATTGCAAATATAATTCTTCAACTAACTGAACCTTTAAAATTTTTTTGAAGTATTAAACTAAAATAAAATTTTGAAATGTCTAGGATCTGATCTGAGAACTCCACACTCTCTTATTTTCCCTCCAGTCATGTTTGAAAATTTTGCAATCCTGGCNATCCGACCTGCTGATTCTTGGGTAATCCTGGCAACCATCCGACCTGCTGATTCTTAGGTAATCCTGGCCACTATCCGACCTGCAGATTCTGAGATAATCCTGGCAACTATCCGACCTGCTGATTCTCAGGTGATCCTGGCAACAATCCGACCTGCTGATTCTCGGGTAATCCTGGCAACTATACGACCTGCTGATTATCAGGAATCCGGGCAATTATTCCACCTGCTGATTCTCAGGTAATCCTGGCAACTATCCGACCTGCTGGTTCTCAGGTAATCCTGGCACCTATCTGAGCTGCTGGTTCTCAGGTAATCCTGGCAACTCTCCGACCTGCTGGTTCTCAGGTAATCCTGGCAACTATCCGACCTGCTGGTTCTCAGGTAATCGTGGCAACTATCCGACCTGCTGTTTCTCAGGTAATCCTGACAACTATCTGAGCTGCTGGTTCTCAAGTAATCCTGGACAATATCCGACCTGCTGGTTCTCAGATTATAAGAGTTATAAGTTTTATAGAGAAAGATCATTTTAGGTTTTTAGATGAAAAGGTCCTAGATTCTAAGGTTTAGATGGAAAAATCTTAAGAATTAGAAGGAAAGGTCCTAAGATTTAGAAGGAAAGATCCTAAGGTTTAGAAGGAAAGATTCTAAGGTTTAGAAGGAAAGATTCTAAGGCTTAGACGGAAAGAGCCTAAGGTTTAGAAGAAAATATCTTGAGGTTTATAAGAAAAGATCATGTGGAAGGATAATTAAGAATCTAATTTTAAGAAGGAATTATCCCAAAGTTTAGCAAAGTAATATTCCAGGAAAAGGGGTATTTTTAATAGAATAGCTAAGTCGTGTTTCTAAATCTTTAATTCTAACAATATTATTTATTTTCAGGGTGGATTCTTGTTCTCTGTTGTATCTCCGTTTGATTATATTGTTAGCCTAGGTCTGAGTATAACTGCATCATCTAGTTTAGGCAAACAGGTAAAAGGAACTGAGTTTTTGTCACAAACTTTATCTTTTTACAACCTGATGGTGTACACCTTTTGATAGTTCTAACTAAGGCTATTTGATTTAACAGATTTCAAAGTTTGAAATACCAGGTTGAAAATATATAGGTATCAAAATTTAGACTTTGTGGCAAAAACGTATTTACTTTGCAAATATTCATAAATAAAGATCAGATTTAGAAATAAAATCAAAGCTTTTTCTCTCAATAATAAATCTACAGTGATACACAATAGGAAGGCGACATTTTAAGCAATCTTCTGTGTATTTTATGTTGTTATAACTATAATATTTTATCCATAACTTGGAAATCTATTTCTTAATTTAAATGGGTCTTTGCACACTGCATAATTGTTTTATGTTCAATGCGTTTATTTAAATCATATTTTGTATTATTCAAATTCTAATTTTGAAAAGTTAGTTGAACATCTTATGGATTTTTAGCAATAGTTCATAGAATTTTAAACGTCTTTTCTCCACTCAAAATTTCATAAAGTTTAAAAACTTAATCTGCAATTGGGTACTTAAAGTGTTTGTTTAAACTAAACCTATCCTTTCTTATTTTTTTACTTTGATTTTAGTTCTACAATCTTTAAACAGAAATGAATAAAATTTATTTTCATTTCAGACTGCTTCTCTTTACCTCTCTAATGTTGGTAAAATGAAATCTAAACCATTAGCTGAGTTCTCTATCCCCTCGCTCCCCCTCTCCTGGACTGCAGTTGCTCTCAAGGTTCAGGCCAGCATGGTCACACTCTTCATTAACTGCCAAGAGGTTCAAACCATAGCTGTTGCTAGACCTCAGACTGTTAAATTCGATCCTGCTTCTTCTCTATTCATTGGTCAGGTGAAATCAGAAACATTAGATTCATTGGTCAGTTAATTCAGTTCAATTATTTTCATTGGTTAGTTTGCTAAGTTCATTTATTCATTGGTCAGTCGGTTTATTTCAATTTCATTGGTTAGTTTGCTTAGTTTATTTATTCATTGGTCAGTTGGTTTATTTCATTTTTATGTGTTAGTTTATAGCTGAGTTCATTTATTCATATATTGGTCAGTTGGTTTCTTTAATTTATTTTCATTGGTCAGTTGCGGTTCAGTTACTTTTATTGGTTTCATTAGTTTAAATTCATTGCTAAGGTTCATTTGGTTTCAATTCAATGTTCAGCTTGCTTCATCAGTTATATGAAAATGAAAGGAAATGATTAATTACTTAACTCATACTGTAATTTTATAATCCTTAGATCTTTGCAACACAATGTCGTTTACCTCTGATATTTCAAACTATGCAAGATCAATCAAAGTTTAAAATATCAAAGGCTTACACCATCAGGATGCAAAGATGTATCAGAAAATTAGAGTTTGAGTCGAGTGTTTCTTTATGTGTCCGGTTGGTTCAGTTACTTTAGATTCACTGTTCAGGATGGCTTATATAATTATAGGGTCGCTCTGTTACTTTTTTATTAGTAAATTTGTGTTTATTGCTTTAAATATTCAGTGATGAATTAAAATTATACCTAAGTAATTAATCTTGGTTTTATATTCAATGATATATTTACTCAGGGTGGTGGAAGACATATGACCCCCTGGGAAGGAGTAATCCAGGAGCTGAGGGTTAGTCCTAACCCTGATAATGCTGAAGATTATTGCCTGGAGAGCACAGAGGTTATTATGATCGACGGAGAGAAGAAATCTGGTCCTCCACTCTCAGTACATCATGTAGGACAGGTACACAGAACACAAACTATTCTCAGTACACCATGTAGGACAGGTACACAGTACACAAACTATTCTCAGTACACCATGTAGGACAGGTACACAGTACACAAACTATTCTCAGTACACCATGTAGGATAGGTACACAGTACACAAACTATTCTCAGTACATCATGTAGGACATGTACACAGTACACAAACTATTCTCCGTACATCATGTAGGAAAGGTACACAGAACACAAACTATTCTCAGTACACCATGTAGGACAGGTACACAGTACACAAACTATTCTAAATACACCATGTAGGACAGGTACACAGTACACAAACTATTCTCAGTACATCATGTAGGAAAGGTACACAGAACACAAACTATTCTCAGTACACCATGTAGGACAGGTACACAGTACACAAACTATTCTCAGTACACCATGTAGGATAGGTACACAGTACCAAACTATTCTCAGTACACCATTTAGGACAGGTACACAGTACACAAACTATTCTCAGTACACCATGTAGGATAGGTACACAGTACACAAACTATTCTCAGTACACCATGTAGGAGAGGTACACAGTACACAAACTATTCTCAGTACATCATGTAGAACAGGTACACAGTACACAAACTATTCTCAGTACATCATGTAGAACAGGTACACAGTACACAAACTATTCTCAGTACATCATGTAGGACAGATACACAGTGCACAAAAAATTCTCATCACACATGTACGCAGTACACAAACTATGCTCACTATGCTCAATACACCAAGTGGGACAGGCACACACAGTACACAAACTGTTTTCAGTACTCCATGAAGGACAGGCACTAAGTACACAAACTATTTTAAGTACACAATTAAGGTAAATGGTAAACCAGGTACAATAGCACAATTATTTCTTAAAAGATAATAAAAGACAAATATCTATATAGATTTGTACAAATACGTGATAGAAACCATTCCTACTAATTCCCTCAAGAGGTTTCCCACTCAAGCATCTATTGTTCTTTTGTTCTGAAAATATATGTCTGTGTTCAGTGTGTTTACTAATTATCATTCCTCATCTACCTTGATTACTTTTACAGGGTGTACAGGGACCTAAAGGAGATAGAGGACCTATGGGACCAAGGGTAGGATATTTTTAAAGTTTTTTAAAGAATTATATTATTCTATATAAAACCGATATGCTCTTCGATACTTATTTTCATAAAATGTTATTAAAATAGAAGACTGCAGTTTTAAGTTTTAAAACTTTGTAGCTCTTTGTAGTGAACTTATTTTCCATTTTTGGAGGATTAAAGATTATTGTTTAGGGTCCCCCGGGACAAAGTGTTCGAGGAGCTCCGGGTTTACCTGGACCTCCAGGGATTCCAGGAGTACCTGGAGCAACTGGACCTCTTCGAGAACATCAAGAGTTTGTTGTTGGAGAGTGTGGTTGCAATGAGAGTATAATTGAACGAAGTATTGTTAGATTAACCGATGTTCTTCCTAAAGGAGATAAAGGAGATTCTGGGAAAGAGGGTCAACCTGGTTTATCTGGACTCCAGGTACATGTTAAACTATAGGATATAAAGAATATCTAGAATAGGAGGGTTATTTAAATATATCAGGGCTCCATGTACTATTAAAAACTTTCAGATATATATCCAGGACAGACAGGTCCACGTGGTTTTATCATGGCTTCAATTATATATTTATGACATATATGACAGGAAGAATAACCCTTCTGTAAAACATCAAAATTATTATACGAAACATGCTCTTTTTTTAATTGTTATTGTTGATGATTTATTGAAATTTTATCATCTCTCTGTTTAGGGACCACCAGGCCCAGAGGGAGCCCAGGGGTCCAGGGGAATAAAAGGAGATAGAGGATCCAGGGGTGAACCAGGACTTACCGGAGCTCAAGGGGTTCCCGGAGATAAAGGAGAATCAGGACAGGACGGAGAACCTGGACGGAACGGAGAAGTAGGACCTCCTGGACCTCCTGGTCCACCTGGATTCATCAACGGATATGATGTAGGTTTATATCCCGGTTTATATCTGAGTCCAGGGACTTGACAATTTCCTTCAATCTTTAAAACGGAAATTATTTTGAACCCAAGCCCCCCCCCCCCCGGCCCCCTTTACTTTATCTAAACCCTCGATATATCATCTCCAACTAGACATTCAGGTTCTACTTGAAAGGATTAACAAAATAAGAAAATTATGCATTTTTTAAGCTCAAAGGATAAGATGATTTTGTTCCAAACGGTTTTTTAAAATTCATGACTAAAACATATTTGTGATTGAATAAATTTATTATTACAGAAATCGAAAGATGATACTCAGAAGACGTCTAATAAACAAATGTTTCCAAAATCCCGAAAAAAAGTTTAATACGTTCTTTCAAAAACTAATCTTTCAGTAAGTGTCCTTGTAAAATCTCTTATTTTCAATCAGTACATTCTTATTATCTTAACAAAGAAACTTGTATCGATTATTGTTAAGAAAAAGAAGTTAAAGTTAAAGTAAATTGGGGTTATACAGGGAAAACCAAGGTTTTTTACATTTATTCATCTTTTTATAGTTTTTTTTTCAAATGAATAATTTAAGCTTGAATTTCCATCCTTACATTTTAAAATTCAATTTAAGATAGTGGGTTCAGAGTTGTGAATATAAATATTTGATCATATTTAGTATGAAAATGAAAACAAAAACAAAAATGTTTGTGAAAAGTTTGAAATATGTGAAAACATAAATGAAATAAAACAAATCTGAAATGGCAAAAGCACATGTAAACCATTAATCAATCTTCTGGAGCTGATTTCCTTATAAAGGGATGCATTAGGCACCGGTTTCCCTCATAAAGGGATACATTAGGCACCTTTTTTCCTCATAAAAGGATACATTGGGCACTACTTTTCCTCATAAAGGGATATATTAGGCACCACTTTTCCTCATAAATGGATAAATTAGGCACCACCACTCACAAAGCTACTAAAGCTTCTTAACCGTTCTTAAAGTCATTAAAACTAATATTTCCGGCTGAAAAAGAACCCCTTCAAGAAAACGATATCCTTTCCTTTCAGGAGATTTTTTACGTATGAACAGATATTTTCTTTAAATGTTTTATTTTGTGCGTTTAAGCCCGCCTGGTCTCCGAGGAGCAGGATGATGCAAGACTCCGTCCTTGTCGGAAGGCAGGGTACATCAGAGAACATAAAACAGTCTGGTTCCCCTGGATCTAAAGGGGAGAAGGGGGATACAGGGAAGAGCGGAGAGCATGGAAGGAAGGGTTCAACAGGACAGAAGGGGGAGAAGGGATACGAAGGGAAGAAAGGGGAACGAGGAAGCCAGGTAATTTGTATAAAGTAGTAATCTCTGTTTTTTTAATGTCTGATCATAACTCAGGAACCAATTGACCTATTTGATTGGGGAGCTCGAGTAGGTCGACTTTAAAAGATAAAAAATAGTTTCCAGGCAAAGCTTGGTTTCCAAGTTAGTTTATCTATAAAGATTAAAGTTTTCCAGGATTTCAAACGAAAATAAAATGTTGATAAAAACTTAAGATCATAGAAGTTTTTCTCTCCCACATGTGCATTTAGGATTCCACCTCGTGTAGTGAAAGGTCGGGGATGACAGTTAGCGGAACCAATTAATAACACAAAAAATGTCCACGTAGAACTTTAAAGGGAGTGTTCGGCAAAAAAACGTATAACCACCTAAATCAATATTGCACTTACAGTAAGAACAAGAAAACTGTGGAACAGGAAGACGACAATCTTTAAATGTATTTGTTACAAAGCAAATAGTTTTGCCAGTATATCTCAAAAGTCTCATATTAAGTGAAGTTGGTCAATGTACACTGTACAATTTCTGTGTTTCATTTTACTGTACTATTCAAAATCATATCACAGTTTTCTGGTTTCTGTATGTGATTTTTTATGTGTTGAAACGGCTAAATTCCATTTTTCTTTATGGAAACCTCGAATAGAAATAAGTATAATACTAATCAACACCGTTTTCTCATCTAACAAACAATACCTTGTAGGGAGAGCTGGGGGCTACAGGACCCCCTGGTAACAAGGGAGATGTAGGACCAGGAGGTACACCTGGAGTACCTGGACCTACAGGAGCACCTGGAGTTTCAGGGAGTAAAGGAGACACAGGAGAACCAGGTAGGAATATATCTATTTCCTAAAAGGCACAGAACTGTATACTCTTTAATGAATTATCATTTATTGTAGTTTTTTTTTTCAAGAACTCATAAGAAATATGTTTTTATTTAAAAAAGTGTTAGTCCCGTTCTCCATAAGGAAAAACTTGAAAAGGAATTAGAGTCTTTGCCACAAACTCTGATTTTCTAATCCCAATATATATCTTTGCAATCCAATGTCGTAGACTTAAGTTATTTTAAACTGTAAATTATGCTACACCATCAGGTTGCAAATATATAGGGAATAACAAATTTTAGTTTGAGGCAAAGATTCGATTCCTTTATTCATAAATATTCCTAAATGATTAGAGATTTAACTCTACATTTGTGTATGTGTTTAAAATTTCCTTAAAGTTAGTGATTTAAAGCTTCATGAATGTAAATGAGTAATTATTCCTAAAAGATTCCTTACCACAAATTCTGATTTTCTAATGCCTATATCTTTTGAACCCTATGTCGTAAACCTTTGATATTTCAAACTTATATCATTTGATATAACAGAAGTCATAGTTTGAAATGTCAAATGTCTACAACATTGGACTGCAAAGATATAGGAATTAGAAAATCAGAGTTTGTGACAAAGACTCAATTCCTTTAACTTCATGAATTTATACACATATGTTAATGTTTCAAGTTGGTTTAAGTTGTTCTCTACTCTCTAGTCTCTAGGTCCTCCTGGGAGTATTCTTCATCTTAACACAACAATCCTCTCCGGTCTTAAACTTAAACCTGGAGAGAAGGGGGAGAGAGGGCTGCCAGGATTAAGGGGTAGAAAGGGAGACAATGGTATCCCTGGTATGCCTGGATTGAAAGGAGAACCTGGTCCCCTACCTGTCCTAAACATGACGGCCCTGAAGGGACCCCGAGGAGAACGAGGGAGGAGAGGGAAGCGAGGTCGACCTGGTCCTCCTGGAACTCCAGGTCCTCCAGCTCCTCCAACTATACCAGACTACTTTGATGCTTTTGGTAAGTGGAGTAAAGGAACTGATTACTCTCCTCATACATCTTCAAATTTTCTGTAGAGTCGTAAATCTTTGATATTTCAAATTCTGCTACTTTAAAGTCAAAGTTTAAATATCAAAGGTCTACACCATTCGTGTGTTTGAGGGAAGTCTTAAGTTCCTTTAAAAAATAGTTTAACGATTAATTTAATAAATATTATATTTTAAGATATCCCCTCTAACCCTGAGCTAAGACCTGAAATTCCTCTTCAAGTAGTTCAAGGACTTCTCCATGAAGACTCCTTCAGTGTACCCATTTCCGGATCTCACGGGAAACGAGAATCTGAGAAGAGTCCGGATATCTCTCACTGCTCCTCACCGCTCAGGAAAATGATCATATGAGAACATTAGATACGAAATATTTTCACAGATTCGATAGGTTGAGCGTAGAATAATTGTGAAACGTGCAAGTTGACAGAATTGATTAAATTGATAAATTTGACCTCGGACACTCTATTTAGTTTGACGTGAGTGCAAAAAGTTGGATAGATTAAACTTAAGCATTTCACTATCAGTCTTTGAACACATCAGTTTGTAATGCAAGTATTTGCATTAATGGATAGAGCTGGACATACTATCTTGTTTATAAAACTAGTTCTTAGGGGATTTATTAAGATTGAAATATAGAAGAAATAGAAGTATACGATCCAGATTGATTCACAAAAAAAATTCAGGATAGAAAATGTACCCATTTCCACTTATCCGTTAGCTTTTATGGTCATTCTTTAATAGTGTCGCTACTGTTGATAAATTATCGCGGCATTTCTCGATTTGTCCGCCTGGTACAGTCGTCTTCCTTCAGTCGGAGCAAACTCTGGTATTTAAAGTGGACGTAGGTTGGAGATACATAATGGTAAGGAAAAATTAAAAATTATGTCCTATTAAACTTTTTTATTTAAATGTATATGACATGTTCTGGGACCGAATTTGAGCTGAAGTACCAATCGCCGATTCAACTTCTTAGTAGTGCTGATTTGGAGATTAAATCTATATGGCATGGAAAAATCCTGAATCACTGATTCAAGGAACCGTTTTTAGACCTATCTCAAATTCATTAAATTCGGTCCCAGCAAGCAATTTATCCAGAAGAATTAAAGTGAATAAATAGAAAAATATGTGTCAATGTTTAGGCTGGAGGACTGGTGGAAAAGGATTCAGACCGGGGAAGGTTCAACTATTGAATATTCATCTCAAACATTGTACACCATCAGACCAAGCAGTACTTTCAGTACCCTTGCAGTTTATTCAGTTGGCTGTACATGCATTACTTACAATGCATATATTATACCTGCTGAATCTCATTATGTACATACCTGCGGTACATGAAGAAAATACGTGAATTACATGCTGCACATGCAGTACATTTAATTCTTTGTGTTTAAGGAATTAATATATAATGACTTATTTTATAAGAATGCTACATTATTTTGATACACAGGAAGTAGCTTCATGGTGTCCCGATAATTCTAGCAACTAAGCGAAAACTTTTAAATTGTCTTTGATCTACGTGACGACTTTTTTGTAAGCATTATTTGTAGTAGTTTTACACTTAAATTATTCATTAATTTAACTCAAAAAATCCTAATCTGGGATTTTGGTCGACCATTTTTGTAACAATTAGACATCCAATATTTCCGTAAAATTTATAAGAAAGAAAAAGTAGTTCTTATTTATGAAAACCATTATTATACATTCTTCTTCACGTATTGGAATAAAGTTTACAACGTTTTTTTGGAACACTCTCTTTCTATCTTTATTATGTAAGGAGTAGATAGAACTGAAATAACAGAAATATATTATCAATCTAATCGAAATATCAGAAACATATCAACCTAGATTGAAATACCAGAAACTGATTATCAACCTAGATCGAAATATCAGAATCAGATTATCAACCTAGATCAAAATATCGGAATCAGATTATCAACCTTGATCGAAATATCAGAAACAATTGTCACCAAGGACGAAATACTAGAAACAGATTATCAACTTAGAACGAAATACCAGAAACAGATTATCAACTTAGAACGAAATACCAGAAACAAATTATCAACTTAGAACGAAATACCAGAAACAAATTATCAACCTAGATCGAAATACCAAAAACAGATTATCAACCTAGATTGAAACATCAGAAACAGATTATACACCTAGATTGAAGCATCAGAAACAGATTATCAACCTAGATTGAAACACCAGAAACAGATTATACATCTAGATTGAAACATCAGAAACAGATTATCAACCTAGATTGAAAAATTAAAATCAGATTATCAACTTAGATCGAAATATACAAGGGAAAGATTATCAACCTATTAAGAAGAGAAAGATGATATTAAATAATATCAAATATTAAGAAACACATCAAAACAAAACTCAAATAACCTCGACCAACTTAATATTAATAAGAGACACAGAAAGAGACTTTCTTATTAATGTCATGGAAATATAAGTATAAAAAGCTTTAATTAAATGTCAAAAAAGTAACACAAAAACATATCTTACATTTGTAGCCATAACTCAATGTAATAAACAGAAGAATAAAAAGCCATATCTTAATGTCATAAACAGATAAGCCATGACTAAATGTCATAAACAGACATATAAAATGTCAGATCTAAATGTCAGAAATAGAAATACCTATAAAAAACTTCTTACGATGTAGGAAATACAATACTTTAGACACATGCAGTTCATGGTGTTAAATAAGGTGCCATTTCAAGTTCTTTATATTTTTTACTTTAAACCCGATAATTAACTGCCTTCATACTAATTACTAGTTTACCGATGTAACACTAATAATGCAGTAAAATGTAAAAAAGTGAATATTTTTTATTGTTAAACTGCACAAGTCTTTATTTGCTTTTATACTTCAAATGTAGAATTTAAATTTAATTCGATCAACACATATGTTGTATTAATAAAAATGTTTAATTGTAACACAATGTTCATAATTAATACTATTTTTATTCTCTAAGGTCGTAATTTTTAACGTTCGCATGATTTTTTATTTTTTTATTTATTTTTTTTGTCGAACAATAATTAAATTTAACTTTATATCATAATTAAAAGTAAAAGCAGTTCTGAATGTTCCAATTATTTCTGTCTTTACTGAAAATTTAATAAAAGCTATTTCCAATTCTTGAAAGTTATTTTTGAGTTCTTAAAGCACAGACGAGCAAAGAAATAATCTAGATTTATCCCGATAGAAAAAACTACTAGTTACTCTATTTTTCAAATATATGTAATTTTAAATGTTACTCTTTTAAATCGTTACAGTTACTGAAGCAAAAATAAATTCAATATTAAATAGTAAACATATACATGCTAATTTCGGGCACATCATTTTTTTAACATTTATAAATTTACAAAAAATCAAATTGATTTAATTTGGATTAGATGAGAGTCTAAATCCATTAAAATAATGTAACGCCCTTGATTAGAAATTAATATCTAAACCTATCCTGTAATATTTATCTTATCTTAATAAAATATTTTCGATCAATATTAGCAGCAGGAAGGGTTTATACAGAGAGATACTGGGGTTTTATATAGTTTTGGTATTTATCATTTTGTGTCTGGTAGCTGGTATCTAATGCTTATTATCTGGTATCTGGTATCAAATAACTGTTAACTGTTTTCTGGTTTATGGTGTCTTTATCTGTAGTTGGTACTAGTACCAGAAATCTGGTTTCTGGTATATGGTACAAGGTATAAGGTATAAGATATGAGGTATAGATATAGTATCTGAAGTCTGGTATCTGGATGAAAGAATAAAAGGATGGACTAGGTTAAGATCTATCTCCGGAGAAAAAAGGCCGGAGAAGATAAGATAGAAAAGAATCCTAGACAGCAGACACTATACTACACTAGGCTGCAGGGAGATAACTCCTTAGGGAACATTCACAACATTTTAAATCTAATAATTTATTCATGAACACACTACTTAACGATTCCTTTACTCATACTAGGAGAAAAAACTTGTTCAAACAATTTCCACTCCTAACAGTTTAAACTTGGATTATACGGAGTCTAGGTTCTCAGTGTACCTGGAGTCGATTATTCGGAGATCAGGTTCAATGTGTACCTGAAGCCAAACATACAAGTCCAGGTGTAATGTGTACCTAGAATTAATTATAGGGAGTCCAAGTTATATGTGTACTTTGAGTCAAGTAAACAGAGTCCAGGCTCTATGTGTACCTTGAATTAAGTATACGGAGTCGAGGTTCTCTGTGTACCTGGAGTCAAGTATACGGAGTTCAGACTCTATGTGAATCTAGAGACAAGTATATGGAGCCCAGGTTCTATGTGTACCTAGAGCTGAGTACAGGGAGTCCAGGTTCTCTGTTGCCTGGAGTCAAGTATACTGAGTCCTGGTTCTATGTGTACCTGAAGTAGAGTATACGGAGTCTAGGTTCTCTGTGTACCAAGAGTCAAGTATACTGAGTCCTGGTTCTATGTGTACTAAGAGTCAAGTGTACGGAGTCCAGGTTCTACGTGTATCTAGACTCTAGATTTAATTATACTAAGTCCAGGTTCTATGTGTACCTAGAGTGAAGTATACTGAGTCCTGGTTCTGTGTGCACCTAGACTCTAGATTTAAGTATACGGAGTCCAGGTTCTATGTGTACCTATAGTTAAGTAAACGGAGTCCATTTCTATGTGTACCTAGAGTTAAGTATACGGAGTCCAGGTTCTATGTGTACCTAGAGTTAAGTAAACGGAGTCCAGGTTCTATGTGTACCTAGAGTTAAGTATACGGAGTCCATGTTCTATGTGTATCTAGAGTTAAGTATACAGTGTCCAGGTTCTATGTGTACCTAGAGTTAAGTATACGGAGTCTAGGTTCTATGTGTACCTAGAGTTAAGTATACGGAGTCCATGTTCTATTTGTACCTAGAGTTAAGTTTGCGGAGTCAAGGTTCTTTATGTACCAAGAGTCTAGTATACGGAGTTCAGGTTCTACGTGTATCTAGAGTTAAGTATACGGAGTCCATGTTTCTTCATGTTGACCGGTGTGTCTGTAAGGAAGGATACTAGTGGAGCTAGAAACTGCTGAGTTGACGAATCTAAGGTTTGGCGTGTATCCAGGACACACAGGGTCAGGACGGAGTCCTCAAACATCAGTTTCTTGTCCTAGACGTGGGAGACGGAACAGTTACTCCGAGTACTACTATACTACCGCGTTAATTATGATGCAAATCAGCGTAAATTCAAACTGTCATCTTCATCTTGATACTATTTCTATGCAATGTTACACAACATTTCTATATTTTTTTATTTTTGTTGTTATCATAACTATATTTTTCCCCCGTTCTCCGTCAGCTTGAGTTATCTAATGGCATTGTCCTTGTTTATTATCAGCTATCATTTTTCATCTTATTATGCTGTTGATTCTCTTTTTTTGCCATTCATCCAAAATCTGTTTTGTAATATATTTTTTAATATTGTCATTCATTATCTGTTGTCATACATTAAATTATGTCATCCATTATCTGTTGTCAACTAATATATTATGTCATCAATTATCTTTTGTCACCATTATATTGTGTCATCCATTATCTTTTGTCACCATTATATTGTGTCAGCCATTATCTTTTGTCACCATTATATTGTGTCATCCATTATCTTTTGTCATACAGTGTGACATCCCTTATCTTTTGTCACCATTATATTGTGTCATCCATTATCTTTTATCATACATTGTGACATCCATTATCTTTTGTCACCATTATATTATGTCATCCATTATCTTTTATCATACATTGTGACATCCATTATCTTTTGTCACCATTATATTGTGTCATCCATTATCTTTTGTCACCATTATATTGTGTCATCCATTATCTTTTGTCATACATTGTGACATCCATTTAAGTGGAAATCCATTATTTGTTTTCATCCATAGTCTTTTGTCATCCATTATTTTTTGGTTCATCCATTATCTTTTCACATCCGTTATTTTTTTAAATCTATTTTTGTTATTAATGAACGTGATAGTTCTAGACAATATAGTTGAAACCTGGCGCGGCGTGATTTTTCGAAGACAAACAAATGTAAACATAACTAACAAGTTTGGTTTTATAACCTCTTGTCCGTAAAATAGATGTGATAAAAAGATGTTAAGGTCTACACATATAACCCCGCATTGGTTCTAATTATAATTTTAAGTACAGTGTGTTATTTTTTCCTTTTTTCATTATCAATCATTTTTTTGTCGATTTCGGTATTTCTACTTTCCCTTTTTTTAATTGAGAATTGTCATCATTGATTATTTTTCCAACGATCCTAAGTCGTTTATTTTTTGTGTAAGACATATTATTCCCCCCTGTATATTCTTCATACTTTACGTTTAGAAAATTTGGCAATTTCTTAATTTTATAACTTTCATTTTAATGGCAAAGTTTTTTTTTATAATTTCATAATTTTTCTTTCTTGTCATTATTTCAGTCTAAAAACGCAGTTCGTATCATTTCATTAAAATTCAAATTTTTTTATGAAGCTGATAATGTTAATTGAAAAATAAAAGGAAAACTGTGTTTTTATCTTCTCTGATAAAAGGACATGCCTTTCAGAATCTATTATTAATGTTAATGATGAGAAAATAAACGGATATCGGGAATGGCGGAGGTAATTTAGCTTAATTAAATATTAATTGATATTTAATGATTTCTCTGAAAAGTTTGAAAGAGGGAAGTTTACAGAAGTAATATAACTTGGTTTAGAATAAACCTTTCATCTGCAAATTTTTTTGACTAACTTAGCATGTGGGTCCAAGATTCCGACTACAATGAGAACCAGATAAAACTGAAATAGGAAGACGACTTTTAGACTCAAGTGATGGCTTGAAACTTAGTCCAATTAGAATGAAAAACGGCAATTGTGCAGTGTAATAAGACCCATTCCACATCATAAGTGATTCGACAAGTTTATAGTAAACCTATTTGCTTTGAAACAACAAAAAACACTCAATGTCGTCTTCCTATTCCACAGTTGTGTTGGTTCTCACTATAAAGACTAAATTCAAACATTTTTTTATGCTTATTAAGCAGTTTTTGAAAACAATAAATCCCATACAATCTCAACTAAGCAAATTTTGATTTAATATCTAATCTGTTTTTCTATTTTACAGGCGTAAAATACAAAATATGTCCCAAAAATTTCCTTTCGAAGTTGGAAAATTTTAAATGGTAACTAAGACTAAAAGCAAGAACCAAAATTAATGAATAGGCAGAAATAGCTGAACTACGTAGGTGGTCTACGTTGAACCACTTCTTTGTAACTTAAACCGGTGCACTAGAGAAGTGGTTGAATTAATAATATCTACGTAGTTCAACCACCCCCATACAACAGCTTGCTTCTGTGATAAACTGTCCACGCTGGGATTCAATTTTATTATTTCAATGGTTCATCTTGATTTCTTATTCCGTATGTTTATTGTCAAAAACTTATCTGTCGTTCATAATCCATCAAACAAAGCACAACGAACTTTGTAACCGTTGATTGAAAACGTCGAATTCTACAAAAAAAAGTAAAAAAAGATATCTGAGCACATGGACATTGACTGGATACTGTCCAGGTCTACGATGCAAAATATTCTAATCTAAAATTGACAAAAATTCCCCCCAAATATCGCAAATATTAATCTAGCCCAAGGTTGAAATAATAATCTATCTTAAGTTTGGAAAGATCTGGAAAGATTAATAGAAAATTAGGTAAATCAAATACAGCTTATAATGTTTACTCAATGGAAATTGTGTTGAAATATAAGATGGTAGATTATACAAATAATATTGAGAAAATTATGCATCAAAAAAACATGTACGGTATATGAAACATAAAATGATAAACTGTGCATAACATGTACTGTAAGTGAAACATGTACTGTACTTGAAACATGTACTGTACATGAAACATGTACTGTGCATGAACTATGTACTATACATGAACTATTACTGGTACTATACATAAACTATTAACTGTACAGTGTACATGAACCATGTACTGAAAATGAACTATTAACTGTACAGTGTACATGAACCATGTACTGTATATGAACTTTCAACTGTACAGCGCACATGAACTATGTACTGTATAGGATGCAGGTAGAAAGAAGTCTTTGACCCCGGTTGACCAGCAGCCTGGACCAACAGATGGGGAAACAGAGAAACAAATTGTAAGTTTTTCATCAATTATTTTATATTTGTCTTTAAAAAAATAGAAAAGTTGATCAAGAAATAGACTTTCCATTCATTAGCTTGTCTTATTTTATCTTCTTCAAAGGAATTGAGTTTTTGCCACAAACTCAAATTTGTTCATCCCTATATCTTTGCCACCTTTTGGTGTACACTTTTGATATTTTAAACCTAGATTATTTAATCTAAAAGAATCTACGACATTGAGCTGCTAAGATATAGGGCTCGGACATTAAGAGTGTGTGGTAAAGACTCAAATCCTTTGTGACCTTTTTGTTTTACCAACAAAGGATGAGACTTTAGAAAATATGCATAAAATAAATTCATCCTTTTTTCTTGCCATAATTGTTCCGTGCATCTATGTTTTTCTTCTTCTTTATTTGGCAAAATAAATTAGTTTATATTGAAACTTTTTTTTCAGTCGAACGACCAAATTCAATATGTAGTTTGTAATATTTCATGTCGTTATTAAATTCTAAATCTTTAATTCTTTTTGTTGGGCCCCCCTGGAGTTCGCTTTAGCAGTTTTTCCGCTCTTCTATAAGTTTAACTAAACCCTGTTTTTAGGATTGGGAGGAGACAGTTAGTACTCCGCTTAAACCTAAAGGAGGAAAGAAACCTAAACTAGTGAGTCCTAGTGATAAACATGCAACCTCAGAGGGAACCAACGGATTCATTACCTTCTCCGTGGAGGGAGATCCGGCTCCAGAGGTGGAATGGTTCAAGGTAGGACACATATTTTACTCCAGGTAAATTTTAGCTATAAAGTATTTTACTCCATGCTTCGGAGCTAAAAAGGTTCAAGCTAGGAAATTTATTTACTTCGATAGGTTTCGGAGATATGGAAAGGTTCACGTTCGGAAACCAGATTACTCTGTTTATGCGTAGGAGATAGAAAAGTTCAAGATAGGAAACTTATTTTACTCTGGTAGGTTCCAAAGATAGGAAAGTTCAATATAGGAAACCTATTTTACTCCGTTGGGTTCCAAAGATAAGAAAGTTAAAGATAGGAAATGTATTTTACTCCGTTAGGTTCCAAAGATAGGAAAGTTCAGGGAAGGAAACATATTTTACTCTCGTAGGTTTCAAAGATAAAAAGTTAAAGATAGGAAAAGTATTCTACTCCGGTAGGTTTCAGAGGTTTAGAACAGGAAACATATTTTACTCCAGGTCTGGATAAGATTCTCAACTTTAGATGCTGTTATTAATCTTTTTAATATTTGCAGGGATTCAAGGATCTATCTGTTGAGAGTAGATATAAATTCTGGACTTGTGGAGAGGACAATACAATCACACTTGGTTGTTTCGAGGCCAGATCAGAGGATGAAGGAGATTACAAGGTTGGATTTTCTATTTCTAAACAATGTTGAATATTTGAATTCTTTTCATTTTTGAAAATATTTTAACATATTACACTTCACGTTGACGTTATGATAAGTTCTATATAAATAGATTATTCTCGTTTATTTAATATCAACCTATTTGGTTCCATACAATATATTCTATACATACATACATTACAGTACATACACACCCTTTCATACATACATAAACCCATACATACAATATATTCTATACATACATACATACATTATAGTACATACATAAACCCATACATACATACATTATAGTACATACATACACCTATACATACATAAACCCATACATACATACATCACTACATACAATATATTCAATACATACATTATAGTGCATGCACACACTTTCATACATACATAAACCCATACATACATACACCTATACATATAATATATTCTATGTATACATTATAGTACATACACACCCTTTCATACATACATAAACCGATACATACATACACCTGTACATACAATATATTCTATACGGATACATACATTAAAGTACATAGACACCATTTAAAACATACATAAAACCATACATACATACACCTGTACATACAATCTATTCAGTACATACATTATAGTACATACACACACTTTCATACATTCATAAACCCACCTATACATATTTCATTTAAGATGTTACAGTAAGAACAACACCGTATGTATGTTCAGGTTTATAAATATACAGTCTATGCCAGTAATATATGAATTGTATGTTTATGTTTAATTATATATAGATACATTGTTATGTTATGTATATTTATACAGTTTATGATCAAGTTTATATGTAAGAGCGGAAAACTTTAGATTTATGGATATCGAGATCAATGTTTATTCTTCTCTTTCTTTTAATTTCAAGATTTATTTAATTTGTAGTTTGTTACAACAAAAGTGTTTAAAATTCAACCAATCGGGTGGAGTTTGGAGAAACCAAAATAGCCAATTTTAAATTTTGCGCGGCATTTAATGAGTGAACTTTCATTGGTCGGAAACTGGTAGTGCAAGAAAAACGAAAGAAAAATAATGGGTTGAGAAGGAAATTTAAATTATTCACATTGGATGTTCAGATTAAGCGATCGGGATTAAAGGGAGTGACCGGCTCTGTAAGGTAGTTGAACTGAGTGTTGTGAAAAACTACTATCGGATTCATTTGAGATATTTAGAACTTTTTAAAGATCTGTAAATCCTGAGTTTCAGCGCAAATTCGACGTTCAAAACTCCTACTTTAGGAACAGGTTGAGAAAATAAAAATTAATCTTATCATCGAAAATAAGTAATCTTGTTCAATAATTAGTTTCTATTTTCTCATTTTTCTGGTTTCTCATTATTCACAAAGATTTTCTGCAGATTTTCTGGAATATTATTGGAAAGACGACATTTGAAAAATTTGAAGAAATCTGCGAATAAATTCAAAGAAAATAAAAAATTCAATATAATGATGAAAACGAAATATGTTCCTAACCATCAAATTAGATTACTGTATAAATTTTACTTTATTTTTCGCCGTCGTTATTTAATAATTTAAAAAAAACTAATTCTGAAAACGTATCCACCCCCAAAGTAGTTTTGAATGTCGAATTTGCGCTCAAACTCAGGATTTACAGATCTTTAAAAAGTGTAATATGTCTCAAATGAATCCGAAAGAAGTTTTCCACGACACTCCATACTCAGTTCAACTACCTTACAGAGCCGGTCACTCCCTTTAAAGATATCCAATTCTAAAGTTTTCAGCTCAGAGTATATTTGTGTAGATATATGTACATACCTACAATATCTCTGTTTGGATGTCCGATCATAACTGAAGATACCATTGACCGCCGATTGCCTACGATTTTGATTGGTAGCACCATTGGTTTAAAATGTCTAAGTTGAGTGGGTATAAGCTGGGTTCCCAAGCTAGTATATTTTACAGTGCATGTTTTCTGTTTAGGTTGTGGTGAAGAATGAGCATGGAAGTACTGAGTTTGATTTCAAGTTCTATGTCACAGTGGAGGGAGGGATGGATTTTAGAGCTATGCTCATGAAGAGAAAAGTTAAACAGAAAAAAGTCGTCGTCAAGAAAATAGAATGGATCGAGGTAATTATTCTTGTAAAATAGAGACAAGGAATATGTAATAATTTTAAATAGATAATAAGCAAGAATAAATAAAGAAAGAAAATGAAAAAAGAACAAATAGTGGAAAATATAAAGAAAGATAAAAAGAAAAATAGAAAGAAAGAAAGAATCAAAGAAAGAAAGAAAGAAAAAAAGAAAAGAAAGAGAAGAAAAAAAAGAAAGAAAGAAAAAAGAAATAAGGAAGAAAGAAAGTCAAAAAAGAAAGAAAGATATTAAAAAATAAAAAATAAAGAAAGAAAGAAAGAAAGGAAGAAAGTGAGTGAGAATAACTAAATTAAATTCTTGTTGTCCTAGAGCCCTGTAGACTAGGAAGTGCAGCAGGGAAAGTGTGAGGAAGTTAGGAAGTGAGAATAATTAAATCCTTGTTGACCTAGAGCCCTGTAGACCAGGAAGTGCAGCAGGGAAAGTGTAAGAAAGTAAGGAAGTGAGAATAATTAAATCCTAGAGCCCTATAGACCAGAAAGTGCAACAGGAAAAGTGTAAGAAAGTAAGGAAGTGAGAATAATTAAATCCTAGAGCCCTGTAGACCAGGAAGTGCAGCAGGGAAAGTGTAAGAAAGTAAGGAAGTGAGAATAATTAAATCCTAGAGCCCTGTAGACCAGGAAGTGCAGCAGGGGAAGTGTAAGAAAGTAAGGAAGTGAGAATAATTAAATCCTAGAGCCCAGTAAACCAGGAAGTGCAGCAGAAAGTGTAAGAAAGTAAGGAAGTGAGAATAGTTAAATCCTAGAGCCCTTTAGACCAGGAAGTACAACAGGGAAAGTGTGAGGAAGTTAGGAAGTGAGAATAATTAAATCCTTGTTGACCCAGAGCTTTATAGACCAGGTTAAGTGCAAAAGGGAAAGTGTGAGAAAGTTAGGAATTGAGAATTTAATTAAATCTTTGTTGTCCTAGAGTTTTATAGACCAGGAAGTGCAGCAGGGAAAGTGTGAGGAGGTTAGGAAGTGAGAATAATTAAATCCTTGTTGTCCTAGAGCCCTGTAGATCAGGAAGTGCAGCAAGGGAAGTGTGAGGAAGTAATTATAAAAGCTCGGCTCTCAGAGAAGGAGAAGAAGGGGAAATGGTATATAAGGAATGCAACTACATTTAAGGTAAAATCTTTTAGAAAAATATTATTATTTTTCAAATTCTGCTCTAAAATATTTAATAAGATTGCTGACCTAATTTCAAGTAAAAAGCTACTATTATATAAATATTCTTCACTTGATTCTGTTGCCATAAATCTGCATGTCACCTTTAGAAATATGTCACAGTTGGAAATACTATATTTTTGCTCAGACGAAGGTTGAAAAGTTACCGTTTTGAATTTGACATGCCTCTCTTTTAAGTAGAGAGAGATCCACTTGAAATTTCGTCAACAGCCCCTTGAAGAGCCTAGCGAGGATTGAGGGAAAAAATTATATTATTCATATCGCTTAACATCACTAAAATTCGTGACATAGTTAAAAAAAATGTGGGAAACTAATTTACCTTGAAATCAGAATTTCGAAGAAAAAATTCGAAATTTCTCGAATCCAAGGATTTTACGCTTGTTAAACATAATTTTTAGATATGAAAATATCCTTGATCTCCTGGGTCGCTGCAAAGTTTACAATTTCAAATATTTTCTTACAAAATTAATCAAATATTTTTCAAGAGATGAAATCTGGGCGTTTAATTCATTTTCAACACTTTTAAAGAAACGTTCTTAATACCTACGACCATTGATTATTTAACAATTACAGACGGGACACTAGATGTCGTCTTTTCAAAATTTAGGGTTTTTTCGTTCACAATAGCCCTGAGGCAGAAGCCCAAAGGAATTCTGCGCAGGCAGCGTTGAATTACAAGTCAAAGATAGAGCATGCGCTACCTGCGCGAAACTCCTTTGGGCTTCTGTCTCAGGGTTATTGTGAACGAAAAACCCCTAAATTATAAAAAAGCCGACATCTTTAGTGTTCTATCTGTTATTGATAATTAAGCTATGTCTACTTTTGATTAAAGGAATATTGAAGATTTTTGAATTTTAGAAAATTCAAAGTTTTTGGTGAAGTTTGAAGCTGGCTTAAAAAATTTCTTTTTACAACAGAATTCTTGTCACTATATTTTTTAAACCTTGTCAATAGATATTCAAACATTATCAAAAAATGTGAACATCATGGATTATGCAAGGATACATGTAATATACTTCTCTGCGTCTTCTTTCCTTCACAAGAGAAATGAGGATATGACTCAATTAAGGTCAAAAAATAGTTTCCTAATATTTTAAAAGGAATTGAGTTTTTGTCACAAACTCTACTTTTCTAATCTCTATATCTTTGCTACCCAATGTCGTAGACCTTTGATATTTCAAACTATGAATTCTTTTAGATCAAATAATCTAAGTTTGAATTATATCAAAGGTTTACATAATCAGATTGTAAAGATATAGAGATTAGACAGTTCGAGCTTGTCACAAAAACTCAGTTCATTTGCGCCACTTTTCTAAAATAGTTTGCGGGTTAAACGCACATTCTCCAGGGTATGAAATTAGGGGGGGTGGACTGTAAACAAGATTAGATATTTATTATTTCTAGGATATTCGGAGCAGTGAGTACGGATTGGAACTGTTTAAAGGTGAGAAGTATGACTGGAGTTTCAAGGAGGACACCTATACCCTGGTGATCAGGAATCCTACTCCAGTAGAGGAGGGAACCTATCAGATAGTTGTCAAGGAACTAGATATGAAGGCATCAGGATATCTTGCAGTTAAAGGTGATGAAATCTTTAATGTTCATCTTTGTCAATTTTTCAAATAAGACTGTAGGATAAGAGAATAAGTCGTTAAGTGTCATTTATATAAAAAAAATATGAAATAATGATGAAATATTTTAGTTTTCTATCTGAAAATTACAATCTGATTTTTTCCAAGAAATTAAGTAATTAATTTACAAAACCTACATGAGCAAGCAAATGGCCGAAATGAAAAGTTTTATCCATCGTTTCAAGGATGAAACTTTTAAGTAAACTGTCGGAATTTGCTTCTCATTTATCCAAGGGTCATCTAAAATTAGACTAAAATCAAAGATCGAATTTTTTCCTATAACCTATTAATTTGTCTATTATTATCCATATTTTATAAATGATAAATTTTCTGCCTAAGAATATTACATTGTTTTCGATGCTAGGCACTTTTAAACAAATAAATCTGTGACCGGACATGATAAAAGTCTCGCGTGCATAATTATATATTTGCTGCAGCTGCGGACCCTGAGTACTGTTTCAAGAAGTTCTTGAAGGATCAGGAGAAAGGTTTAACTGCTCGTTCTCTCAAGCTCACCTGTCATCTGAATACACCTGGAGCTAGAACTAGATGGCTCAAGAATGGAAGTCCTATGACGGTAAATGAAGCTTTTCTCGTTTTTATTTGTTTTTTCTTAAAAACTTTCAATAAAGCTTCCATCATTTCAAAACTGTATTCTTAAATTTTGCTTTTATTACATTTTGCAATATTTTCAATCTAAAAATAAAATGGAAAAACTAAACAAAAAAACTATTGTCCCTTAATTCGAGTTGTCAATAGTTTGTTTTGTTTTCTAGAAATCATATTTTTCAAATATTATTATTTTTAGTTTGACAACAGGATAGAGAGGCAGGATAAAGGAGAGAAGTTAAGCCTTGTATTCCGAACCTGTGAGATGGATGATACAGGAACCTATAGTTGTGAGATCATGGAGTTTGTAAAGAACGGAGAGAAGGATCAGACAGATTGCTGGCTACAAGTCGAAGGTATCTACTTCTATATATTATAAAAAGAAAATTATATTTAAAAAAAACGAAAATTATGGAAGGACAAAACTTATCAGTGGTTTTAATNACTCCATCTTGTTGCATCTATGAGTTTGTTCTATGGCAAATAAAAGGCATCATGATCGCACGTTTTAAGCACCTATTTAAATTAGTCATTTTGCCACATCTTATTAAACATGTTAAACCTCTTTTTAAAGATTAGACTATAGACAAAGCAACATAAATCTGCATTTTACCCGTAGATACATTGTGAAAGTTAGATATTAACAAACTGATAAACCGATAGAAGCAATTTGCTCAGTTTTATACATTCATAACTAAAGTTTCTTAGACAAGATTTTGTAAACTGAAGATTTAATATTTCAGAATATCCACAATAACCACATACATTTACGATTAAACTAAATATTTAATATTTCAGAATATCCACATACTTTTACGAGTAAACTGAATATTTAATATTTCAGAATATCCACATACATTTACGAGTAAACTGAATATTTAATATTTCAGAATATCCACATACATTTACGAGTAAACTGAATATTTAATATTTTAGAATATTCACACACATTTACGAGTAAACTAAATATTTAATATTTCAGAATATTCACATACATTTACGAATAAACTGAATATTTAATATTTCAGAATATTCACACACATTTACGAGTAAACTGAATATTTAATATTTTAGAATATTCACATACATTTACGAGTAAACTGAATATTTAATATTTCAGAATATCCACATACATTTACGAGTAAACTGAATCTATATATAAATTTGGCTTGTCTGTCTGTCTGTTTGTTTGTTTGTTTGTATCCAATAAACGTCAAAACGGCTGAACCGATCGGGCCCAAATTTTTTGTGGGATCTCCCGTTACCCCAGGGAAGGTTTATGAGTGATGAAAATTAAAATAAATTGTGTTTTAAAGATTTTTAATTTGCAAAAAAATTTGAATTCTTGAAAATCCGCAAATTTTTTTTTTCTTTGTTTTGAAATGTAAACAAAAAGAACATGTTCACAATTTAAATAGAAGATGGGCGCGAGCGCCCTATAAGCCTAGAAAGAAGGGCGCGAAGCGCCTTGAATTTCAAGTATTTAATATTTCAGAATATTCATCCACATTTACGAGTAAACTGAATATTTAATATTTCAGAATATCCACATACATTTACGAGTAAACTGAAAGGACAAACTGCAGTCGAACACGACAGAGTTGAGTTCGAGATCGACGTAGAAGCAACAGATGCTGAGGTCACGTGGTTTAGAAACGGGAAAAAGATTACTCCGGATCAGGTTTTATATTATTTTATTATTATTATTATTATCAGGACGGAAGAATTGAGATAGTGGTTGAGGGTAAGAAAAGGAAGCTAGTGATTAAAGATGCACATCTTGAAGATGCTGGAGAGATTACTTGTGCAACAAACAGAGATTCATCTTCATGCAGCTTTCAAGTTAAATGTAAGATTTACCTAAAGGGACTGTTCACGTTATTTCAAAACTATTTAAAGAGTGAAATACTAGGGTTACAACGGTTCCAGATAAAGAGATGGTTTTTACGCGTAAAAGTTTTAGATTACAACAATTTTCATTTGAGACAAACGAAACATTACTCGGACTGTAAACATAATTTTAAACGGACCTCCATTTATAGAAAGGCCTCCTGTCAGATTTACAAAGATAACTTAGCACCTGTATCTGATCAATAGTGTACGTGGAAGATATCGTCGTTTTTCTAGCTAAAACTAAGAGGAGAATTATTCTGAAATTTTCCTCCATTGTTTCTGTAGCAGAAATCCGATATTCTCTTTTACAGAGAAACCAGAATTAAAATTGAAAATGAAAATTTTACAAATTAATCCTTGATCAGTTCGAGGTTGGGAATTTACGTGTGAGAAAAGCAAGTTTATTTAGTTGCATTTATATTTATATAGAAAGGAATTGAGTTTTTGCCACAAATGCCAATTTTATGATACCTAAATCTCAACAACCAGATGATGCATACCTTTCGTATTTCAAACTTACATTGTTTGATCCACCAAAATTCATAGTTTGAAATATCTACGATCTACGATATTTGATTTTAAAGAAATTTGGATTTAAAAATCCAATTTTGTGGCAAAAACTCAGTTCCTTTAAAACAATTTTATTCTTCTCCCCAGCTCTACAGAAAGATGAGCTAGGGTTTAAAACTTGTCAGACTTTAATCTACAATAACATTAAATTTGACGTAAATGACCAATCAAAATATAGCTTAGTCCTAATTAGATTAAACCCATCTTTCGTCATCTCTTTGTGTAGATAGACGTGGGAGCTTCCTTTTTTTCATTTCGTTTTTCCATCGTTCGTTTATCATTTCGTTAATTTTTATTTCAATCGTTAAAAAAATGATTCTCACTGAACGATAATTTTGTAGAATTGTTCGTTCAATTAAATCATTTTTTAGTAAAAAACAAAGTGTTTTTTTTATTTCTCTGAACGATCAAAGTCGTTCATCATCGTTTACAAAAACTTTCGTTCTTTCTCAAAAGTGTTGTTCATAAAAACTATTTCCATCTCTATGTGTTGATATATATATATTTATTTTTTCTGCCTGTAATTCAACCGGATTTGGAAAATGACTAATCATTATTACTATACTTTAATCACTGTGCATACAATTACTGTACAAAGATTAAGATCTAATTCTAATTAATTTGATCGATATATGACAATATAATGTCTTAAATAAAGATATTTATTCGATAAAAAATTCTTTTAAAACCTTTTAAAAAGTAACAAATCTGATCCTTAACCCTTTATTTATCAAGTTGTGTGGGGTGTGACACGAAATGTTATAAATACTTTTTTTCGGAGCTTATGTAATAATTTTGAAATCATAAAATTGCAAAGACATCTTTCAATCAAAAACTTATTACAAATTGTTTTTTAAATTTAATTTTACAAAGGAATTGAGTCGCTGCCACAAACTATTATCTCATATGGTGTAGACCTTTACTATTTCAAACTTAGATTATTTGATCATACAGAATTCATAGTTTGAAATATCTAAGGTCTTTGACATTGGAATTACAAAATCGGAATTTGTGCCAAATACTCAATTTCTTTGCTGGTTTGAAACCTTTATATTTTTTTCTTGTTCTCTATATATTGTTTAACAAGTTTTACACTTTTATATTACATTTCCACTTTTATAAAATTTCCATTTTAATTATGCACATCTAGTTGCCGCTTCTGTAATTATGATAATAAATAAACTTGAAGTGGAGTTCTTCATTCCCGCAGCGGTGTGTTTATTTATTTCAAATTCCATATCATTCCATAGTTTAATTAAAAAATCATTTACAGTTCTGTTCGGTGTAATATGTTTAAATCTATGAGAAATGTATTTGATCCGGATCCATGTAATTTGTCCGTCTAATCTAGATACAGATCTTCGAGTTCAAATTATCACAAAAAAATATTGAATTCTGGGAAAAACTGAGATATTTAATCTAGTTTTCAGCTCTAACGAGATATTGTGAATGCTTATCATAATATTGACATCATTGATGCTTCTAATGATAAATTGTAGATGCTTCTAATAATATAAATATTGTAGATGCTTCTAATAATATAAATATTGTAGATGCTTCTAATAATATAAATATTGTAGATGCTTCTAATAATATAAATATTGTAGATGCTTCTAATAATATAAACATCGTAGATGCTTCTAATAATATAAATATTGTAGATGCTTCTGATAATAGAAATATTTTAGATGCTAACGAGTTCACCAAGGGTCTGGATCAGTTTATTGATGTTGTTGAAAGGGAAGAATATGTGTTTAATGTTGAAGTAAAGGATCCTGGAGCTCCAGTAGAGTTCTATATGAAGGGTGAGAAGGTGAGTAGGTCTGATCCAAGATGTGAATATGTGAACCTCGGAGAAGGAAAGCATCAGCTGATAATACACAGTATAAAGATGGAAGATCTAGGATTGGTAGAGTGCAGAACTCCGTCTAACCGTGGAGATCAAGTTCTTGTCAGCTCAGCAACCTTTGATGTTACAAAGGGAGAAGATGCTCCAGAAATAGGTTAGATAATTCACTGCGAACCAAGATACTCAAACTAAATAATTGAGCAGTGTTTTGCAAATTACTCCTTTAAAGCTTAAGCTATAAAAAAGCTTGTTGCAATGTTAGAATGTATATGCCTAGGGCTAAACGAAAGTAAAAGTGACTTGTTGAGGTAAAACCAAAGCTAAAGCAGTTGCGTCACTTTAAAGTCGAGGCTGTCTAAATATTTGATGAATAACTTTCATATTTGTCTAAATATCAGAGATATTAATCAACTCTATTCTCAAATCTTTCAAACATGAGTCGATCTACAAAAATGATTATTATAGGAACCACTGGCCCTGTGACGGGAATAGCATATAAAGATTGCAACTGGCAAGTTCCATACAAGGTTAGTCCTGAAAACAAAACAAGGATTTTAGGGTCTGATGGAGGAGAGGGGATTAGTCAAAACCTTGTAGTAAAAAGATATGAAAGCAATCATTTTAGAGATCAAATTTAAAGGGACTATTAGCGAAAATTTAAGTGATCCTCCGTGCAAAAACGGAAATGCCCGATTTACAACGGTACACTTAAAAGCTTTATATGATCAAGTATGAATTGGATACTGGATATGCATGTTTTTGTTTATTTAAACTCTTTATTTTCAATTGCGTGTTCTCTGCAATACTGGCTTTTAAATTTCTTACTTACAAATTAGCATTGTAGAGATTCACAGAAATAAACACTTCTAGAGTCGGAAAAACAACGTTATCTTCAACCTTTTTGATCAGATTAAGGTTTCAAGGGTACCATTGTAAATCGGGCATTGCTATCTTAGAATGGATGGTCACATTCATGTTTTTTTTAGATAGTTGGTCATCTACAATCTAAGCTTGAGGTTATAGTGATGAAAGATGGAAAGGAACTGAAGCTGGGACAGGACGTAAACGTTAACATAAAGTAAGTAAATGATGAAGAACGGAAAGGAACTGAAGCTAGGACAGGACGTAAACGTTAACATAAAGTAAGTAAATGATGAAGAACGGAAAGGAACTAAAGCTAGGACAGGACGTAAACGTTAACATAAAGTAAGAAAATGATGAAAAACTGAAAAGAAATAAAGCTAGGACAGGACGTCAATGTTAACATAAAGTATGTTAATGGAGGACGGAAAGAAACTTAATTCAGGACAGGACGCCAACATCAACCTAAAGTAAGTTAATGAAGAGAACGGAAAGAATCTAAAGCTAGGAGAGGATGTCAACATTATTATAAGTAAGTTAATGAAGAGGACGGAAAGGATTTAAAGCTAGGAGAGGATGTAAACATTAACATATTCAAAATTCGGTGATGGTGATGGACCAAACCTCTGTAGAGTAAAAAAAATGTTAGTTTTACATTTATTGAAAATATATTTCGGTCTGGGTTGACCCCCGTCAGTTCTTGAGATTGTTTCTGTCACAAAGATTAAAAACAAACGTCAATATAACCATAAATATGGTATCAAAACATATGAATAAAAAAAATTCCGCAAATGTAATATTAAAGAGGGTAACCTGTATATTCAAAACCATGTTAAAATATAACTTAGTTTGTTGAAAAAAGATATTTAAAATATTTACGCATAGTATAATACAATCTGATGCACTATTATCCTAATTGCTTGCAGTGCACCATTGTGAAAAATAACATTTAAAATAAATAAATAATGAACTAATTGCATAAATTTAAACATGTTTAATTGTTCAAGTCGAAAACAGGTCTGATTAAGAATGTAGAATGGTTAAGGTTAAAATCTGACAAAATCATAATTAGGATTTATTCTGTTTTCCTTCGGAATATTTGGACCGAGTCGGAATATTTCTGTTTTGATAAATTTCTGTTTAATTTCCCTCCTTTGATAGGATTGACTTCGCGTCTCTCAAGGTGACCAGGGAAATGTAGTTTGATGAAAATGTTTGAATAAATTAAACTTGTCTCATTTTGACATTTTCTTTCCACACCTGGCACTCTTTACTTCAAGATTTATCCATTACAAACATTTCAACTATTTATCAGACTACATGGGGGTTTCATAAAAAACATAAGAATTTATTTAGAATTATCAAAAGTCGTCTTGATTTACGGGGCTTACTGGGCAGTGGGCATTCAATTATAAGCATCTGAAAATTTTAAATAATCACGATATTTCACATAATAATTTTTTTAACTTAGGATCTTTCCGCTCAAAGATGGCCTAAGGACCAGAATTTTCAATACTCATTTCTTTGAAAAAATCTGTTATGATTGAATCCCTGAAAATTTAATTGAATTTCCATTGGTTCCAATTTTTCTGAGAGTAAATGATACATTGCTCATTTAGTAGAACCAGATTTTTTTATTAATATTATTTATTGCAGAGGAGACAGTATAGATCTAGCAGTAATCAACCCTAGAAGAGAGAAGAGCGGGGTTTATAAAGTAATACTAAAGAACGCTCAGGGGCAGGATGAACGGGATATAATGGTCAATATCATGGGTAAATATAGAAATATTTTTATATTATAGTTGATAGTATACATATCCTTTACCATCCTAGATAAATATATGAATATCAGATAAACCTCTCCTTTACTATTGTATAGCTAGATAAACATCTCCTATACTGTTGTATAACCAGATAAACCTCTCCTCTACTATTGAATATCTAGATAAACCTCTCCTCTACTATTAAATACCTAGATAAACCTCTCCTCTACTATTAAATACCTAGATAAACCTCTCCTATACTATTGAATATCTAGATAAACCTCTACTATACTACTGAATATCTAGATAAACCTCTCCTATACTACTGAATTTCTAGATAAAACTCTACTATACTATTGAATACCTTAGATAAACCTCTGCCCCCGCAGTTCTGCAAGGTATCTGATGTATATCATGACAACTGCAAGGTTGCCTGGAAGGAACCTGTAGATGATGGAGGAACTGAGATCACCAGGTCAATCTGAAATTTTTTAATCCTTTATTTCAATTCTCCTTTAATGCTTTTATGTGTAAATTCTGTAATCCGTTAATCCTTACATTCTTAATCCTTTCCTTAGTATATTCTTCAAACCATCAATTCTTAAATTGATTCCAGTTCATCAATTGTAATTCTGTTTCTCTGTTTTTCAGTTTCTTTTACTTTTTCCCATTAGCAGCTTACAGCCCGGTCCTTGTTCCAGCAAGTTCTTTCGATCATAATTTCACTTATTAAATATAAATTTTTCGATATTTCTCTTTCTACATTTTGGTTGGTATTTTAAATGAAAAATGTAAAAGTACTATATATACTTCATAAGTAAAAAGATTGTTAAAATAAGACCAAAACGGATTAAATTCAAAATTAAGAAACTTAACGTATCTAGTTCTGATTAGTCTATTTTTTTAATGCAATGGTTTAAAATCTATTTAAATTGATATCTATTCCTCTCTAGTCAACTTCCCAGAGTTACCCAATACCCATATTTTTGTCTATAGGTATATAATAGAAGCTCTGGATAGAACCCTGGGGAATGATTGGCATCAAGTATCTGAACCAGGACCTGGAGATAGACAGGTATACCAAATATATACCTGGAGTCAAGTATCTGAACCAGGACCTGGAGATAGACAGGTATACCAAATATATACCTGGAGACAAGGAATAAAATCATGTTTCCCCCGCAAAAACTCGCATTCTGTAAAATAAAGTTTAGTTTCCGACAACACATATTTATAAACCGATTTTTTTTTCTTTTCTTTTAGGACGTTTCCTAGCACAAAACATTTCCTACAACAAAATTTGTTGCATACAATAACGTTAACAAAAAGAGTATTCTAACGTTTAACAATGAAACTTATTTTGAAGATATGTAGATTGTAGAACAGGTTCTCCTAAAAGCCTCTAATATTCGAATTAAAACAATTCCTTTTTTTACAGAAGAGAATCGATAACCTAGCAAACAGGCACAAGTACAGATTTAGAGTCATTGCGATCAACAAGATCGGACGATCACAACCTTGTGAGATGCTGGGGGACGATATTATGATCAAAGATCCTTGGGGTAAGTGAAGACGTATAAAAAATTTTAAATAATTTATTTTTATAGGATTTTCCTAGAATTTCCATTCCACGACTTTACACGCTGCCATGTTATCAATGGATATTGATTCCTATTCCAATTCCTGTATTCTCGCAACATTTCTTAAAGGAACTGTACACGTAATTTCAAGAGATCCAGAGTTAGCGAAGCGGCAAAAGTAATTCAGTTTTTCTTATTTAAAAAAAATTGAATATTTTCAATTACGTTTTTTCCATACTACAAGAGAGACAAAGACAAGACGATTGGGATTAAGTTAAGGATGAGATTAAGCCAGGGATGAAAATAAGCCAAAGATGATATTAAGTCAAGGATGAGATTAAGCCAAGGATGAAATTAAGCCAAGGATGGGATTTATCCAAAGATGAGATTAGGTCAAGGATGAGATTAAGCCAAGGATGAAATTAAGCCAAGGATGAGATTAATCCAAAGATGAGATTAGGCCAAGGATGAGATAAAACCAAGGATGGGATTAAGTCAAGGATGAGATTAAGTGAAGAATTGGATTTAATCAAGGATTGTGTATTCGCTCTCTAATCTATCTATTACTAGATGAACCTACACAGCCAGGACGTCCTAATATCCTAGACTGGGGTCCGGAGCATTGTGATTTATCCTGGGAACCTCCGGAGTCGGACGGAGGAGCTCCTATTACACACTACGTTATTGAGATGAAGGTATTTGTATTTTTGTAGGAAATTATTCTGGGGACCAAATTTAATGAATTTGAGCGCCTCACTAAACTACCTACTGCCGGTTCAAATTTGAACCACCGATTACAAGTTAAAGATTAAGGAAGGATTTGAATCGGTGATTCTAATTTGAGCCGGTGGTAAGCAGTTCAAATTCAGTAACTTCTTTATGATGTGTTTTAAAGAAAACAAACCATCGGTTTTTATGGCCCAAGTTTAAAATAATAGTTTGAAAAATTATTTCTCCCGTATTCATTAAATTCTACTCTTTTATTTTCCACATTTGTTCTTATCCCCATTCACTTTTCAATATGAATTTGTTGCTGTGTTTCATATTTACACATATATATATTTTTTAGTAAAAATTGAGCTTTTTTCTGTTTTAAAATTAATCATTAAAAGGAATTGAGTCTTTGCCAAAAACTCAAATTTTCTAATTTATATATCTTTGCACCCTGATGGTTGAAAAACCTTTTAGATTTAAAGCTTAGATTATTTGATCATGGATTGAGACAACCAAGATCTGTAACGACATTGGGTTTCAAAAATTTAGTGATTAAAATATTAGATTATGTGACAAAGACTCAGTTCCTCTGGTAGAAATATAGAACTGTTTCAAAACAAGAAATATATATTTATCCTCTGAATAAAAGGATTAGGAACTGAAGAGTTCTTTAACTTGGTGAGAAGAAAAAACAACAATGAGAGAAAGATAAAGGATGTTTAAGAGGCTGAAATAAGAACTAACAGATAGATAAGAGCTGAATAAAGGGATATTTAGATAAACGGATATTTAAAGGGATGAAAAAGGGGATATTGAGGAACAAATAAAGAAAGGAAAAATAAAGGAATAAATAAAGGAAGAAGATAAGTAAACAAATAAAGGAAGATAAAGGAAAGACAATGTAAAGAAAATGTAAACAAAAGAACTATCCGAGAAAGGAAATGAACACTTGCCTCAAAATTCTAATATTTATATCTTTGCACCCTGATATCGTTTTTGATAAATTCTAATATTTATATCTTTGCACCCTGATATCGTTTTTGATAAATTCTAAAATTTATATCTTTGCACCCTGATATCGTTTTTGATAAATCATAATATTTATATCTTTGCACCCTGATATAGTTTTTTGATAAATTCTAATATTTATATCTTTGCACCCTGATATCGTTTTTTGATAAATTCTAATATTTATATCTTTGCACCCTGATATCGTTTTTTGATAAATTCTAATATTCATATCTTTGCACCCTGATATCGTTTTTTGATAAATTCTAATAAATCCACGGAATAGTGAAAAATTAAAATACCAAAGGTTTACAATAAGTTATGCAAGAAGATAAAAGAAACACCAGTAAAACAAGACAATTAAAGAATACAAAGAATATTAGAAATACAAGTAATATTAGAAAGACAAGGAATATTAGGAATTCAAGAGTCAAAAGAAATACTAAAAATACAGTCTATATGTAGTAATAAGGGGAATAATACAAGTAATACAAGAAATATGAGGAACATAAGAAATAAATGAAGGCAGGGAATATCGGGAATACAAGGAATATCAGGAATAAAAAGAATTAATGGAGGGAAGGAATATCACAAATACAAGGAATAAAAGGAATATGAGGGAAAAAAGGACTAAATTATGGCAAGGAATATGAGGAATACAAGGATTACAAGGAATATGAGAAATATAAGAAATATCAGGAATAAATAGAGACAAGGATATAAGGAGTACAAGGAATATAAGGAATATCAAGAATAAATGAAGGCAAGGAATATCAGGAGTACAAGTAATATAAGGAATAAGAGGAATATTAGGAATATAAAGAATATCAGGAATAAATAGAGACAAGGATGTCATGAGTACAAGGAATAAAAGGAATATGAAGAATATAAGGAATAAAATGAATACAAGGAATATAAGGAATATGAAGAGTATAAGGATGAAAATGAATACAAGGAATAAAAGTAATATCAGGATTACAAGTAATACAAGAAATATCAGGAATGCAAAGAATACAAGGAATATAAGGAATAAATACAGGCCAGGAATATCAGGAATACAAGGAATATAAGGAATGTCTGGAATAAATACAGACAAGGAATATCAGTAGTACAAGGAGTATAAAGAATATAAGAAATATAAGGAATAAATGAAGGCAAGGAGGAAAAAGATTTGATGTGGAACGGATAAAACCAAGAGAACTATCAACCAAAGAACCAAGAAATTAATGGACCAATGTAATCAGGCAGCGTTAAGTCATGAAAACACAGATAAACTAGTATTTATAAATTTAATATATGTTTTGTAAATAATATATATATAAACTGGATGAATACTGAGGTATAATTATAAACACTATGTCACTATTTCTTCCGTCTAGCAGGGTTACTGAAGAATGATTGGGGAAAGGCGGGTTGGAAGGATTGCTGGAAGATTGAAGACAGGCTGGAAGATATACTGGGGTTGAAGGAAGACTGGGAAGAGGATGGTATCGGAGAATTTCTAGGGATCCGAACCGGGTTCTCCTCCGTCCCGTACCAGATCATCTGCCACTTATGGAGCATACCTTGACCACGGTTAAAGTTTCTATCTGCTCCCATGTTTATCACCTCTAGGGTCCAAGATCCAGCGGAGTATTCTCCCCAGAAATGAACGGAGAGGAAGGGCCAGTCATCAAAGCTCTGTCCTAGAGTATCTCTAGGTCTAGGGAAGAGTAGGGTAGACCTGGTTCCTGAAGGAGAGGTTAGAACCAACATCAAGCTTCCTCGAGGTACAAATGTGAGACTTATTTTACATTGAATATGCTCAAGATGATTTACAACATTTAAAGTTCCAGCACATCCATCTGATACTATAGTTGAGCTTACACTTCTTCCTACCTCTCCAGGTATAGGTAGATCACTGATAATTACTGGAGATTGGCAAACATGTTGAAGAGGGACGTTTTTCCACTTCTCAGCAAGATCAACCATACCTCCTGCATCCATGAGACCATAACCAAACTTATGATTATATTGTCTCCCCCGTCCATTCGTCATCCAACCTGACTCCGCTAGTAGCGGACCTGGTCTACTCGTCATTATAACTAAATGTTGCATATCTCTCCAGGTAAGACCAGGATTAGCTTCCAGAGCAAGAGCGCATACTCCAGCAGCTATCGGAGCACTGGCAGAGGTTCCAGTATGTTGGTCTGTACAGATCTTATGAGGACGGAGTCGAGCATCTTGATCAACAGTTGCAATACTGTCGTCTTGACCTGGAGTTCCTGAGGAGAAGGTTGTTGCAAGGGTTGAGGAACACTGTTCCAGATACCAGGGCTTGAAACCAGTTTGGCTGGCACTAGATATAGATAAAGTAAATATTGAGTTTGTATATCCGTCACAGTTACAATCATCAATATGTCTTCCTCCGTTCCCACTCGCCCAAACAAATATAGATCCTCGTCCTTTCCTTCCACGTGTTACTCCGTTAAGAAAAGCTCGTTTAGCGAGAGGACCAGGTCCATCCACCGTCCTCCCATCATCCTCTGGTCCCCAGGACGCAGAGTAGATATCTATATGATCAGGGTTGAGAGAAAGAGCTCTTGCTTCGACTGCATCATTCACAACTCCGTCTAGCATTCGTACTCCGCCAATAGACGCGTTGAACGCAATCCCAACCCCACACACGCCATTGTTGGCGACCGCCGCCACCTCACCAGCACATCGTGTACCGTGCTTATTATCACCGTTATCCTGGGGCATAGGATCAGGATCACTATCATTAATATCGGTGGAGGCGAACTTGTCATAGTTCTGTGCTAGGTCAGGATGGTTGTGCTGGATTCCGTCATCTAGAATAGAGACAACTACTCCCTTCCCTGTATATCCTTTATCCCAGGCAGGTTTCACGTTCATATCAGCTCCGTTTCTCCCTCCTCCGTTGATAAACCACTGACTAGAAAACATAGGGTCGCTAAACTGCAAACCATTTCGTCGAACTATAATTTTTGATTGATTATAAATAGATTTTTCACTGTTCAACTCTTCAAATAATTCGTCCCAAATATCTGAAGCATCGCCAGCAAAGTCTCTCTTCTTCACTGTTTGATAATCCCGTTTGACTCGACGTAGTTCTTTCTGTTGTTCGAACCACGTGACTTCAGGATCATCAGTAAGTAAGAAGTGGTGATGAGTACTCGGATTCGCCGACCGCTTAGACAAGCTGCGGTGCTCGAACAAGTAATAGTTATCCAGGTCACCAATCTGACCCATGTTGTGAAATCCATACTTGAGAGCTAGTTTGTTGGCCGTTTGTTCTCCTGCAGGGACGAATACTGCAAACTCGTTTTGATAGGAGCGCGCCTGAACGCAGTTGGCCAGGCTGGAAACCAACAGGAGAACTGTTCCCGTGTCCATCCTGCTCTCAACTACAATACTGCATTTTCCGTCACTCTTGACACTCACAAAACCCTGCAGGAATGGTTTGTATCGCGCTCTCCACAAAATCTCCGGAGAACCCTGCTTCAACCCAACTTCAAGGTTACTTGAAAGTGGCAACAAACTTGACGAAACCAGGCATAAAGATGAGGCGAGGTGGCCCGGAAACTGGTATTTGTTTTAATATCAACATTTACCCCGTAAACAGTGCGGTTTAAAGATACATAGAAGAGCGGAGAACCTGATCCTAACTCTGCCTATATCTGAGTTTGAACCATGAAAGCACAGGTCGTTCACATTCTCAACATAACTGATTAATGTATTTTCAAAGAACCAGTAATTTTTAAATGTAACGTTTTCGTCAACATTTTTTCATTTCTTCATACCTCCCAGATTCATTTAAAACTTTATTAATACTCATTGTAAAAAGATTTTAAATAAACAATTCAAACAACTTTTGTTCCTCATTTATAGGTCTAAGACTGAAATCTGTACTTAGTGCCAATAATTGCGTTATTTTTATTTTACGGATTTTTAAAAATTCAGTATTCTCTAATAATTTGCTTTCCATATCTATTTTAAAAAAGGAAATATCACAAAAAATGAAAAAGTTATTAAAAATTTCAAAATTGACAAGATTTAAAAAACAACCTGTATTTAGGAGAAATCCTTGGATATGTGGCAGGTTGGAAGGATTCTAACTTCTAATAAATATGTTTATATTTAGGAGAAATCCCTGGATATGTGGTAGGTTGGAAGGATTCTAACTTCTAATAAATATGTTTATATTTAGGAGAAATCCTTGGATATGTGGCAGGTTGGAAGGATTCTAACTGCTGAAGAGTGTGAAATGAAACGAGGATTAGTCCATGGAACCTGTCCAGGGCTGGTGGAAGGGAATGAATATATGTTCAGGATTAAAGCTGTAAATATAGGAAAGCTTAGACTCGATTCTGATCCAACCAACTCCATCCTTCTTCATTTAGCCTTACTTTATTAACTATATATATATTAAATATTTTATTTTATGCACTTTACTTTATTCATATAAAAGGGAGTGCTCGAGAAAATGATAAAAAGAGTACAAGAAGATCTAGAATTAAATGAACACTTTAATTTTTATCAAATTTATCTCAAAAAAGAACTAGATGTATTCAATGGCCTCGAATATAAAATAGAAATCAGGTTTATCTCCTCTAGTATAGATTTAAACAGTTTGGTCCTCGTCCCAGTAAACTGACTAACCACACTTTGGTTAATTAAAAAGACTGTAAATAAGTGACCTTTCATGCAAAAATGGCAGTGACCAATTTATAATGGTGCGCCTAAAAACTTTGCCATTTCAAGTATGAATTAGATATGCTTGTGTTTGTCTATTTAAACCATTTTTTTCATTCGTGGGTTCTCTGAAAACGTGACTTGTGTATATCTTGCCTATAAGAAACAATGGACAAATTAGCGGAAATAAACACTTTTTCACATTTTTGACTAGATTAAGTTTTCAAGGGTACCGTTGAAAATCGGACATTGCTAATTTTGCTGGGAGGGTTACGCTTTCATTCTCTTTAAACATAAACTTTTCCCTTTTTCTCATTTATACTTTTTTGTCTTCGTCGGTGGATGCGTTTTAAATGAAACAATACAAAAATATGTGATTCAAAGTTTGTTGGGTTTTAGACCAAAACACGATTGAAATGAAATGAGATAAACCTGATTTATCCAGCCCCATGATAAGTCCCTGCCTACCGGCCAGCACAGGCAGAGAGAATGTCTGGGTTCGGCTTGAATATTTGATAAAAATTTCTCTTTACAGAAACATCCGATCAATTCTTAGTTTGACAATGGCTCTTCCTATACCTTCTTTTTACTTCAAGCTACACTATGTACTCCATAAACCCACAAGGGATGAGATTTTCATAAAGACCTACAACTCCGTAGTTTAACTTTGGACTATTAACTTATGATATAACGATTTGGTAAAAAAATATATACAAATGTAAAGATGTTCAAAATAATACTAGAAAAATTCATACAGTTGTCTCTGAAGTCCTATCCTTTGTGGATATCCCTGTATTTATACACAAAGGAATTGAGTTCTTACCACAAACTCAAATTTTCTAATCCTTATATCTTAGCAACCTGATGGTGAATACTTTTAATTTTTCAAACTTATATTATTTAATCGAACAGAATAGTTTGAAATATCAAAGGTCTACGACATTTCGTTGCAAAGATATAGGGATTATAAAATCAGAGATTGTAGCACAGACTCCCAGACCCCCCCCCCCTCTGATTACCCGGAATATATTAAAATTGAGTTTATCTGGTCCAGGTTCTAAGAATCAGTGGAACTACTCCATACCCTCGGAACCCTCAGATTCTATGATTGCTAAGATACGTTACAGTAAGTGAAACCTATTTTAAAGCAACTATCTCTAAAAGTAAATAGTCTTGCACACCCAACCGTCCAATTTTATTACGATCGTATGATTTACTTTAAATTAAAAGTTTTAGATGAAAGTAAAAAAATTCAATATTTGATTTCCTTCTACATAATTCTCATAAACATCCTTGTGCCCCTTGTTTATGGCACAGGCCAATATTATAATTTACTTATTCAAAGATTTTAAGAGTTTAAATACTGTTGCGGAAATGACTTGTTTATAAAAAGTGCAAATCATCTTAATCTAATTCCTGGCCATTAATCTTAACTCAAGTTTCAAGAATTGAAAACCATGCATACATATATACAATATATAGCATATATAAAATATATTTGTATATTTAGTTATATATACATATTAATAATACAGATTAGTAAAGAATGAATAATAAAACTACTATTTAAACTTGAAACAATAGTTTATAGCACACTGTAAAATATTAATAAGTATGTTGCTTTACAATCTAGATATGTTGGATTTTTATATTGGATTACCTTCAAGCTCTGACGCCAGTTTACGCACAAAACACTCATAGCATCTTCTATTTTTGCATGCAAATTGTAACTCTTAAAATGATTAAATCTTTTTAAATTTTCTGTTGAGATACACACGATCCAATGTAACGTGGGACACTCTGTATCAGTACTGTACAATATATTCTAGATATATCCGCACTGTTAAATATATTCTAGATGAATTCTAGATATATCAGTACTGTACAATATATTCTAGATATATCAGCACTGTACAATATATTCTAGATATATAGCACTGTACAATATATTCTAGATATATCAGTACTGTACAATATTTTCTAGATATATCAGCACTGTACAATACATTCTAGATATATCATCACTGTACAATATATTCTAGATACATTCGCACTGTACAATATTATTAGATATATATATAGCAATGTACAATATATTCCAGATAAAATAGTACTGTACAGTATATTCTAGATACATTCGCACTGTACTATATTATTAGATATATATATATAGCAATGTACAATATATTCTAGATATATCAGCACTGTACACTATTTTCTAGATATATCAGCACTGTACACTATATTCTAGATATATCAGCACTGTACACTATATTCTAGATATATCAGCACTGTACACTATATTCTAGATATATCAGCACTGTACACTATATTCTAGATATATCAGCACTGTACACTATATTTTAGATATATTAGAACTGTACAATATATTCTATATATATCAGCACTGTACAATATATTCTAGATATATCAGCACTGTACAATATATTCTAGATATATCAGCACTGTACACTATATTCTAGATTTATCAGCAATGTATAATATATTCTAGATATATACCACTGTACAATATATTCTAGATATATAGCACTGTACACTATATTCTAGATATATCAGCACTGTACAATATATTCTAGATATATCAGCACTGTACACTATATTCTAGATATATCAGCACTGTATAATATATTCTAGATATATAGCCCTGTACAATATATTCTAGATATATAGCACTGTACACTATATTCTAGATATATTAGTACTGTACAATATATTCTAGATATATAGCACTGTACACTATATTCTATATATATCAGCACTGTACACTATATTCTAGATATATCAGCATTGTACAATATATTCTAGATATATATATATAGTACTGTACAATATATTCTAGATATATCCGCACTGTACACTATATTATATATATATATCAGCACTGTACACTATATTCTAGATATATAGCACTGTACAATATATTCTAGATATATCATATAATAACTAAAATGTCCTAAAGATAAACTATAAATGTTATATTTCTGTTCAGTTAAGGCGTTTATCCATGATCCTGGAATGTATGATATTGAAATCAAGAAAGGGCAAACCTTCAGATACGATATATGGTTCGGAGGTGAACCTCCTCCTTCAGTAACCTGGGAGAGACATGATGGAGTAATAAATCCAGAGAATGATGACAGAATAACGATGGAACTGTTTGCGAAGAGAAGTGTGTACTGTCAGAAGAATACCGTGCTCACTGTTAAAAAGGTTAAAACTAGTTTAAACCTTCCGGATCTAGTATTCAGATTATGCAAGCATCTTCTACATTCTAGCATTCCATTCTACATTCTAGTATTCGATTCTACATTCTAGCATTCAATTCTACATTCTAGTATTCAATTCTACATTCTAGCATATCAATTTTACATTCTAGCATTCAATTCTCTATTCTAGTATTTAATTCTCTATTCTAGTATTCAATTCTACATTCTAGCATATCAATTCTAAATTCTAGCATTCAATTCTCTGTTCTAATATTCAATTCTACATTCCAGCTTTCAATTCTTCATTCTAGTATTTATTTCTCTATTCTAATATTCAAATCTACATTCTAGTATTCAATTCTACATACATTCTAGTATTAAATTCTACATTTTAGTAATCAATTCTACATTATAGCATTCAATTCTGCATTTTAGTATTCAATTCTACATTCTAGCATTCAATTCTACATTCTAGTATTCAATTCTACATTCTAGTATTTAATTCTACATTCTAGCATTCAATTCTACATTTTAGTATTCAATTCTACATTCTAGAATTCAATTCTACATTCTAGTATTCAATTCTACATTCGAGCATTCAATTCTACATTCTAGTATTTAATTTTACATTCTAGTATTTAATTCTACATTCTAGTATTCAATTCTACATTCTAGTATTCAATTCTCCATTCTAGTATTTAATTCTCTATTCTAGTATTCAATTCTACATTCTAGTATTCAATTCTACATTCTAGCATTTATTCCTCCATTCTAATATTCAATTCTACATTCTAGTATTCAATTCTACATTCTAGCATTTAATTCTCTATTCTAGTATTCAATTCTACATTCTAGTATTCAATTCTAAATTCTAGCATTCAATTCTCTATTCTAGTATTCAATTCTACATTCTAATATTCAATTCTCTATTCTAGTATTCAATTCTACATTCTAGCATTCAACTCTCTATTCTAGTATTCAATTCTACATTCTAGTATTCAATTTTACATTCTAGCATTCAATTCTCTATTCTAGTATTCAATTCTACATTCTAGTATTTTATTCTCTATTCTAGCATTCAATTCTACATTCTATTATTCAATTCTACATTTTAGTATTCAAATCTCCATTCTAGTATGTAATTCTACATTCTAGAATTCAATTCTCCATTCAAATATTCAATTCTCCATTCTAGTATTCAATTCTCCATTCAAATATTTATTTCTTCATTCTAGTATTCAATTCTACATTCTTGTATTAAAATTTCTTTTCTAATATTCAATTCTATATTCTAGTATTCAATTCTCCATTCTAATATTTATTTCTCCATTCTAGTATTCAATTTTACTCTGTACTTTAATAGTTATGTCTTATCTTTTTTTCTTCTCTTCTTGACAATTTGAAGTTTTCTCTTCTCTTTCTTCTATCCCCCCTTATCTCTGCAACCCTATCTCTAACAGTTGTGCCCTGGAATTCCTTAAATATATAATACACCATTTACATTACTAGCCTAGCAACTAAAGACACAGTGTGTCCCAAATAACATGGCAAACTAAAGGAGATCAAGTGTAATATTAAAAAACAGAAAACAAAATTTTTTTAACTACGCAAACAATATTGTCTACGAGAAGGTTTGATCACGATATTTTACTGAATATTCAATATTGATACATTCATATTCAATAGTATACTTCCTTCATCTTTATCATGTTTCGTGGGACACTCTGTATCTTCAAGTATATGCTGAGTCAATTAATCTGACTAACGCTGGCATTTCAAATTGCAAAACCATAATGTGTACTTTTTCTTTGTTACTTCATTATACATGATAACTGTTACAAGTATACGCAGTGATGCGTTAGATATTTCTGCGTATCTGCCTTTATGACGCACTGTACGAATGAGTAACGGTATATTTCCGTTATATTTCCATTCTCGAACTTTACACTGAGTATCTTTATTGTCACGATATATTTGCTGGACAGTCAACTAACAGATAGATAGATAGGTAGACTATCAGACAGCTGGACATATAGACGATGAGACAGCCTGTCAGATAGAGTATTAGACAGCCGGGCTTACAGAAGATTAGACAGCTAGACAGATGCACAGCTTGACAGCTAGACAGTTAGACGATTAAACAGCTGGACAGATAGACGATTAGACAGTCCGACAGATGGACTGTTACATAGTTGCACAGCTAGACGAATAGACAACGGAAAAAGATAGACGATTAGACAGTCAGACAGATGGAAGGATGGACAGATGGACAACTGCACAGGTAGACGAATAGACCGCCGGATAAATAGACGATTAGACAGGCAGACAGATACACAATTAGACGGCTGGACTTTTAGATAGTCGGGCAAAGAGACGATTAGACGATAGACGGCAAGCACAGAAATCTATACTGATCTACGTGTTGTGTAAATGTATCTATATTGGAATCTTAGATTTGTAGACATACAAATATATTGGAAAATAGATCTATAGAGATATCTAGACAGAGAGACAAATAGATTTTCTTAAAAAAAATTTTACGTTTTATTGATCTATTTCCGTTTTTCAGTACGAAATCTTGTCTAACCCTAGCTAATTAGCTATGGTATATCTAGGCTGACCGAAAGAAGGATTGTGGCAGGTACAAGATCAGGTTGACCTGCGAGGGAGGAAACTTCGAAGCAACAGGATTTGTGAACGTGCTTGATGTACCAAGTAGACCTAGAGCTTTCCAACCAGGTAAATTGGGATACATTGGAGATATTTATCTGCTAGAATTAGAGATCTACGATCAATTCAAAATAAGAACCTAATTCTAAAGATTTAATACCCTTTTCCTTAGAACATATTCCCAAATAAGACATATTCCTAAATAAGAACATATTCCTAAATAAGATCGTATTCCTTAATAAGAACGTAACTCTAACTGAGAATGTATTACTAAGAAAAACCTAATACAAAACTAGAACCTGATTCTTATTAAGAAACTAAATCCTGAATTAGAACCTTCTCCTGAATAAGAACATTCTCCTAACTAAGAACCATCTCCAAACTAAGAACCTTCTCCTAAAACTAAGAACCTTCTCCTAAATAAGAACTTCCCCCTAAAAAAGAACCTTCTCCTGAACAAGATCCTTCTTCTAACTAAGAACCTTCTCATAGCAAAGAACCTTCTCATAAATAAGAACTTCCTCCTAAATAAGAACTTTGTCATAAATAAGAACATTGTCCTAAAAAAAACTTCTCCTTACTAAGAACCTTCTCCTAAATAAGAACATTCTCCTAAAAAGGAACCTTCTCCTTACTAAGAGCCTTCTCCTAAATAAGAACCTTTTCCTAACAAAGAACGTTTTCCTAACAAAGAACCTTCTCCTAAATAAGAACTTTCCCATAAATAAGAACCTTCTCCTGAATAGGAACCTTCTCCTTACTAAAAACCTTCTCCTTACTAAGAATCTTCTCCTAAATAAGAACCTTTCCCTAACAAAGAACGTTTTCCTAACAAAGAACCTTCTCCTAAATAAGAACTTTCCTATAATAAGAACCTTCTCCTGAATAGGAACCTTCACCCTACTAAAAACCTTCTCCTAAATAAGAACCTTCTCCTATTCTAAGATGAGGTACGAGCTGAGCATGTAAAACTGAGCTGGGAAGCTCCGGAGGATGACGGAGGAACTCCGGTTCTCCGATACCTTGTTAAAATAATGGATCTCGATTACAATCAATGGTTGAATGCTTGTGAGGTAACAACTACCTTATTATGTAATTGGATACTTGGTTCAATCATTTAAGACTTTCTATTCAAAAACAGTTTGGTATTTTTTTTCTTTTTTTCAGGGGAAGGGGGTATCTTTCTAACTATGTGATAATTAAGGGATGCCAAAAAATAGTTTTCAGGTCCCTCTTCAGTTTATAAACAAGGTTAAACTGGTATTTTAAAGCAAAAAAAACTAAAACTGCGAAGCATCTGATGTCCCAATAAACTTATGTCTATGATTTATTGGAACTTTTTGATCCATTTACAGATCTCATTAGGTCACAGTATACAACTTTTGATTCTAATGATTTACATTTTTCAAAGTTTTTATCCTAAGGCTAGAGAAAAAACCCTAATCACCTTTTTTTGGAACACCCCGTATCTATCTATCTATGCATCTGGTTCAGGTGAATGCTGCTACTACCCAATGTACTGTAAAGAACCTGAAGCCAGGGCATCTCTATAGGTTTGAGGTTTCAGCAATTAACAAGGAAGGAGAATCTCTTCCAACACAAACCAAGGATCCAGTAACTGCTGAAAACCCGTACAGTAAGTTTAAATTCAATCCTAGTAATAAATCCTTGCATCCTAGATATCAAACCTGATATCCTAGGTATTACGTCTGATATCCTAGATATTACGTCTGATATCCTAGATATCAAACCTGATATCCTAGATATTACGTCTGATATCCTAGATATTACGTCTGATATCATAGATATCAAACCTGATATCCTAGATATTATGTCTGATATCCTAGATATCAAACCTGATATCCTAGATATTAAGTCTGATATTCTAGATACCAACCCTGGTAACCTACATATCTACCCTGGTATCCTAGATGCCAGCCATGGTATCCTAAATACCAGCCCTAGTATCCTACATATCTACCCCGGTATCCTAGATACCAACCCTGGTATCCTAGATACCAACCCTGGTATCATAGATATCAACCCTGGTATCCCAGATACAACCCCGGTATCCTAGATATACCTGGTATCCTAGAAACCAACCCCTGTATCCTAGATAGCAACGCTGGTATCCTAGATATCAACCATGGTATCCCACATATCTACCCTGGATATAGATATCAACCCTGGTATCCCAGATACAACCCCGGTATCCTAGATATAAACCTGGTATCCTAGATATAAACCACCAAGCCTGGTATCCTAAATACCAACCCCTGGTATCCTAGATACCAACCCTGGTATCCTAGATACCAAACCTGGTATCCTAGATACCAACCCTGGTATCCTAGATACCAACCCTGGTATCCTAGATACCAACAGATCCCAGATATGCTAACCATACTATATCAGATAACATCTCTAAAATGAACGTAGACCTATAACTATTTTCAAAGGGACTGATTAGGTAAAATGAAAGGGGGGATGAATAGGCTAAAGCCTAGAAATTCTAGGCGTTAATTGACCAATAATAATTCTATCTGATTACATATATATGAGTTTTTGTTTAACGTGGACACGGTTTTTTTTTATCAATTTCTAGAGACAGATATAACTATTATTGGTCACGATCAACGCTTAAAATTTCTAGAAATTAGCCTATACCCCCTTTCATTTTACATTAGCAGTCCCTTTAAAGTTAGTTATTTTTGCACAGTTTTCACAGTTTATGCAGTTTATACCGAAAATATCAAAGTTTACATTTCGCTAAAATTACAAAACGTCCAAGATAAAAAATGTCGAAAATGTCCAAAGTAACAACATGTCCACAGTTCTTTTTATTATTTTTACTTTTGTTTAGTTAAATAATGTACATAAAATAATGCCTTTACAATTAGCCTTTCATTTTGGTCATGCCATTTTCTGGGTAGAGCGCTGCGGCTAGTATTAACTAGCGGGACCCTTCACATGATATAATGGACATTTTGTAACTTTGGACACTTTGTAATTTCGGACATTTTTTTGTCGTGATAATCATTGGTCTTTTTCATTCTTGTTATGTTGAACGTTTCACCGACCACAGAGTATATAGATGATAAAAGAGATGCTGAAAACATCTAGGCTTTAAAAATAAAGGGTTCAACGACATAGGGTCAAACGACAAAGGGTCAAACGACAAACGGTCAAAAACGCGACAAAGGGTAAAACGAGAAAGGGTCAAAATAGAAAAAAATATTTTATGTATTATTTCAGGGTTAGGTTAGGTTAAACCAATTTCTGGGCCGAGCGCTGCGGCTATGACAGGCTAGGGGGCCGAGCGCTGCGGCTATTAGTTCAAATGAACATAAAAAATAACTTAAAAATATGTATTATTTCATAAAAATAGTTTGAAATTAACCAAAAATAGACTAAATGAAATTTTGCCCGTTTGTCGCACTTTTTAATCCTATGTAGTTTTACCCTTTATCGCGTTTTTGACCGTTTGTCGTTTGACCATTATGGCATTTGACCCTAGGTCGTTTAACCCTATGTCGGTGAATCAAATAAAGATATCTATTGAATAGTTTGTCATAAGAAAAAAACTTGGTCGATTTTAAAAATCTGCAAAATTTACTTTGAATGATTACGCCTTTTAAAGATTGTGCACTTTAACGTTATCTTGCTAAAACAAACATTATAATAATTTTTCTACTGTATTAATATATGTATAATTTTTGCATGAGTATATGCAAAATTAAACAAACGTTTTATTTTAACAAAAATTTACGTTTGCCTTGTCTGTTTTTTTTTCAATAAACATCGAAAATGCTTAACGTTGAGTGGCCTAATTTTTTTTTTAAATGGTTAGCAACATTTATTTAACAACTTGCAGATTTTATCACAAAAAAAATCATTTTTAAACTGAAAAAAAAACTTTCTCTAAGTTTGATATTCCATGTTTGAATAAAGTATAATGGTTGCAGGAAATGTGCATGAGCTGCTGCCTAATGTCCTAAATGTATCGGAAAACCCTAAAACTGAATAAATATCTGCAGTTAGATCTCTACATCTATTTAGAGCCTCCTAGTGAGCCACGTGAGCCTGGAATAGTAGATTTCGACAACAAGTCTGTCACCCTTCGGTGGAACAAACCTGTGGATGACGGGGGGAGACCTATCACACACTTTGTTATTCAGAAGAAGGATCAGTTTGGAGGTAGGAGTCTAATAATAATCTCTTATAGGGCCGGACAGAATTTAACTAATTTGAATTGTCTACTGCCGGTTCAAATTTGACTCACCGATTCAAATCCTTCCTTAATTTTTAAGTTCGAATCGGCGGTTCAAATTTGAACTGGCAATCGGTAGTTCAGCGACGGAGCTCAAAATAATCATATTCGGTCCCAGGAAAATTAATCTAACCTTGGAAATTTTCAGGATTTTTAAAGAAAATAAATATTTATGGGGATGTTTAAAAGTTTTATAATAGATAATATTATTCAAGGTAGAAATGTAGTATTTGGATGAATGATGGTTTGGAAATAGATAATATTATTCAAGGTAGAAATGTAGTATTTGGATGAATGATAGTTTGGAAATAGATAATATTATTCAAGATAGAAATGTAGTATTTGGATGAAAAAGATAATATTATTCAAGGTAGAAATGTAGTTTAGTTTAAATAAGTTTAAGTGAGATTGATCTGTATTTAGGAAGTTTTGTTTAGAAGTAGGGAAGTGTTTATATTTAGGTTTGTTTAAAATTAGGGAAGTCTTTATATGTAGGTTTGTTTAGAAGTAGGGAAGTATTTTTATGTAGGTTTGTTTAGAAGTAGGGAAGTGTTTATAATTAGGTTTGTTTAGAAGTAGAGAAGTGTTTTTATTTGGTTTGTTTGAAAGTAAAGATGTGTTTTTGTGTATGTAGGTTAGTTTAGAAGTAGGGAAGTGTTTATTAATTAGGTTTGTTTAGAAGTAGGGAAGTGTTTATATTTAGGTTTGTTTAGAATAGTGAAGTGTTTATGTGTAGGTTTGTTTAGAAGCAGGGAAGTGTTTATATTTAGATTTGTTTAGAAAAAGGGAAGTGTTTTTATGTAGGTTTGTTTAGAAGTAGAAAAGTGTTCATAACTAGGTTTGTTCAGAAGCAGGGAAGTGCTTATATGTAGGTGTGTTTAGAAGTAGGGAGGTGTTTAGAATTAGGTTTGTTTAGAAGCAGATAAGTGTTTATATCTAGGTTTGTGGGATGTGTTTATCGATGTACATTCAGCTTTCAGAGAAGCAACAACTAGTTCTTACTAGGCGCTTCTAAAAGTATTCAGAGATACAGGGTGAGAGAGAGAAAATGGCAAACGAAATAACTTTAGCAAGGGGTGTAAATGGGGGGGGGGGGTTTACACCCCTGCATACAAATAGAAAAGAAAAAACGAAACTAGCTTATCCTACAGGGGAGTAGCCTGTTGAATATAATATAGAATAAAACAAGACTCCATCTTCAGCCTGGTGCAGTTGAAAGAAGGAGTTTAGCCCCTGATGGGTATACAAGCCATGCACAACGATACCAGTTTTTTACTTGACCAGCTGTGAGGACTGGACTGCTGTGGAAGATTCCTCTCAATTGGGCTTTAAGGCTTACATTTTGCATAAGGGGTGCAGCTATGGGTTTTCCTTAAAATTCCCCTTTGTCAGAAAGACTATAACAGAAGGAACACAGGGAGCAAGCCCCTATACCCTTCCTCCTACAAACCTCCTTATCTCTCTCCTACCTGCTCCACAACTTAATGTCAAAAGAACTTTTTGGAGAGGCCTCTAAGTGTAGAAACAAGAAACAAAATGCAAGAAGAAAAAAGAAAATTGAACAGGAAAAATTGGCAGAGAAATCTCTTGATTTTGTCGAAATGAAGAACAAGAAATGTAAAAATCTCAAAATATTTTCATCTGACATCATAAAAATATCTAAATTTATTGTAAAACTTAATTAAAATAGATTATTAAAGTTAAAAATATGTTGGTTCGTTTAAAAGCAGGGAAGTGTTTATAATTAGGTTTGTTGAGAAGTAGGGAAGTGTTTATAATTAGGTTTGTTGAGAAGTAGGGAAGTGTTTATATTTAGGTTTGTTTAGAAGTAGACAAGTTTTTCGGTTGTAGAAGAGTTGTATGGAGATAAGAAAGTTGTGAGGTTTTGTCGGAATTAGTTGGAGAGAGGAATTTCATTTGTTCATTAGTTCTTCGAAATAAATTGCGACAAACTCTAATTTTCGAATCCATATAAATTTGCAACCTGAAGGTGTGAACCTTTGATATTTCAAGCTTAGATTATTTCAACTAACAGAATTCATAGTTTTAAGACATCGGGTTGCAAAGATATAGGAATTAGAAAACCAGAGTTTGTGGAAAAGACTAAATTCCGTTTGCTTTGATTTATATATAAACAAAAAATTCTAACAAGATGCCATGGATAAACGTCTGAAAAAAGTAGATTAAACATTTTTATCTTATCAATTTAAATAATGTTTTTTTTCAATTTCTCTAGGTTGGTTTGATGCTTTGATTACTAACGATGATCACTGCTGCGCTACTATTGACGAGCTTGAAGCTAGGGTTCCAGGGTTGAGTGAGGGTAAATGGTATCAGTTCAGGATTGTAGCTGTAAACAAGGCTGGAGAATCCTGGCCAAGTTTTGAAACTAAACCTCATCTCTGTAGACACAAAAACCGTAAGTTTTCACAAAATATGTTAAAAATGTAATTTTTGACACATTGTTTTGTAATTTGGGCCCGATCAGATCAGCCGTTTTGACGTTTATTGGATACAAACGGACAAACAAACAGACAGTCAGAAAAGCAAAGTATAAATATTAGGATCATTTTTCAATTTGACCTGTTATCTAACAATCATAATGATTTCATTAAAACTTTTTATTAATTTTCTAATATTTAATTAAGAATACTAAAACAAAATATTGCATTTGGCTTAAAAGGTGAATCTTCAATATTCACCATTTTGTAAATTATACTGAAGATACATTATTTAGAGACTATCACTTGTGACATGTTTCGGAAGGGGGGGGGGGATTTAAAAGCAAGATTCGATCGAAAAACACCAACGTAGGGCAAACTACAATAATTTATTGCAGTAAATACAATAAATAAATAAATTACAGTAAATATCTATCTGGAACTTCTTAGATAGGCATGGGTGATTTCCTAATTTATAATAAAACTATTGTCAAACAATACATTTAGGAATTAGGTTTAAAGGACTGCAGAAAGTGTAATTTCAAGTGACCTTCCATGAACAGGTGACAATGCCCGATTCACAACAGTACCCTTAAAAGCTTTGTCTGATGATAAAATTAGATATAAATGTATTATAATTTTCTGCCAAACCTAAAAAACCGACGATATCTTCAACATTATTGATCAGATAAATGTTTTAAGGGTACCGTTGTGAATCTGAGATTCACATCTTTGCATGGAGGGTCACTTGAAATTATGCTTACAGTCTCTTTAATGTTTAAAAGTACTTATTGATAAATGTTTAGTTGCTCCGACTATAGATAAAGGAGCAGGAGGATCTAAGTCTGTAAAGGTGAACAGGTTGACCTGCTGGAGGATTAATGTGAAGGGAGAACCTCCTCCAACCTTCCTCTGGAAGAAGGAAGGAAAGGAGATTACTTCTGATGAAAAGTATCAGGTGGAGTTTTTCTTCAGATTTATTGTGATTTATAAATAATTTTTTATTTGTCAAAAACAGTATGTACTAATTATAAGTATAACGTTAAAAAGACCTCCATATTTTGATGAAATTGAAATATAAAGCTGATATTCTTTTGATCTTACAAAAAAGGCAGACAACATTTTAGAAATCCCAGAACTCCGGAACATCGCGATTAATGATTTTTGTAAATAAGTTTTCACAACTGAATCCATGCAAATCAAAAATGCCTTTTTTGGACCTCTCTCTACTGGAACAAAAAAATGTAAGCAAAAAATAACTTTAATAATTGTTTAACTTCAGGTAGAGACTATAGAGTACCAGGGAGGATCCACTGCAGTTCTTCAAATTCTGAAAACTCAGGTTAGTTCAAGTTTTGACTGAGTGATTTTTCCCAAAAAATAGCTTTCGCCCAGAAGGGGTTGAATTGCAAGAACGTCTTAGAAGGGTAAAAAATATGAAGAATGCATCTACTCACTATTCAGTTAAAGGATACTGCAGGAACCTACTCACTATTCAGTTAAAGGATACTGAAACCTACTCACTATTCAGTTAAAGGATACTGGAACCTACTCACTATTCAGTTAAAGGATACTGGAACCTACTCACTATTCAGTTAAAGGATACTGGAACCTACTCACTATTCAGTTAAAGGATACTGAAACCTACTCACTATTCAGTTAAAGGATACTGAAACCTACTCACTATTTGTTTAGTTAAAGGATACTTGAACCTACTCATGATTTTTTTAGTTAAAGGATTCTGGAACCTACTCACTATTTATTTAGTTAAAGTATACTGGAACCTACTCACTATTTGTTTAGTTAAAGGATACTGGAACCTACTCACTATTTGTTTAGTTAAAGTATACTGGAACCTACTCACAATTTGTTTAGTTAACGGATGCTGGAACCTACTCACTTCAGGCTTTCAATAGAAATGGTACAGATAAGGTAATGTAAATTCAAATCACTATTTTATTTTTAAAATATATGCAGATGTAATTTCAAGTCAGCAATTAGTGGCATTTCCAATTCAAAACAAAACAACATCCGTTCTCTAGTATTTTTTAGCTCAAAATTTAATGCTTTCGGGATTCAGGCAAAGTTCTAAGAGTACCAATGTGAATTGGACATGTGACATGCTACTCTATAAATGAATGGTCACTTAAAATGATGTCCACACTCCACAGTCTCTTTGGTTAAGATGAATATTGAATATGTTTAAGGTTGAACTGAATATTCAATATGTTTAAGGTTGAACTGAATATTAAATATGTTTAAGGTTGCACTGAATATTAAATATGTTTAAGGTTGAACTGAATATTAAATATGTCTAAGATTGAGATGAATATTGAATATGTCTAAGATTGAACTGAATATTAATATTGAATATGTTTAAGGTTGAACTGAATATTAAATATGTCTAAAATTTAGCTGAATGTTGAATAAAATATTGAATATGTTTAAGGTTGAGCTGAGTATTGAATATGTTTAAGGTTGAACTAAATATTAAATATATTCAAGGTTGAACTTGATCTAATTGTACTGGAAAGTCAGCATGATAATGATTGTGACATGTTCCGAACTGGAAGCTTGGAATGCAACTGCACAAGCTCTTTCAGGTTTTTGATTTTTTATAATTTCAATGGTTTATATAATCTTCATAATTAATATAATCGAACCAACTCCCTTAAGCTTTGTGCAAAATTCGACATATCAATAATTTTGATTTTCTTTTCAGAACTTCAGAACTGAGCCCTCAGCTACAAATTGCGGTCAACTTCGGTGAAGAAATCCTTATGCAATAAAATCAAATTTGTCGTGTCACAGCTTTTTTTGGTCATTGACAGATACTTATTGTAATTAGTTCATTTCAAGTATATTCTCATTCAATTGTAAAAAAGCTTAAAAGAGAATATATTTTTAATTTTGCATGAAATTTTCAATTTGAAAAAATGTGGGTCAATTATACACCTTATTCAAATATTTTCAATTATCAATCTTTAAATGTCACGGGTTTAAAATATTTTTTATCAAGTTGAAAGTTATTTTTTCTTTATTTACTGGATTTTCAATTAATATGGAACTACGGAACCAAGTTTTGATATCTACGACGGTTAATAAATATCGTCTTACTGGTTCAACTTTCTTTTAACCTTCTTTAAAATATCAGGAATTTCACAACATTTCGAATAAATTTTGTTTGCTTGCTTGTAAATAACTAAATATCAAACTGGTTTAACGATTTCAACGGTGCCTGACACCATCTGTACAGTGTACATTGTACATATTTTAATTTATAATTATTTTCAGCTAAATGAGAAACATCCAATTTATTCGATCAGTTCAACATGCCCACAGACAAAACCTGAATTCCCAAATTTGCAGAAAACTGGTTCCGGATTCAGTTTTGTCTGTTCCAAAGACAGGTTTAAGGATTCCACAACGTTATAATGTCGTCTTTAAAATTAAAGACGATCTATATATTTTCTAAATAAACGGACAAATACCTAGCTGTCAACTAGATATAAAATCCAACCGTATGCTGTTAGTAAATATTCATATTTAATGTAAATAAAACGTGCTGTTTGTAGGAATGAGTTAAATTGAGAAATAAATCTGTTTAAGTTTTCTTATATTTTCTGAACGTAACAGTTGGATAACATAGATTAGGCCCTCGGGAAAACTATAGGATCAAGGAAGTTCTAGAAACAGCTTTGTGAATGAGAAAGTACAGAGTTACCCACAAAGGATGAGACTTCAGAGACATTTGTACAGAATTAATACACTCGGAATTTCAAGTCGTCTTTACAGTTTCATCTTTTGTGGGTAAACCTGTAGATTCGGTAGTTCAACTAAGGGTATATATGTAGAAAGTTGAAGAGGCTGAAGGAAAGTATTTATAATCTCAAAATGCCCATGGGAGCTAGAAGAGGAAATGAAGAACTATCGCATTTATGATCTTAAAGTGTCAAAAGTAAATTTAAATCCAACAATAAAACCAAAAATCAGAAATTTCTTAATTTTGTAATGTACGAAGAAAAGTTTGTGACAGGCAAAGTAAAAATAGAAACTAAGAACACCCCGCTAAAACCTATTATTTCTTCAGTGAGAGTACTGTAGATCACTACAGTACACACTGAAGCTTAGTTTAGGGTAAGAGAAGGTGGCGCCTTCTGACTTTGCTTGTCTTGCTAATTTGAATACTGTGAATGCAGAACAGAAGACAGTTTAACCCCTAGAACTCCGGAGACATCGAACGAATTTATAAAATTTCGTCTTGACAATTTTTCAATGGCATTAATATTACCTAAATCTTAGTAATTGTGAAAATAGATAAATTACCGTGAAATATGCAGGAACAGTTTAAAGAGCTCCATATAACTTTTCAATCAAAAAACTAAATATCTGCAGGATTCCATTATCAGAATCCGACATTTTATAAATTTTTTCGATGTTTTCAAAGTTCTGGATTAAACTGTATTAAACCCAAAATCTGGAGAATAATTGCTATCTTAATATGTGTCAAAGTAAAATTATCAATTTTTGAAATTATTTGAAATTATTTGAAATTATTAGAAATTATTAGAAATTATTAGAAATTATTTAAAATTATTTAAAATTATTTGAAATTATTTGAAATTATTTGAAATTATTTGAAATTATTAGAAATTATTTAAAATTATTTGAAATTATTTGAAATTATTTGAAATTATTAGAAATTATTTGAAACTACGACAACAAAAGAATGAACTTAAACGATCAGCTTAAATTGCCGGAAACCTAACTTTCAAAATCTGATTGTATCACTCATCTTTTTTACGAATAACTAATCTGAATATTATTAATATGTATATTTACATCATACATATATATATGTGTGTGAGTATAGTTTATATATATTTTTGTAGATTATAAAACGTACAATATATATTTTTTAAAAGACTGCCGGATTATCTATAATTGAGTTGACAGCTCCATGCTAGTTAGAATTCATCAAGTACGTCTTAGTTGAGAGTTGATATAGGAGAAGGTTTATGTTGATCTACAAGTTTCTGCCATATATCTTGGAATGCACAAATCCGAGGAATTTTCTAAAATATGTTTTAGAATCAAATCCTAAATATTTGATCAAATAACGAAGATTATATCAAGATAACAGAATCAATACAATTTTGATTAAATTCAAAGCTTGAAACTTTTGAACGGACAGAACTAGCTTAAATTTCCCACTTCAGGTCACATTCCCAGTCCACTTATTTTTTTCTAAAATACGCGAGATAATTTCTAATTTTTACTTTGTTTTCGTCACTAAATTCATGAAAAATCCCTTTCAGTAGTATTTATATATTTCTAGTTTTGTATAAAATCTCATGAATCCAGTGTTTATTTTTATATGTTTATGTGTATCATTAAACCGGGAGAACCCCAACATTTTAGATCAAGGACGGAGTAAGGAGCAGTTTAGGTATTTGGGAAACTAGATTCAAATTTTTAGTAAAATACAAAAAAATATAAAGATGTTTAAAAATAAAAGACAAGTTATTAAGTTTTCTATGTTTTTCTTTTCCATTTAAAACTGAGATAAAATAAATTTCAATTATAGCCTTTATTATTTAATGAGAATTAAATCTTCTCCATGTTAATGAATAACCTGTTCAATCTGGTTCCTGGAGTAAACGGTCCGTATTCTCCCTAGTCCTAGATCTCATCAGTTCCGGACACAAGGAGGACTCCCTGAGCAAAATAAACTTTTGAGAGGAGTTTGAGAAAAACCAGGTTTAGAGAACAACTTAATGGGATTAGAGCCTGAATTGGGGTTAGTAAAAAAACTGACCGTAGAGTTAGAGAGATTATAAAGAATATACCGGGTTTATAGAGAAGAAATCAGAGTAAGAGAAAAACTTTGAATATTGCGTATTTCTAAACTAAATTAACCTTATTAATTTTACACTATGAAAATATTCTCCTACCTAACTTTTGTGGAGCGTCTTCTTTCTCCGTTTCTCCTTAGTTTAACCCGTCCCATATCCATCAAGCTCTGGAATAGACCAGCATCTACTTCAGTCTCCGGTATAGACTGACCGTTCATTAGTTGAACTGTTTGCTCAGAAACATTCCTGGAAACCTTCTTCTTCCGTCTCTTCTCCTTCTCCTCAGGTTCTACTGCAGGAAGGGTGGATTCTAACGGAATATCTTCTCTTCTCCGTCTCCGCCTGTGTTCGACCCGTCCCACCCCTTCGGTTTCATCCGACGGAGCAGGCAAAACAGGTTGAATATCTCTGTCTTCCCTGCTCCTAGTTCCATCCAACCTGGACACCAGGCTCTCTTTTTCTCTTCTTCTCCTTTCTCTGTGTTCTCCATCTTCTCTGTGTCTTCGTTCTCTTGGTTCTTTCCCTTCCACCTCGTCCTTCTCCTCTCGTCTTCTCCTATGTTCTCTGTGCTTCTTCTTTTTTCTGCAAACAGAAAATAGTAAAAATATTTTTACAGCAGTAGTTGCGTCACAAAATTGCACTTATCGCAAGAGTAAGTGTTTTTGTTTTGTATGTTTTGTTTCAAGTGTGCAAATGTAGTTTTAGAAACAATATTTAAACTGATCAATTTATCTATTGTCATTCATTCCATGTTTACAAAGGAATTGAGTTTTTGCCACAACCTCAAATTTTCTAATTACTGTATCTCTGCAACCAGTGAGAATAAACCTTTGATATTTCAAACTTAGATTATTTGATCTAACAGAATTAATAGTTTGAAATATCTAAGGTCTACGACATTGGGTTGCCAAGATATAGGGATACGAATATTTGAGTTTGTGGCAAAAACTCAGTTCCTTTTAAATTTAAATTTTGAATTTAAAAGCGATGCAAATTTTCAAATCAGAGATGTCATATTTCACGTATTTGGTATCGCTAGGATGAAAAAATCTAAAAATTTAAAAGGAATATCTGATTTTTTAATTAAGTTTGCGCGTTTTCTGCAAGGTAATATTTATTCTTTCTATAGCTAAGACTATTTCTTTACCAAAAATGTAATGACACCATTAGATTCTCCTTTGCACTTCTAGATTATCTACTTTATCTTTTATTTTACAAAATCTTTACTTAACTCCCCCCCCCCCTCCATAGCTCCCCACATTCATCTCCTTTCTATCCAACATATACCTTCTTATATTTATTACAGATTTAATTTAATCAAAATTAGGCGTGGAAAATCCTATTAACATTCTTCAAAATAGATTATGCGATAAAAAGTGAAAGCTTACCTGGGTTCATCTATCTCCCCGAGCAGTAGGTTCAAATCACCTTTGGAAGAGTTCTTTACAAGCTCATGGAGCTTAACTCGGGATCTATTCCGCTCCTTCGCTTCTCTTTTAAACTTTAAGGTTTGCTGAGCTCTTTCACGAGATGTTCTAAACTCAAGAGCGAACTCGGATATAGTTTTACACACATGATTCACCTTAAACTCATGAGTCTGACTCTTTGGTATTCCCAACCAGATTAAAAACTCTTGAAAACTTTTCTTTAAAATTTTGTTGATTTTCTGCATAACGATAATTCTCTCTGCAGCGTCGGTTAGAAATTCCGATATTTTGTTCTTGTTTCCTCCCTCTCCATCTCCGTGGCTTATATCGAACTTTGTTATTATTTTTAAATAATCCCAGGCGCTCTTACACTCTTCTTCCATCCTTATCAGGGTAGAAGAAAGCTCTTCAAAGTCTGTTTTTGATGCTCTAGTGACTGGTCCTATCTCGGAGTAAAGATCACTAAGGTTTGGTATGCTTTCCAGGAGCCAGAATGTGAGATGATACATCATGGAATGTTTGTGAACCGTGTCCTTGACTTCAGTAACCTTGGCCAGGTAATCAATCTGAAATCCTTTAGACTCGGTTCCGTTCAGAAAGTTTCCTATTTCAAGAATAACACTAAGAATAGCGTTAAATGTAACACTAGACTTAAGTATATCCAGGCCCTGCTTGAGATCCCCTAGAGGTTCACATATTTCCTTCTCTACAACAACAAAATCAAGTTTAAACGCCCAGAGCCTGAGTCTAGCCTCTAGTCCTGAAATAGAACTGAGCGTGATCAAGAACTGTTCTGCAGTTCCCAGGGGAAGCTCCGGGGTCTGCTCCTGGGCCTCCTCTATCCTACTGATCTCCTCCTCACTGGGAAGCATCGTCAGTAGCTTCTCAATCCCCTCCTTGTTTATGATCGAACTATCCATCTTCATCACAGACTCTTTTATAATCCTACACAAAAATAAGTTCAAAAACAATAAAAAATCGAAAATAAAATAAAATTGAGATTTTTCTTTAAACCACTCTTCAGAAACCTGACAGTATCATTTTACAGGTAAGATAATCCCTAATCCTTCTTACACTGGGAAATAGGACCTGGAGCTAGGACAGGGATTCTCACACTCTTTGTTTACATTAAAAACTAATCTGTATACTTACAAAAATAAACAAACAATTTGAGTTAAAGCAATTCTTTTTGTTTAATTTCTCCGAAAGGCAAACCTCAACATCAAGTTAGGAAAAGTAGAGTTAATTCTACAGACTGCTAACAATATATAGTTTTACTGCAGAAACTTTTTATCTGAGAATCCAAGGAGAGTTTTTTTCCCGGAAGTTTTCATGCAGGCCAAGTGCTACAGAGTAGGGACAGGGTCAGGGAAAGTAAAAACTAGCTCGGAGACAAACCTTGTTATAAATTCAAAAACTGTATTTCTCTGAATGAATGAAGTTTAAATGAGCACAAGGATGGGACAAACTCCGAAAACTCCTACTCCTACCAGTTCTAACAATACAAGGTAAAAGTAGAATATTCCTCTAGTCGAGTTGCATAAATAGAATTCCTGCTTTCTAAATACTAATGTTAACTCACAAACAGAACATTATTCTTACATTCAAATTCAAATTAAGCTTTGCAATACTCTAGATCGTAAACCACTAATAATCAATGTTTAAAAATCTAAGATTAGATCATAGATCATAGATCATAGATCATAGATCAAAGATCATAGATCATAGATCATAGATCATAGATCATAGATCATAAATAAAAGATCATAGATCGTAGATCATTACAGATAGAGATTAGAGCGCCAACGTTTATCCCTGGCTATAATTCTCTTAAATTTCGTAAATGTTCCGAAAAGAGGAAAGGAACTGATTACTCGCATCAAACTATGTTCTTCTAATCCCTTTATCTTTACAACATGATGGTGTAAGCTTTTGCTATTTCAAATGTTGACCATTTAAAGCTAATAGAATTCATTGTTTGGAATATCAAAGGTCTACGACATCAGGCTTCAAAAAGATAATAATTAGAAAATTTGATTATAATCTAATTTTCTAATTATTATGATAGTACAAGGAGAGTAATCAGTTCTTTTATGAGGTTTTAATATTACCTGGGAGGTGGTAGTTTAGTCATCCCAATATTTATAAAGTTTGATCTCTTGTGTTCAAGAACTACAATTTCTCTGACGGGACCAGTTTGAATCTTACTTGTCTCCTTCACTATAGTTTCCTTGCCCCTGGATTCAAACAAGTATTCCAGAACCTTGTGATCTACAGAGATAGGAAGGAGTTCGTCCCAAACCGTATTTACTCCATCCTGTCTCTGTCTTAACTCTCTCCAGAACAATTTTATTGTTTTCTTAGTTTTTCTATAATTAGAGATAGAGTTCAATGTTTTATCTTTGGGTACCATGGGTAGGGGTGTAGGTAGTCCCGTAGATCCGGGTGGGGGTGGAGCCTTGGGAGGAGCAGGGGGAGGAAGTGGAGGAGGAACTGGAACTCCATTCATGTTTTTATTCTCTTGTTGTTCCTCCTCCTCGTACTTGAGGTCCGTAAAGTCAAGATCACAGATAATTAATGGACGATCAGATTTGGTTTGTATTTGCTGCCATTGAAGTTCTCCTTCCCGTTCATCTGGTTGCGGACTCTCTGGTGGAACAGGGCTCCCGGTCTCACCCTTGCTGATCTTAGCGATAAAAGCATCCTTGGCTTTCTGTAGGAACCCGCTCAGTGTTAAACTCTCTGTGAGTTGGTTTAGAGAATCTCCTGATGGACTGACAGGTAAACCATTCTTTGCGAGTATCCTCTTGAGATCATTGAACCCAACCTCCTCGATATCTCCCTGATTATCTGCTTCTGCGTTTTTAACCTGGGATATTTTGTATCTCAGAGATTTACGGGGCTTGTAGGAGTTTGTTTTTGTTCTTAACGAGGTTCTGAGTCGGAGAGATGAATCCTGATACAAAGCTGAAATATCTTCCTCCGTCACTTGTTCTCCGTCCTCCTGTTTCAGTGCTACGTTATACAGCTGAATCTCTTCAAGGAGCGAGTTGGGGAAATTATCATCGCTCGTCATCTCAGTAATATATTCTATACCTAGATCCTCCATGTAATCAGTCTGCTCGTAGAATGTATTCTGATCATCTATCTCATATAACGTTTTATTCACGAGCGTTAGAGCAAAGGTGGCGAGCTCAGGGTCAAAGTTTTCATTGGTCATTAATTTGATGAGATAACTCCAAGGGATTCCTTCGTCCTGTGTTGCTACGTTGTTGATTGCTTGAAGTAGAATGAGGTAGTTGGACTCGTTATAATCTATAAAAACAAGAAGTAACTTGATAGCAGTCTTAACTACCAGCTTATTTTGAGAGGAAATCAGCTTATAGAGTAACTCAATAGCAGAAATATGTTCCATAACTCCTTTCATCCCATCAACATAAAGCATCAGTTGTCCTAGAGCCCGGAGAACAAAGTTCTGTAGTTGTGATTCGTTCTGATTTATCCCTAGATCTACTAGTCTAGTTAATCCTCCTTCCTCCACAAATTCAAAAACTAAATCAGATTCGGATTGAAACAGAGATTTAAGGGAAAAGAGAACTTGTTTCAGCGCAGTATCGTCGGATTCATTCAACTTTTGTACAAGGTTTTTAGCTTTGGTTTTCATCTTATTCTCAGTTTGGGGGTTCTCCAGGTCCTGAGGGGATACTTGGTCAGAAGTTTCTAGTTCCTGGAGCAAGGGTTCTTTTCCTATCTCAACCGTTGCATCTTTTAGCCAATCTCTGTAACCATGGTACTCGGAGTAAACGTTCTCCACAACCTTGATTTCATCAAAGTTTGCATAATCCTGGTCATCAGAGTCATCTGAATCCTCAACCTTCTTTGCAGGTTTAGTTGGTATACTGGGAATTATCTGTTTCATACAATCCATAATCCATCCTGCTTTTTCATCCTTCTCTTCTTGGTTTGGGATTTCTTCTTTTACTGATTCAAACTGCTCTTCTTCTGGACGTTCATCATTATCACTGTAATAATATTCCCAGTCGCCTTCTTCTTCTCCTTCCTCCTCCTCATCCTCCTCTTCATCTTCCTCCTCTTCCTCCACTCCTTCCTCTTCATAATAATCTTCATTCTTTGTAGCTTTCTGTTCCGACCCTTCCTCCTCGTTTATGTGTTCTCCTTTCTCTTCCGTTTCCTCATCCTCGTCCTTCTTATTTTCCCACCATGGCGCGTCATCAAGATATTTGGATGAATGTTTAGGTGTAGGATTAGTACTCAGATCACCACCCGGAGCTTCTTTAGCTTCCTTGATATCTCCGACCTCAACAGTCGCCTCCTGTTCGAACTCTACAGGGGATCCATCGTATGCAAAGAAATGAGAAGTTCTAGATAATAGATCATCAATATCAACTGTTGCTCCAATAAAAGTGTTTGCTTCATTTTGTTTCTCTTGTTCTTCATGTTTATCTATAGTATAGGATGGTTTTGGATCATTAATTGTAATACCTATTTCTAGCCGTCCGTTTAATATTTTTTCAGAGTTATCTCCCTCCTCCTCTTCCTCTTCTTCTTCCTCTTCATTTTTATCCTCCTTTTCTTCCTTATCATCTTCCTTTTTATTAATTGTTTTCGTCTCGAACTCATAGACTTTATCAGGAGGTTTTACTTCTTCTTCTTCTTTGTCTGAATCCAGATCCATTGAGTCCAGGTAACTGAGTGGATCTTGATTTAATTGTTTCTTTCTTGAAGAGTATTCAGACTCGTAACCGTTGGTAGTATTGGTTACATTGCTAGTATCACTGGTCGAGTTACCATTAAGAGTTTCGAATCCAGTAGGAACTGGAGAATGTCCGTATCCGGAGCTTGAGTTGGAACTATGAAGCCTATCACTGTACCTGAATGGTTTTCTCTCCTCTAAAGGTTCCGGTTCTTTAACTCCGTTTGAATAAGATTTCGGTGTGCTGGCAGGTTCTTGGTTTGGAAGGAATCCCGTCATACCGGCCTTTTTATAGGAGAACTTTTCTTCCTTATCAGTAGAGTTAAACAGTTCTATTCGTTCTTCTAGTTTTTGCTTTTCAACTGGATTATTTGTGATATATTGCATAGTTTTCTTGACATGATCAAAGTAATCAAAACTTTCTAAATCTGCTTCAGATCTTTTCTTGAGATAATATTGTTCAGTTTGTAAACCTATGTCTTGTTTCACAGGGTTCACATATTTAGTTAACCGAACTGAATATGGTTCTGAGTCCCGTCCTATCCTACTCACCTGCACAACATCAGATTCAGGAGAGGTTCCTCTGTCCTGTAGGTACTTGGATCTTGATGGATCCTGACTATCCGTCCTAGCTGTGCTCTGCTCTCTAGTTCTCCAGACCGAAGGTTCCTGATAACTGCTTGCATTGTGTTTGCTCAAGGTTTGCTCTATTCTCTCTGAAATGTTTGATGATCTGTCCAGGGTTCTCTGAAGTGCACTTTCATATCCAGGAACTGTTTCCTTCTTTGATGCTCGTCTTTCCAGTGTTCTACTTAATCTATTATCATCTAAAATATCTTGTGCTTTACTAATATTAGAGGATTCTAATCCTTTATCCGTCCTTAAAGAATCTCTCCAAGAATATGCAGGTTTACTTTCAACAACAGGTTTCTCCTCATACGAGGTTTTATCACTTCTGTAGCTGTCTCTCCAGGAGTAAGGTTTACTACTGGTATCTTCACTGTACTTAGGTTTCTCCTCATAGGAGGGTTTTTCAGTTCTTAAATTATCTCTCCAGGAGTAGGACGGTTTAGTAGTATCAAACCTGGAAACTTTATCCTGATAGTTTGATCTATCTTCTGCAAGTCTAGATGGTTTCTCACTGTAAAGATTAGTTTTCTCTTCTCCGAACCTAGAAGGTTTTTCGTAGGATGGTTTATCCGTCTTAATACTATCTCTCCAAGAGTAGGCTGGACTAGACGAAAGATTGTTACTGGATCTAAAAATATAGCAAAATTATTCTTAATAAAAAAGATTGCATTAAGGAATAAGTAAAGATTAAAGATTAGTAAATTTAATGTTAATAGGTGTATTTATAACATTTAAGTTGCCATAAACGCGTGCAGACTGTTTTTATACAATAAAATGCAGATACTGGCCAAAAAAGGATATTTCTCCGAACCTGGACGCCATGTAGACATTTGAAGTTGAATAGCTTGGTTTAGAGTAGGATGAGTCCGATGTGGAGTAAAGGGATGAGGGACGCTCCCAGCTAGGTTTTCTCTCGTAGGATGAATATCCAGACCCGTAGGATCTACAGCATATCAGGGGTTAATATAAGGTATGAAACAGCAAACATATCTATATTGAATGTCAGATCAATTGTTTTAAGGAATTTTCTACTCTTAAAGGGACAGTAAAGGAAAAATGAAAGGGGGTATAGGCTGAAAGCTAATCACTTTAGCTCTTGATCGCGACCCATGAAAGTTATATCTGATGTTCCTGTCTCGAGAAACTGATATAAAACTGTGTTAAAATTATACGAAAATTCTTATATGTAAAATTTTGAAAATCTGAAACTTAAATCACGTGACCAGAACTATCACCAATGGCAGAGCAGTATCCTGGTCACTTGTCTCCCCCTGTATCACGTGGCCACTTTACTGCACTGCCATTGGTGGAATTTCTGGTCAAGTAATACGGACGTAAAAATAATATTATGAATGAAATCTATTGAAAATAGAAATAACAAATATAAAAGTAAACATAATTTACAATTAGCTTTCTCTGGGATATCATCGTTTTCAGATTGGTTGCTTAATTGCTGAATATGCTCTGTTTAAACCTACTACTTTTATACAAAATTGTATATATATTAATTTTCGTATATATTTGACACAGTTTTATATCAATTTCTCGAGACAGGAACATCAGATATGACTTTCATGGGTCGCGATCAAGAGCTAAAGTGATTAGCTTTCAGCCTATACCCCCTTTCATTTTTCCTTTACTGTCCCTTTAAGCAGTCTCAACTTTCTTTATAATGATTAATGACCATTTTCGGAGACGTTTTTGACGAAATATTTATAAATAGAAGTTAGCAACTTCTAATAGGTTTTAAAATTACGTAATATCATAAAATAATATAAACAGCTACAACTCTGACACTTAACAAATCTTTGACGTATTTGAGAAGAAAAACAAGGAGAAGTGAATGGTCACCCACTTGGTCACGTGGTCATCGTTTAGGCTGGGACAAACTACACTCAACATAAAGTTGTCAATACGATTGTGCAACCTTATAACGCCTCCCGTTTTTAGTCTACAGTCGGTTGTAATTTGAGACAAAGTTGATACGCATATAAATCTATATTTACAAAAAGGTGTATCGCAGCTTCTGGAAGGAATATATACAATCTTGATCAGATTGTTTATATTCCACACAGAAAGTAAATTTTTTAATTTCTTGATTAATGCAAAGTTCTGGGACCCTGATTTTGTATATTTTAATGTAAACTAGAGAAACTCGTTATGTCGGCAATAAAACAATTTTTGATTTCTCATTTCATTCTCCTTGTTCTTCTATACGTTTTAAATGCTAAATTTACATATTAGTTTTTATATTCAATGGTGTTAAATCTTTTGTGTACTGCACTGTACAATATTCAGTATGCAAAATTAACAGTTTGATGAAGAGTTTAATGAAGAGTTTATAGTACAGGGTACATTAAAAGGGTTCAATGTATTGTACAGTGTAAATGTACAGTTTATCGTATTTGCGCAGGCATAATTCACAATGCACATGCCAACTCTTTGTTTATAATGCATAACTTTAGCAATCACAGAAACTTTCTTTAGGAAATGTCCTAAAATCCCCAAACTCAACAAGGTAACTAAGTCCTTGACACAAATTTCAATTTTTAATCCCTATATCTTTGCAATACGAAGATGCGAAACTTTTATATTCAAACTTAAACTATTTAAACTGACAGAATTCACAGTTTTCAATATGTTAAGGTAAACGGGGTTGCAAATATACAGGGATTAAAATCAGAGTTTGTGGCAAGATCTCAGTGCCTTTCCGCGAGTTTGCAAAATTATTGTTAAAACGATATTTTAAATATATTTGAATTTGTAAAGTTAGTTTTCCGTCCTAATGTGAATAGTATTCATTTATTTAAAAAAAAAGTTGATTGTTTATTGTTAAAAGCTGGGGTAAATAGTTAAAAGAAGATAATTTACGATTACGTTTTCTTCCTTCGGCTTACCTAGACTATAGGAGAGCCGGGGAAAGAAAATAACAGTAGAATCGTCCTAGAAATAGTTCCAGTAAACACTAGCACACAGTTTTATATCTTTTTGACACCTTTTGACAGAGAAAAAATAAATGTAGAACTTTCATATTCTATAAAGTGGTAAGGTTCACGTTTATTGTTTGAGTGTTTTATAATATCTAAATAAATGAAGTTTTTAAGAGAGTTTTCAACTATTCGAAGAGAGTTTTCTATTATATGATTATATGTAAAGAGTTCTAAACTTATATAAAGGTATGAAATATAACCCTATAATGAGATTTCTCTTGTATATAACTTATTGTAGAAAGTTCTAGACTACATTATTAACTTATTTGTAGAGAGTTTAAACTATATAAACGTATGATGAGAGTTCTAAACTGTATAAAAGTATGAAGAGAGATATAAACTAAGTAAACGTATGCAGAGAGTTCTAAACTCTATAAACGTATGCAGAGAGTTCTAAACTGTATAAACGTATGAAGAGAGTTCTAAACTGTATAAACGTATGAAGATAATTCTAAACTGTATAAATGTATTAAGACAGTTCTAAACTGTGTAAACGTATGAAGAGAGTTCTAAACTGTATAAACGAATAAAGAGAGTTCTAAACTGTATAAAAATATGAAGAGAGTTCTAAAATATATAAACATATGAAGAGAGTTCTAAACTATGTAAACGTATGAAGTGAGTTCTAAACTGTATAAACGTATGAAGAGAGTTCTAAACTGTATAAACGTATGAAGAGAGTTATAAACTCTATAAACGTATGAAGAGAATTCTAAACTGTATAAACGTATGAAGAGAGTTCTAAACTATGTAAACGTATGAAGAGAGTTCTAAACTATATAAACGTATAAAGAGAGTTCTAAACCGTATAAAGGTATGAAGAAAGTTCTATACTAAATAAAAGTATGAAGATAGTTCTAAACTCTATAAACGTATGAAGAGAATTTAAACTGTAAAAACGTATGAAGAGAATTGTAAACTATATAAACGTATGAAGAGAGTACTAAACTATATACAAGTATGAAAAGAGATTTCTAAACTATATGAACGTATGAAGAGAGTTCTAAACTGTATACACGTATGAAGAGAATTCTAAACTGTAAAAACGTATGAAGAGAATTCTAAACTATATAAACGTATGAAGAGAGTACTAAACTGTATACAAGTATGAAAAGAGATTTCTAAACTATATAAACGTATGAAGAGAGTTCTAAACTGTATACACGTATGAAGAGAATTCTATACTCTATGACTGAATGTGTCAGAATGTATTTTTACCACAAATGTAACTGATAAGAGCTAAGTCGATCTATACTCAGCAGGGTAAATAGCAATGACAACATAACCTTTCCTTAATCATTCCACCCTTATCTATCCCTTTTCCCTCCCCCCCCTTATCAGTCCCCGCCCCTTCCCCCTACCAATCCTTTCTCCCCCTTTACCAATCCCTTCCCAGTGCACCATTCACTTCTTTGTTTGAATCCCCATAAGTTTCATCTATTTTGTAACCATCTAACTGGCTTTTTAAGTGATAAATTAACTCTTTAAAAAGTCATTGATGCCAGCAAACCCAGTTCAAATTAAAAAACAATCTTTAATAATTCCACTCTTTTCAGGTTCACCCTGTATGCTTTTCAAAAATATGTAAAATAATATCTTTATTCTCATCTACACGTATTGTTCTCTCCTGGGTATACAGGGGGGGGGGGTGCGGTGTATAGTGGGAAGGATGGGGGAAGAGTATAGAATGAAAAATGGGAATGAGGACTGAGGAGGGATGAGGGTGTGGATCAAATTTCAGGATTCAGCTCTGCTCAGAATAAAAAGTAATCACGAAAACTCAGTCGACAAAGGAAAATAAAATTATCATTTTTATTGAACCCACACTCAATCTAAACTAGAATTTGTGACAAGGATAATGGTCTATTTATAAATATCGTGCAGGTTAGTAAAAACTAAATTATTAGTTCTACGCGCGCAGATGCATCACTTTTTTCACGTTTATTTCACCTGGGGAAGGATGAGGTTCCGCTGAAACTCTTCTCGTAGCTGCTCACGAACGGCATGATGGAGGCGCCCTAGGCTCAGGTGTTAGGAGAGGAGCGGCATGAGGGATGAATATACCGGGACTGGGAGAAGAGTAATGAAACCTGGCAAACTTTCAAAAACTTACTTTCTCTTTCCATCCATCCCGGAACTTACAACTTCTATTGTTGTATGGGTTAATAATAAGAAACGGACGGGACGCATCTTAAAGGTCTTTTATTCATCCTTGACTCCGCTTTTTTTATTTTCAGGATAATTCTATATAAAGAGCATCTCAGGAATAGGATCTAAACGTAGTTTGACCCAAATTCTAGGTTAAGAGTTGAGTTGGACGAATGCCAAAATACTCTCTAATCCGAGCTAAAAGGAGAGAAGGACAGAATAAGAATTGAAGAAAGGAGACATAAATACTCACAGAAAACGAAGGATCAAATTTTAATTTCATATAAATTGTTGCAATATTTACTTCAAATTGTATTTTATCAAAGAAAAGGAATATTGTAATGACAAAGGAATCTGAAGCTTAATATAGCCGGCCTGTAACTGAATAAATTCGAAATCGTTAAACCCTGAAATTTTTCCTTTTTTGGTCGAAATTCGTGTTCCCGGGTTTCCCCCAGTACCTTGATACGCAGTGTTCTAAAAGATGAAAGGATTCCCCCCGTCTATTTCTCAGATAATGATAAAAGAATGGATAGAAGAATCAACAAGTGGAGACTCCCAGAGTAACCCTTAGTATCGATCCAACCCGGAACCTCACCAAAATATAAATTTTTTACTTCAACCCTTTTCTAAACTTTTTTTTAGGAAATATAATAATTTTTGCATCATTTTGTAAAAAAAAAAATTTAAACGTTTAGAACTGAAACCCTGATAAATCTTATAAACGGACTGGTATTTGATACTACAGAAAAGGAGGGAATACAGCAGTCTTACAGAAACCATTCTCATCCTCTCTCACACTCATTCATCTAACTTTACTCATCCTCTCTCATCCTCTCTCACACTCATATGTCTAACCTTAATCATCCTTTATCATCCTCTCTCATCCCCTCTCACACTCATACATCTAACCTTACTAATCCACTCTCATTCTCTCTCACACTTATACATCTAACCTTATTCATCCTCTCTCACACACATACATCTAACCTTATTCATCCTCTCTCACACTCATATATCTAACCTTACTCATACTCTCTCATCCTCTCTCACACTTATACATCTAACCTTACTCATCCTCTCTCACACTCATTCATCTAACTTTACTCATCCTCTCTCACCCCCGCTCACACTCATAAATCTAACCTTACTCATCCTCTCTCATCCTCTCTCACACTCATATATCTAACCTTAATCATCTTTATCATCCTCTCTCATCCCCTCTCACACTCATACATCTAACCTTACTAATCCACTCTCATTCTCTCTCACACTTATACATCTAACCTTATTCATCCTCTCTCACACACATACATCTAACCTTATCTCATCCCCTCTCACACTCATACATCTAACCTTACTAATCCACTCTCATTCTCTCTCACACTTATACATCTAACCTTATTCATCCTCTCTCACACTCATACATCTAACCTTATTCATCCTCTCTCACACTCATATATCTAACCTTACTCATACTCTCTCATCCTCTCTCACACTTATACAACTAACCTTACTCATCCTCTCTCACACTCATACATCTAACCTTACTCAATCTCTCTCATACTCTCTCACACTCATACATCTAACCTTACTTATCCTCTATCATCCTCTCCCTCACTCATACATCTAACACAACGAAGTAGAATAGAAGGGGATTATAGGGAATTTATAAAGAGAAAGGAAAAGGGAGGGGGGGAGGGGGGTTAAAGTATGTAATGATATAGAGATAAAGGAGTAGGATAAGGAGGAGAGGGGAAGGGGAGAAGAAAGGAAAGGGAGAGAGGGGGGTTAAAGTATGTCATGGTAAAGATATAAAGGAGTAGGATAAGTAGGAGGGGGGAAGGGGAGAAGAAAGGAAAGGGAGGGAGGGGGGTAAATTATCTAGTAATAAAGAGATAAAGGAGTGGGGAACGGGTTAAATATATGGATTAGTCCAGTGGTGGGATATATGGAGGACAATAAGTATAAAGAGGTTTATAGAATAAACTATAAAGGGATATTAACTAAGTTAAGTATAGAACCAACATACTGGTTACTAAATATATATATATATATTTATCCTCCCTCTCTATATATATATTATATATGTATATATAATATATATGTCTAGATAGAGAGAGGAAAGAAAAGAAGGATAAGAAATCATTTACAATAATAATTAAAGTTGGTTAGTAACAGTAAAAGAGTTATAATATTGTAACAGTTTATGAACTATAGAGTTTAAAAACCGGGTTAAAAGGTTGATTTGTCACCCCTGCTTTGGGACGGAAATACCAGAAAATAGTTCGAGATCCTTTAAAGCCTACGACTTTTTTTTGTGATATAAATTACTCAAATTAGGTCTAAAGGGTATTGCGTCCTTTCACGCTTTCAACCAACTATGTGTAAAGTAAAGAAGATTTATTTCAGCCAGGTTTAACAAAATTTATTCAGACTCTTTTATCTCACCCTGTATGAAGACCATGTTTGTAAATATTTTGTTGCGTACATCTGAAGTACTTAAATATTATGTTAATTTTGAATGCCTAAAAAGTATCCACTAGATTTTCTTCTCTACTATTTGTAATACGTTGGGTTTTACCTACGTTCATAATACATTTAAACCTCACTAAGGTATGAATTTTCATTGATAATTGAACATTTGTAATGCAGTTGTAAACAAAAGGGGAAGGTTTTATAGGAAGGGTTGTATTGTTACCATGAAGAGTTAGGAGGGGAAGGTTGTATTGTAACTAGAAAGGGTGTATAGAAAGGGGAAGGTTATATTGCAACTGAGAAGGGTGTATAGGAAGGGGAAGGTTGTATTGTATCTAGAAAGGGTGTGTAGAAAGGGGAAGGTTGTATTGTATCTAGAAAGGGTGTGTAGGAAGGGGAAGGTTGTATTGCATCTAGAAAGGGTGTGTAGGAAGGGGAAGGTTGTATTGTATCTAAAAAGGGTGTGTAGGAAGGGGAAGGTTGTATTATATCTAGGAAGGATGTATAGGAACGGGAAGGTTGTATTATATCTAAGAAGGGTGTGTAGGAAGGGGAAGGTTGTATTATATCTAGGAAGGGTGTATAGGAACGGGAAGGTTTTATTGTATCTAGGTAGGGTGTCTGATGACCATATTTCTCTGATCCTGGTATTTTCAAAATGTGATCTGCCTGTTTTGAATCGTTGAAATGTAATAAACAGAACCACAATTATCTAGTTTTCCAATATCTTAGCATTCTTTTTTTTAATATAGGAAGACAGTAGATCCTGATTTGGGAAGCTAAAGGGATTCTCACTAAAGAACATGCCATTAAATTTATTCATCATATTATGCTTGTATATGTTGTACTTCAAATTCAAATATACAGTGTGTTCCACATCAAATTAGACCGCGTCAATGGATCTAAATTACGATTTGGGGGACAAATCAGAAAATTTAAGAAGAAGGAATCATTTTGAAAAATTTAATAAGACTAATAGAATTTTTTTTGCAGAAAATGCTAGATTTTTCGAGCATTATGTGCGTATTTAGGTGTTAAAGATTAGAGATAATCTAATATGATATGGGACGCTCTGTATTTATAAACAGTATGCAGTACACGGAAATATGTGTACCATAGGTATGTATCTATCTATCTACGCTACTCTGGTAGAGCGTAACAATATTGTGATTATGGTTGTACCTATGGTAAGCACGACTTAGAAATTAGGCAATAAACCCAAAGAGAATAGAATATATATTAGAGTGGAATTTAGACAATCCCTCGGTATGACTTTTTTCAGTTCCTTTCAGCCTGAAAGGGAGTTCAAAGTGTACAAATCATGTAAATGTTCACAAATTATATGCAGTAGAATACATTAATACAGTATGTTCCCTAGACTATCCATTTCAATTTCGAATTTCTTAAAGCTGTTACATTAGCTTTATAAGATGAATTAGGTGAATAAAAACGGAAAATCATCGTTTGTAAAGTAAAAGGCAGAGTTTATATGAAATTATCATTGGTCATTTATGAAACCAGCCTATTTCAAAATTTGGTTTTCTTTTAATATTAATTTTAGATTTTCTATAAAATAATATTCCAGCAAAAGGTTACATAGCACAAATATGTGAAGTACACCTGCAGTATGGAAACAGTACAACAAGATGGCCGTTTTACACTTTTTTCTAGTAAGTTCCACTCTAATATATATTCTTTTCTCTTTGAATAAACCAGAAACCAAAGGTGAAACTGAATATTAACGAGTCTACATATTAAAAACGTCTATTGACCAAGGTTCTTTATTAGACTGCCCTCAATTATTATTTAGTAGACGACAACAAATTATAGTTTTAAAAAGTATTAAACTGTAAAAAGACATTTATTGAATCAAAACTGTCATGTCTTAGTGTTATAAATAGCAACATAAATCTAATAAAAAATGAGTTTTAATGCATTTCTTATACTATGTCTAAGACTGCAAACATGCTATAATAGTATAGAAATAAAAGTGATAGTAAACGTCATATATAGAAGAAGGTTAGGAGAGAGAAGAGATTAAAGATGAAGAAAAACGGATGATTGATGGCCGATTGGGTAAATATGATGGGAGGGTGGGGGGGGGGGGATGAGGATTACTGAAGGGAAAGGAGGGGAGTGGGAAGGTTTAGTATATTTTATGTCTCGCCACATGGTATATTTCCCTGGAGGGTTTAAAACAAGTTTTTCCTTTAATAGATTCAAATATATATTTCTTATTCTATGTGTACCTTAAATCCTGTGTACTGTATATCCTGTGTACTGTATATCCTGTGTACTGTATATCCTGTACACTGTATATACTGTACACTGTATATCCTGTACACTGTATATCCTGTGTACTGTATATCCTGTACACTGTAAATCCTGTGTACCGTATATCCTGTACACTGTATAAACTGTGTACTGTATATCCTGTACACTGTATATCCTGTACACTGTATATCCTGTGTACTGTATATCCTGTACACTGTATATCCTGTGTACTGTATATCCTGTGTACTTTATATCCTGTGCACTGTATATCCTGTGTACCGTATATCCTGTACACTGAAATCCTGTGTACTGTATATCCGGTGTACTTTATAACTTGTGTACTGTATAACCTGTGTTCTGTATATCCTTTGTAATGTATATCCTGTGTACTGTATATACTGTGTACTGTATATCCTGTACACTGTATATACTGTGTACTGTATATCCTCTGTACTTTATATCCTGTGCAGTGTACTGTATATCCTGTATACTGTAAATCCTGTGTACTTGTATATCCTGAGCTGAAAACTTTAGAATGGGATATCTTAAATTCCGATCGGTTAACTAATCTGGAGTTTAAATTCATGTGGAGAACAAGCAATATTTAAACTGGATATTAATTATTCGACGGGATATCTGGATATTTCATTCTAAAGTTTTCAGCTCTGTGTATTGTATATCCTGTGTATGTATAACCTGTGTTCTGTATATCCTTTGTAATGTATATCCTGTGTACTGTATATCCTGTGTACTGAATATTCTGTGAACTTTATATCCTGTGTACTGTATATCCTGTTTACTGTATATCCTGTGTACTTGTATATCCTGTGTACTTGTATATCCTGTATACTGTTTATCCTGTGTACTTGTATATCCTGTGTACTGTTTATCCTATTTTCCTAGTAAAGTCTGTGTACTGTTTATCCTGTGTACTTGTATATTCTGTGTACTGTTTATCCTGTGTACTAGTATATTCTGTGTACTGTTTATCCTGAGTACTTGTATATTCTGTGTACTGTTTATCCTGTGTACTTGTATTTTCTGTGTAATGTATATCCTGTGCACTTGTATATTCTGTGTACTGTTTATCCTGTGTACTTGTATATCCTGTATACTGTCTATCCTGTGTACTTGTATATCCTGTGTACTGTATATCCTGTGTACTTGTATATCATCTGTACTGTAATCCTGTGTACTTGTATATTCTATGTACTGTATATCCTGTGTACTTGTATATCATGTGAACTGTAATCCTGTGTACTTGTAAATCCTGTGTACTGTATATCCTGTGTACTTGTATATCATGTGTACTGTAATCCTCTGCACTGTATATTCTGTGTACTGTTTATCATGTGTACTGTAATCCTGTGCACTTGTATATCCTGTGTACTGTATATCCTGTGTACTGTATATCCTGTGTACTGTATATCCTGTGTACTTGTATATCATGTGTACTGAATATCCTGTGTACTTGTATATCATGTGTACTGTATATCCTGTGTACTGTAATCCTGTGCACTTGTATATCCTGTGTACTGTATATCCTGTGTACTTGTATATCCTGTGTACTTGCATATTCTGTGTACTGTATATCCTGTGTACTGTATATCCTGTGCACTTGTATATCCTGTGTACTGAATAACCTGTGTACTTGTATATCCTGTGTACTTGTATATCATGTGTACTGTAATCCTGTGTACTGTATATCCTGTGTACTGCATATCCTGTGTACTGTATATCCCTTGTACTGTATAACCTGTGTACTGTATATCCTGTGTACTGTATAACCTGTGAACTGTTTATCCTACCTGAGCCGGAAATTTAAGAAAGTATCATTAAACCAAACACTCGAGTTTCGTTTCAAATCCACTTTTAAATATTTTAAAGTGTAACTGTGCCTGCTCATTTCAAATTTTCTGCATTTTTGTTCCAACTTTTTCGTGTTTTAGTCAGCTTTACACAATATGTTCTATTTAAGAGACTCACGACGTATTTTCTATAATGACAAAGATCTTCTTGTTTTTCCATCTGAAAATTAATAATTTTCAACTGTGGTTTCTTTTCACAAGTGTCTTTGAGATTTATACAGTAGAGACAGAGTAGACAGAACTCAACATGTTTTAAGAAAATCTGGCATGAAGTTCTGTAGTTGCAGGGGATCATTTGAAATTCGGTGAATAGTCCCTTTAAGGATAGTCTAGGAGGGAGTATTATACCACATGTTAAATGTTTATATATTATACATTGAACTGTTTACTACATGCTGCAGTATAGTCAGTGGTATTTGTCTTTATGCACATTTGAACTAGGTTCAGTGATTCAACCCGTCCTACTCATTTAAATTAGTTTGTATTTCTAGAATCTAATCAAACAATGACGAGCAGTGAAGATTTCCGGGAATTCGGAAAAGCAATGATTGATTACGTGGCGGACTATCTGGACGGTATCAGGGATAGACCCGTCCTACCACAGGTACTCATAGACCCGTCCTACCACAGGTACTCAGGGACAGACCCGTCCTACCACAGGTACACAGGGATAGACCCGTCCTACCACAGGTACTCATGGATAGACCCGTCCTACCACAGGTGCTCAGGGATAGACCTGTCCTCCACAGGTACTCAGGGATGGACCCGTCCTACTACAGGTACTCAGGGATAGACCCGTCCTACCACAGGTACTCAGGTTGACCCGTCCTACCACAGGTACTCAGGGACAGACCCGTCTTACTACAGGTACTAAGGGATAGACCTGTCCCACCGTAGGTACTCAGGGACAGACCAGTCCTACCGTAGGTACTCAGGGACAGACCCGTCCTACCGTAGGTACTCAGGGACAGACCCGTCCTACCACAGGTACTCAGGGATAGACCCGTCCTACCACAGGTACTCAGGGATACACCCGTTCTACCACAGGTGATTAGGGGTCCGGTCCTACCACAGGTACTCAGGGATAGACCCGTTCTACCACAGCAGGTGATTAGGGGTCCGGTCCTACAACAGGTACTCAGGGATAGACTCATCTTACCAGGTACAAGTAAAAGTTTGCAAATAGATAGTAGTTGAGGGAGAAAAGGAAAGAATTGTGAGAAAAGAAATGAAGGGTTAAATAATTAAGCTGGGAATGAGAATAACATATTACGGGGGGAGAAGCATTGTGAGAATTGGAGTTTTATTGGATTAAAATGGGGAGGGAGAGGAAGGAAGAGGGTTAGATGAGAGTGATATGGAAGTAAGTAATGATTGTGGGAATGTGAGGAATATAAGTAACCAATATTTCACAATATGATGATGGGTTGGAAAACAATGAGTAGATAAATAATTTAAATAATGTTAATCCTTAGGTAACTCCGGGTTACCTGAGAAGCCTGGTTCCAGATGAGGCTCCAGAGAAGGGAGAGGACTGGAGAACTGTTATGAAGGATGTAGACCGTGTTATTATGCCTGGAGTTACTCACTGGCATCATCCTCAAGTAGGTTTACCAGAAACATGATTATCAGCAATATTTAAGGATTTAGATATTCAGTTATTTCTTTGACATTATTTTTTTTAACGAGTTAAAAGAAATCCAGCTATCAACAGAAAACTCTGAAATAGGAAGGATACTTTAAGGATCAAGTTATAACTTGAAAAAGTCCAATGAGCATAAGACACACCAATTGCGCAGTGCAAACAGACCCCTTTCAGTATATTATTGATTTAACAAGTGTGTATAGTAAAGCTATTTGCTTTGTAACTATAGTCAAATACACTTTAGTATTGCTATAACGTCTAAACTTCCTATTCCATTGTTTTCTGGTAAACAATTTTCCTATTTGTTAGTTCCATGCCTACTTTCCTACTGCGAACAGCTATCCTGCAATAGTTGCTGATATCCTGTCTGGTTCTATAGCTTGTATTGGATTCTCCTGGATAGGTGAGCTCAACACATTCAATAAATTCTGGAATTTGGGACCATTTTTCGGATTCACGAAGACGATTTCAAATGTTAAATAGAAAATATATCCCCAGGATTTTCACATCTTTATAAATATCTCTTATTCAATGTGTATTTAAAAATGTTGTAGGTAGACTGGGCATTTTAACCTCTTTATATGCCGTTGAAAGTAAAACTACTTTAGAACATTTACTTTTATAACCCCGTTTATTGCTTCATCTTTATTTATAATTTTTAAGACAACAAATCAAAATCAAAATCTTTCTCTATTTAAAGGCTACACAAAACAAGATATTTGAGGGCTCAACTCTCATATATTTATGATTTTAAGAAAATCAATTATGTATTACTAGCAGAAGTGCCCGACTTTGCCCGTGAAATAAAAAAACTAATTTGGAAAAAAAATCGATTAAAAATAAATATAGATAATATTATAATCCAGCTTCTCCTGCATGAACTAGAGATGGTTACAATGGATTGGTTAGTAACAGATCTAAACCTACCAGAGCTAGTAATAATATATTTCAGTTTCTCCTGCCTGTACTGTACTAAAGATGGTTACATTTAGATTGCTTAGGAACAGCTCTAAACCTACCCAAGCTAGTAATAATATATTTCAGCTTCTCCTGCCTGTACTGAGCTAGAGATGGTTACAATATATTGGTTAGGAACAGCTCTAAACCTGCCCAAGCTAGTAATAATATATTTCAGCTTCTCCTGCATGAACTAGAGATGGTTACAATATATTGGTTAGGGACAGCTCTAAACCTACCCAAGCTAGTAATAATATATTTCAGCTTCTCCAGCTTGTACTGAGCTAGAGATGGTTACAATGGATTGGTTAGGAACAGCTCTAAACCTGCCCAAGGAGTTTCTGTTCTCTGGTCCAGGGAACGGAGGAGGAGTAATTCAGGTTAAGAAACTTAGCATCATGCATTATTATATAATTATTCTACTCTAGTACTTTATTATAACCATAATTTTATCATAAATCGTATCATCTATATATAACCACCAATCTTATCACCAATCTTAGCATCATTGTAACCACTAATGTAATCACTATTTTTAGCATTATTGTAACCACTAATCTAAATCACTAATCTTACCATCAGTACAAACACCAATCAAATCACTAGCCTTACCATCAGTACAAACACTAATCAAATCACTAATCACCATCAGTACAAACACCAATCAAATCACTAATCTTATCATCTGCAGTACAAACACCAATCAAATCACTAATCTTACTATCAGTACAAACACCAATCAAATCACTAATCTTATCATCAGTACAAACACGAATCAAATCACTAATCTTATCATCAGTACAAACACCAATCAAATCACTGATCACCATTAGAACAAACACCAATGAAATTACTAATCTTACCATCAGTACAAACATCAATCAAATCACTAATCTTACCATCAGAACAAACACTAACCAAATCACTAATCTTACCATCAGAACAAACACTAATCAAATCACTAATCTTACCATCAGTACAAACACCAATCAAATCACTAATCATATCAGCAGTACAAACACCAATCAAATCACTAATCTTATCATCAGTACAAACACCAATCAAATCACTAATCTTATCATCAGTACAAACACCAATCCAATCACTAATCTTATCATCAGTACAAACACCGATCAAATCATCTAAAGATCTATAAGATGTTAGGTACTTTCCCAAAAGCATTTTTCCAAGCGGCTTCTTTCCAAGGGTGTTTTCCCAAGTGACAACAAATTGTCACTTGGGAAGTCGCCCTTGGGAAAATGCCTTTGGAAAAATACCTTACACCACATCCGATAAATAAGTTCACATTAAACACCTGCTGATTAAATTGTAAAAAAAGATTAAAATAAGTTGGACGCTTTATTGTTGCGTAGCGTCTGGTCTAGAAATCAACATATGCTCAATGTTCAATGAATAAAGTTTACTTACATATATTCAATATAATCAATAGGATCAAAATAGTAGAACTGATGGAACAAATATAAAAACACAAGCTCTGCTCTACTTATTCAAGTATTGATTATTTATTTGAATCTGTTTCTATAGATTTAAATTATTCATGAGATGAGATTATCAGAGAATTACAATAAAACTAAAAGGTTTTGCTACAATCCAACCTGCAAACCGACACATGTTTATAGATGTATAAAATATACGCACAACCGGTGTACACTTCAATATACCGAGCCGGGCTAACCTTTGCAGTCCTAGCTTGGACTGTACCGCCAATTTACTAAACTGAAGCGGTAGATACGTGTGAGAACACAAACTATAAAATGATTTTAAAAACGTTTAAAATCATAAAATTAGACATATCTATATTTTATGTAAATAATGAAAAATATGAAGAAGTAATGAATATATCAAAATTGAGAACTTGAGTGCTCTGAATCTAGGGATATCGAGATCAAGTGTTTAAGATTGAAGATTTCACATATTTAATAAATATAATAGACATAGACACGTTTATTATTTTATTATTTATATTTCTTATTTTTAAATGGCAAATAATTATTCCTTTGTAACGGTAGCGTAGCAGCAACCTCAGCGAGTATCTATCTATCCTAACCTAACCTGGAGTATTTTTTTTTGGGGGGGGGGAGGTACCGAACAATTTGTCCTTATGGTTTAACAAATTAACCAATGTGTCCTAAGACCCACAGTTTTTTATCATACAGGGTGTTCAAATAAAAATCGTCTTTAATTTCCAATAGTTGTATAGCTGACAAAGAGTGTGAGAAAAAGATATTAAAAAGATTTCCTTCTTTCAATCTGGATAAATTTTCCAATAGTTAAATCAGTTTTGAAGGTACAGACATACATATTGAAAATCGAAAGCTGGATTGGTTTTGGTTTAAATTTCTTTTTTAAAACTAATATCGTATTCAAAATAATGCCGCGTAACTCAAAGATGACCTAGAAGAAGTCACTTAACTATCATAATTAATAGAACACTTTCTAAGGTACAACTAGCGAAGCAACTTTAGTTGCTATTCTTTCTGCTAGAGCAGAGAGATTAAATCTATATATTTCTAGGGTACAGCTAGCGAAGCAACTTTAGTTGCTATTCTTTCTGCTAGAGCAGAGAGATTAAATCTATCTATTTCTAGGGTACAGCTAGTGAAGCAACTTTAGTTGCTATACTCTCCGCTATTGAGCAGAGAGATTAAATCTATATGTTTCTAGGGTACAGCTAGTGAAGCAACTTTAGTTGCTATACTCTCCGCTATAGAGCAGAGAGATTAAATCTATATGTTTCTAGGGTACAGCTAGTGAAGCAACTTTAGTTGCTATACTCTCCGCTAGAGCAGAGAGATTAAAAAGAGAGGAAGCCAAAGGTAAACAAAATAACTAAACTTGTCTCAAACTCTAATTTTATAATTTGTTTATCTTTGCAACCTGATAGTGTAAGCCTTTAATATTTCAAACTTTGACTACATGATTTAGCAGAATTGCTAGTGTACTATATTAAAGATCAAGGACATCAGGTTGCAAAATTATAAGGATTAGGAAATCAGAGTTGTGGCAAATGGTCAGTTTTTTGTATTGTTAGAAAGATCTAATAAAATGTTAAAGATATCTAATAGAACCTTAAGAATATATAATGGAACATTAGAAATGGAACTTTTAAATAATGTAATGTTAAAATGTCTGATGGAACGTAAAAATGGTATTATTAACATATCTAATGGAATGTTTAAAAGATCCAGGATCTTAAGATCAGTCAAATCCACAATGTAAAAACGATTTTTAAATTCGTTACATATTTTTTTTTATAAAAGTAACAATTTTCAAACATTATCGTTAAAACTAATTGGGAAGCAATTCATTTTTTTCTGGCTCAGAATTATTTTCAAAAAATTGTGACTTTAGTTTTTATTTATCGATCTGATACAGGGGTACCTAGAAATAATGAGACTTTAATAAGTAACACAAAACTCTTTAAATTTGACAGTTTGAAGGTTGCATTTTATATACACAAGGACAAGGTATAAATTGTTTAAATACATAGTTTGACAAAGAAAGAATGCCATCAGCTCTAGGGAATATGAATGTTAGAAAAATGAACGTTAAAGCCGCGTGAAGTCGTCTCTGAAATCTCATCCTTTACTGGTAACTGCATGGATCTAAATTTAATCTACATGATTTCTGAATACTCTCTAGTTTGATTGTTCAGGAAAAATGGATCGTCTGGTCGCATATTGTTCTGCGCAGGCACATTCCAGCGTAGAACGTGCTGGTATGCTTGCAGGCATTCAGATGAGACTAGTGGAACCAGATGAAAACTTTAGGTAATTCAGGGGACATTAGTTACAAACCGGGGAAAAAGTGGGATTTTAGGATATCGTCATATCCAGAGGTTAAAGTCGAAAGTAAAACTTATGACTAACATTTATTAAGCACTATGAGAACAATGATTGCCTTTTTTAAATAATATTCTAATTATCTTAATTATCAAAATTTCAATAATAGATTTTTATTTATTATCCTTGTCAATGCAAGGTTTTCCATTTTCGAACATAATCCCGAATTGGAATTATTGTCGCTTTTTTGCCACCACTTTCCTGATTTGTGTATAATCCGCAATTCAAAACAAAACTCACTTTTATAAGTTACAAAAAAAGTTATTGATGATAAAAATTATTTTATAAATAACAAAATAATTGTTGAATGATTTCAAGAATCTCAATATTAGAAATGGGCAAAATTGCAGTAGGGAACGATTGTCCCCTAAATTTGTAACCATTACACATTTTTGTCAAAAATATATTTCTAACAATTTTAAAGTTTACGCGGGGATGCTTTAAACGCTGCAATTGAAGAAGACAAAGAGAAGGTAAAATTATTTAATATTTATCATTTAAACTTTTTGTCATGTTACAACATATTTTAGGGCTTAATTCCGTTCTGTGTGATTGCTACTCTCGGAACGACAAACTCTTGTAGTTTTGATAACCTGCCAGAGCTAGGACGGGTCTGCCTGGAGCAGGTAGTTTTGATAACCTGCCGGAGCTAGGACGGGTCTGCCAGGAGCAGGTAGTTTTGATAACCTGCCTGAGCTAGGACGGGTCTTCCAGGAGCAGGTAGTTTTGATAACCTGCCTGAGCAAGGACGGGTCTGCCAGGAGCAGATGCAGTTTTCCGTTAAATAATTTCCATATCAATCCTTTCACATTCATCCCGCCAACCCTGCATCCTTTCAGTTTGAATAAATCCGGAATATTTCATTGATTATTTATTTAGCAGTCAGTAAACTTTTATTTATTTAATCTCAATTCTCAACATTTCTCTCTAATCCCGTCAACCATTCTTCATTATTTCGTCATTATTACGTCATCCTGTGGCCATTCCATCATTCTTTTTTTCGTCTATTTCTTCCCCTAGTCCATTCTGCTTTTTTCGCCAATCCATCCTTCCCCTGAAGCTAAAAAAGCTTTTAAATCCATGGTTGCAATATAATAATGTATAGCAAAAGGAACAGGCCTGGCGACACAAAAAAGTGGACTGGGATAGTTTACCAAATATTCAATCCTCTCCTAGTAAACTTTACTCCGCGCTCGACCAGAGATGGAATTTAAAGAATTTGAGCCGCGGTTTAAATCCGCCAAAATCCGCCAAATGGTTTAAATTTAGCGCCGGCTTAAATCTTGAAACATTTGATACAATTTAAAGTGGAACCAACCATATTTAAGCCGCGGCTTAAATTTAAACCGCCGCTCAAATTCATTAAATTCGGCCACAGGTCTGGTAGATGCAGTTTTATATCCAATGTGTCCAAACAGATATTGGAACACTTATGCTTAAAATCCAATAAAGTTGTCAGCAGGGATAAAAAATCAAATTTCTGTGTTTGAATGAATCTACTATCTAATCAGGATGTCTGGTTACATGTTGATGCAGCCTATGCTGGTAGTTCATTTATCTGCCCGGAGTTTAGACCACTCCTTGGTGAGATATAATTTACAAAATATTGTTAACATATTTTTAAAATATTTTTTTAGTCCTAAAAAGAGTGTTTAATTTAAAAAATTGAGTCTTTGATACAAACCCAAATTTTCAAATCCTTTAATCTTTCAAACTTAGATTATTAGATCCAACAAAATTCATAGGTTGAAATTAGCATTGGGTTGCAATTAGATTAGAGTTAGATTATCAGAGTTTGTGGCAAAGGCTCAATTCCTGTGTGTTCTGAACTGGAGAAATAAATCAAAGGATAAACATATCGTAAGGTATTTTAAGCTTATTTGGCTTTTTTAATAGACTAAAATCTTAATTAACATCATAACCTATCAATAGCGGAATGAAAGTCGTCTTTATCTTTAAATTTAACTAAAGATAAAGCATTTTGTAAAGGTTATGACAGGATATATCTCTGAGGTGAGAACTCTTGTATTGTAGATATCGAGATCAATGCTTAATCTCGATCTTTTGTTTATCTGCAGATTATTTTATCTTTATTTAATATCCTGATGGTAATCGTACCCAGTCAAGGGTAGAAGGGAGCTTTGATCAGAGGTTAAAGGGGCCCTTGATCAGAGGTTGAAAGGAGCTTTGATCAGAGGTTAAAGGGGGCCTTGATCAGAGGTTGAAAGGAGCTTTGATCAGAGGTTGAAGGGGGCCTTGATCAGAGGTTAAAGGGGCCCTTGATCAGAGGTTGAAAGGAGCTTTGATCAGAGGTTAAAGGGGGCCTTGATCAGAGGTTGAAAGGAGCTTTGATCAGAGGTTGAAGGGGGCCTTGATCAGAGGTTAAAGGGGCCCTTGATCAGAGGCTGAAAGGAGCTTTGATCAGAGGTTAAAGGGGCCCTTGATCAGAGGTTGAAAGAAGCTTTGATCAGAGGTTAAAGGGGGCCTTGATCAGAGGTTGAAAGGAGCTTTGATCAGAGGTTAAACGGGGCCTTGATCAGAGGTTGAAAGGAGCTTTGATCAGAGGTTAAAGGGAGCTTTGATCAGAGGTTAAAGGGAGCTTTGATTAGAGGTTAAAGGGGGCCTTGATCAGAGGTTGAAAAGAGCTTTGATCAGAGGTTAAACGGGGCCTTGATCAGAGGTTGAAAGAAGCTTTGATCAGAGGTTAAAGGGAGCTTTGATTAAAGGGAGCTTTGATCAAGGAAGAAATCACAGTTGATATCGAGATCAAGTGTTAATGATTATGAGTATCAAACACAAAAGTTCCCAGCTCAGGGCACTTTTCAGAGTTTAAGCTGATACAAATTACAAAATCCTCAAATACGTTTCTATTTCTAAGACTATATAAAGACGACTTTTAACGGGTTATGACTGTACAATTTGATTAAAAGATGGAGTAGAGTTCGCTGAATCATTCAACTTTAATCCTCACAAATGGATGCTGGTCAACTTTGATTGTTCTGCAATGTGGATTAAGGATTCAAGGTAATCTTCATTGTGTACAAATATTACAGGGGGATTTTTGATGATGAACTTGTAATGACGACCTGGAAATCTTTAAAAGAACTGCTTTTTTGCCACAAACTCCGATTTTTAACTCCTAAATCTGTCCAATCCGATGTCGTAACCTTCATATGCATATGCATCAGTTTCTTCAACAATCTGAAGGTTAAAGTGACTAACATCTCGATGGTGTACACTGAGTCTAAAGTTTGATAAAATTCACTTAATTAGATTTTACCAGTCGTCTCTAGACATTCATTCTTTGTGGGTAGCATTGTTTACAAAATTACAGGATAATTTATAATCTGCAGTCTTGATTAAAACTCAACATACAAAAGAAAAAAGTAAAGGAAATGAACTGAAACTTTAATTTTCTGATCCTTATATTTTTCCAACCTGATGTTGTTAAAATGTGAGACCCCAAAAAGTAAAAGTTTGTGATATCTAAGGTTTACACCATCTCAACAAAATGTTCTAGAAACTTTGAGTTTGAGTCAAGTGTTCAGCTCCTTTGACATGCTGTTACTTGTCCAACTTTGCGCCTTTATATTTGTTTTGATTTTGATTTGAAATAAAAGTTTCAATCATGTATTTAATTTAAATAGATAAGAGACATTAGAAAACAAGAAGAACTCTATGTTTAGAAAGATCGTGGATGCGTTCAACGTAGATCCTCTTTATCTTCAGCATAGGCATCAAGGGGAGATACCAGACTACAGGCACTGGCATATTCCTCTAGGTAAATATTAGGAACGTGTCGTGCTCTAAAGGTACTGTTCACGTAATGTCAACTGTACCTGCACCCTTTCTAGAGAAGCATGTCCGATTCACATTAACGGTACCTCGCCTCGTCTGAAAATGGATCATTTTAAATAGTGTATTCGTTATAAAAATGGCATATTTATGCAGCAGAGACAATGAAGGAAGTTGACAAAATTACACATATGGAAAAAGAACGATGGCTTTATCATTGTTTCCCAGTGTATTTAATTTGGGGATCACTTGAAATTTCTTTGATTGTCCCTTTAAGATCAACATTTTTTAACCTACAAAGTTTAATTTCGACTTTTCAATTTACAACATATTTGCCAACAAATATGCATAACAGAGATAAACCTAAAATCTATGTTTAATTGGTCAAAAATCAAAATGAACACCTAGCAGAGAAAAGTACCGAACTGTTGAATCATTTCTTGGTGTCCTTGGTGCATGCTTTAAAATTAAATTTCACTTTGGAATCACATTGAACCCGAGATATGTAACTTTAATCTTAAATCATGTTCTATACCAGGTAGAAGATTCAGATCCTTGAAAATATGGTTTGTTATGAGAATATACGGACTAGAGGGATTAAGGAAACATATCAGAGAACAGGTATAAACAGGAATTTAAAACAATGAAGAGGAATGAAAATGAATGAATAGGAATGAAGAGAAATTTAACAAAATTGAAGAGGAATGCAGAGGAATTTATAAGAATGAAGAGGAATGAATAGGAATGAATAGAAATTTAAAAGAATGAAGAGAAATGAAGAGGAATGAATAGGAATTAAGAGGAAAGAAGAGGAATATTGAGGAATGAAGAGGAATGAAAATGAATGAAGAGGAATTTAACAGAATGAAGAGGAATTAAAAAGAATGAAGAGAAATGAAGAGGAATGAATAGGAATGAAGAGGAAAGAAGAGGAATATTGAGGAATGAAGAGGAATGAAAATGAATGAAAATGAATGAAGAGGAATGAAGAGGAATGAAGAGGAATTAACAGAATTGAAGAGAAATGAAGAGGAATTTAAAAGAATGAAGAGGAATTTAAAAGAATGAAGAGGATTTTAAAAGAATGAAGAGGAATTGAAGAGGAAAGAAGAGGAATATTGAGGAATGAAGAGGAATATAAAGGAATGAAGGGGAATGAAGGGGAATGAAGAGGACTGCCATTTTGTTTATTCAATCTTATAAATATAAATGAGCGGAAGATTTTGTAGTTAATCAAATTTATGAGTTAATTATTTCTACTTAATGACTTAGAAAAGACGACTTTTATTCCGCATTTTACTTGTTAACTTAAAACGTTGCTTATAACTGAAAAGGGATAGTAAAAACAGAAAAAAAAGGAATCAAAAACAGAAATTGGAACAAAACTAAAGTTTCTGATATTGTAAGTAAACAAAAATGACTTATAAAAATGTTTCAGGTTGAACTGGCGAACCAGTTTGCAGAAATAGTTCAAACAGATCCCAGATTTGAACTCCCGACACCACCCAGGTTTTAAAAAAAATATCTAATCTGTACTTTTTTCTACAGTTTGTTGTGTTTCCAGGATGGGATTGGTCTGTTTCCGAGTTAAAGCCTCGAATGTTGTGAATGAAAAGTTGAATAAGAAAATAAACGAAGCAGCTAGAATACATATCACACCAGCTAAAATTAGGTACAGGGTTATACACAAACAACAAAATTTTAATGAGTATCTGAAACTGAACACCAATGTGAAAAGACAAAATTTGATAGTGCACATAAAGAATGTCAAAGAAAACGCTGAAAGAAATAAGATTGAATACAATTTTTTCTTAATATAAAGTCTTTTTGTGGATAAAAAAATAAAACAACCTATAATTGTATTCCAACAGATCCAAGATCTTTTAACTAATTGCTTAAGAAATTGGGAATTCACATTTGCCAATTTTTAATAATAATTGCACAAAAAAAATGGTTTAACTTAAATTTTGTTCTTAGAATGGTAAAAATATGTTTCAATTAATATTTATTAAATGATGGAAAATTTAATTTAATGATCCCTAGCCTGGCCAAAACAAGGATGTTTATAGTAAGGTTGATTACTCTCGATGCGCTCCAATGTACGGAAATTGAATGATGTCGAACTGATTATAGAGGCAAATGTAGGGATTTTCCGCGTACATTGGAGCGCATCGAGAGAAACCAACCTTTATAAACAACCTTGGACCTGAACTACATGACAAAATTATCCAATGAAACAAATTTAAATAATTTCTATGAATTCTAAAATAATTTAAAAAGAATTAAAATAAAATTATTCTTAAATTATTTACTTTTTGTTTAGGGACAAATATATTCTGAGGTTTGCAGTGTGCTCAAGGTTCACAGTATCCACAGATATTGAGTTTGCCTGGACGGAGATACTCCGCAACCTTGATCTCATCAGTATCAACCAGGACACGGAGTAATCATGGAACTAAACCTTGGCGTTCAATATTTTATACTTTTATTAGATTGGAAATGACAAAATATATGTTTATCATGTGGTGTAATAGATTTAAGTTGTTAATAAACAATATTATGTGATAAAATCAACTGGATTTAGGAAAGTTGTAAAACGTAGAATGTTCTTAATTGTTTAGAATTTATTTCTATATGTTTTTATTGAATATTGTTGTACTTCCTCTTTAACAACTAAGTACAGTTCTCCCTCTTCACTTTTCATTATTAATGCAAAAGGTAAGAGGGAAGATGGAAAACCTGCCCGAAATGTAGGAGAAAGAGAGGTAGGGAAGGTAGGAGAAGTAGAGGTAAGGAAGGGGAAAAGGAAAGGTAGGAGAAAGAGTGGTAGGAAAGGCGAAAAGGAAAGTTAGGAAAAAGAGAGGTAGGATAGGTAGGAGAAGTAGAGGTAGGGAAGGGGAAAAGGAAAGGTAGGAGAAAGAGAGGTAGGGAAGGGGAAAAGAAAAGTTAGGAGAAAGAGAGATAGGAAAGGTAGGAGAATAAGAGGTAGGGAAGGGAAAAGGAAAGTTAGGAGAATAAGAGGTAGGGAAGGGAAAAGGAAAGTTAGGAGAAAGAGTGGTAGGAAAGGGGAAAAGGAAAGTTAGGAGAAAGAGAGGTAGACGACATCGGCAATTTTGGGTTGAAAACATTAACTTCAGGCACAATATGTTAATTTTATCTGATAATTTTTAATCTCAAACAACCAAAGGATGGCCATTCTAGGTAAAACTTCAAAGAGAATGGGAATTTTTATATTATTCCAAGCCTGGAGATTTAATGGTTAAAGTTAATGTTGCTGAGCCCACAATGTTTCTATCTGCCAGACTTTCCTATGCTTTTTAGTAAAGGATAAACAAGGTTTGATAGACTTAGCCGTAAATTACCCAGAAGAAATTCTGCGATAATACATTTTTCGAAATGTGTAATCTATAACCGGAAAGTTAGGAGAAAGAGAGGTAGGAAAGGGGAAAAGGAAAGGTAGGAGAAAGAGGGGTAGGGAAGGGGAAAAGGAAAGTTAGGAGAAAGAGAGGTAGGAAAGGGGAAAAGGAAAGGTAGAAGAAGTAGAGGTAGGGAGGGGGAAAAGGAAAAGTAGGAGAAAGAGTGGTAGGAAAGGGGAAAAGGAGAGTTAGGAGAAAGAGTGGTAGGAAAGGGGAATAGGAAAGGATGGAGAAGTAGAGGTAGTGAAGGGGAAAAGGAAAGGTAGAAGAAAGAGTGGCAGGAAAGGGGAAAAGGAAAGTCAGGAGAAAGAGAGGTAGGGAAGGGGAAAAGGAAAGTTAGGAGAAAGAGAGGTAGGGAAGGGGAGAAGAAAAGTTAGGAGAAAGAGAGATAGGAAAGGTAGGAGAATAAGAGGTAGGGAAGGGGAAAAGGAAAGGTAGGAGAAAGAGAGGTAGGGAAGGGGAAAAGGAAAGTTAGGAGAAAGAGAGGTAGAAAAGGTAGGAGAAGTAGAGGTAGGGAAGGGGAAAAGGAAAGGTAGGAGAAAGAGAGGTAGGAAAGGGGAAAAGGAAAGTTAGGAGAAAGAAAGGTAGGAAAGGGGAAAAGGAAAGTTAGGATAAAGAGAGGTAGGAAAGGGGAAAAGGAAAGTTAGGAGAAAGAGAGGTAGGAAAGGGGAAAAGGAAAGTTAGGAGAAAGAGAGGTAGGAAAGGGGAAAGGAAAGGAAGGAGAAAGACTGGAAGGAAAGGGGAAAAGGAAAGGTAGGAGAAGTAGAGGTAGGAAAGGGGAAAAGGAAAGGTAGGAGAAGTAGAGGTAGGGAAGGGGAAAAGGAAAGGTAGGAGAAAGAGGGGTAGGGAAGGGGGGAAAAGGAAAGGTAGGAGAAAGAGAGGTAGGAAAGGGGGGGAAAGGAAAGTTAGGGAATGGAAGAAGGTTGTAAGATAAAGTACGGAAGGAAAGGGCTCTTTACCTCTTCATACGCATCTAGCTCTTCCTCGGGTAATCATTAGTTTTTCACTACAGTTGTATTGCATCGAAAAAACCTACTTATTTTTTTTCGGCACCAGACTCAAAACTGAATTTTGAGTTAAAAAAACGCCCGCGGCCCCAACTTTGGTTAAAAGAGCATACTTTTGGGATTATTATGCCCTATAAGGGTCATAAGAGTTAAATTAAATTAAAATAAATAATTTTGGGGGGAAGGAATTAAAAAAAAAACGGAATAATGTACACAGTACACCACCTGATTTAATAATTAGGTATCACCAGGTATCAAATTGCTAATTCTTTTTAAAGACGACCTTGAGGTCGTCGCTCAATTCCCGTGTTTATTGGGACGCAATGTACGAGGATTCCTCGTTAGAAGCTATTAAACCTATTTGATATAACCTGATATAAAGACGACAATTGGTTACATGTGATGGGAGTTCTATTATTTAATATCTATGTGTATAAAGTGAGGTTTAGTCTTATCAAAGCATATTGTCAACAGTTTATCCTGTAATCATACAAACAGTGGAATCTAAAAATGAAATCCATAAAAAGTTTCTAAGTCAGATATTATGGCGGAGCCTCGATCTATTGTGCAATTGGTTTATGGCCGACGTACTGTAGTATAAAGATTTCAATTTTTGCCCTGAAATTAGTTTCAAATATTTATTTTATTTTCTAAAGTTGATTTTTGTCTACAATTTCAAACACCAATTATTAATGTGAATTAAGTTGGTTCTTTTGTTTTCTTTCAGAATCGAAATATTTTTTAAATTGTTTACTTTATATAAACAATTCAGCTTTTCTTACACTATGCCAAATGTTGACCCTGCACGTATGCAAAAACCAATTAAAAACTATTCAAATACGAACGTGATTGATTTAACAATCGTTTTAATCTTGTTTTTCCTTTTTTCAATACCGCAAAGTTAATTTAATAATACGTAATAGCAAACATGAACAGTAAAAGTTTTGAAATCTTGAAAGTTTCGTTAACATTTTTTTTAAACCAACCAACACGATTAATATCACTACTTGAAATAAACTATTAAATAAAATACAGATTTTTAATAAACCAACTCTCATAATCATCCCTCCAGATTGGACAATGCAGGAGGATTTTAAGGATTTAATTTGCCATCTTGCTGAACAATCATGGACCCTAAAAACGTCTCATAGGTCTCAAATTATTCCTGAAATATTTCTCTACAATACTCTACAAAAGATAATATATTTAGAATTTTATTGCTTGATGACAAATGATCCCAAATCTACCCCACAATCTACAACTATTGTGCAGGTCATTGGTATGAATCTGAATCCTGAAATACTAAAAAACTAATCATAATATTTGGACAATAATACTGCCGCTCTAAATACACTATAGCCGACACAATCCTTCAAATTCTTCAATTTACTGAATTTAGCTTCTAGTATATATATATACATATATATAAAATTGTAATCTCTGTTTGTGTACATCCGATCATAACTCAGGAATTCCTTAATCGATTTACCTCAAGTTTTGATTGGGGAAGGTTGACTTTATTTTTATAAAGAATACTTTATTTCCAATCAAAGCTGGATTCCCATTCCCAAGCTATATAAGATAATTAGGTATGTAACCCCTAGATCTATAATGTCTGCTAGTGTACCAGTGTGTGAACTAGATCAGGAGTTAAGAACAAGATTAAACAAAATAAAGAGACTGAGCACTAAATCAGGAATAGCGATCATTATGAAGGTAGGAAGAGAGTATATCTTATTTTTAAAAAGTGCAGAGAATGCTTTGAAGAGTTACTTATCCAATACCCCTAAACATTTTTCTCATTTTATTTTCTTAAATTGTTATTAAAATTTCAACGGCAGATTCTTCAAATATAAGTAACTTGCGGATTTATGCAGCAGAAACAAGAAGGACAAGTTGGAAAAGATATCTTTGAAAACGACGATATTTTCCTCAGTTCAACTCAGATAAAGGTTTTGGGACCCTATAAAAAATATTGTCATTTTTCTAACTTTTAAAGTGTTTTTCCGCTGTTAACGTAGCTGACATCCACAAGTCACTTTTATACAGTAACTAGAACTAAAAATAATCAAGTTAAAATCATTATAGATATCTAATTCAATCTTAATCTTACAAAGCTCACTGCAATTTAATGGTCTCACGCGTTTATAGGTACATTTGTAAATCGGAAATGCCATCATATATTACGTGTACAGTCTCTTAATCTTTTAACTTGAACTCTATATAAGCAGGGTGTCCAAAGAAAACCGTAGTGTTAGTTAGAGCCTCAATTTCGGACCAGTTTTGACGATTTAGGACATTTTTGATTTTTACGAAATTTCTGAGCGAATTTTGTTTTTAGAGCCTTCAATCATTCTTATAGCAAGTTTTATTTTAGTTACCACTACTATTGTTTCTTTAGTCACCCCGTATTATAGATGGATAAGGAGCTGGGTACTATTGTTTCTTTAGTCACCCAGTATTATAGATGGATAAGGAGCTGGGTACTATTGTTTCTTTAGTCACCCCGTATTATAGATGGATAAGGAGCTAGGTACTATTGTTTCTTTAGCCACCCCGTATTATAGATGGATAAGGAGCTGGGTACTATTTTTTCTTTAGTCACCCAGTATTATAGATGGATAAGGAGCTGGGTACTATTGTTTCTTTTCACCCCGTATTATAGATGGATAAGGAGCTGGGTACTATCGTTGAGGATGAATATCTGGATGATTGTTCTGTGGATGATATTAAGGAAAGCTTACCAGGACATCAGCCAAGATACTTGGTAATAAATAATCAGCATAGATACTTGGCAATAAATAATCAGCCGAGATACTTGGTAATAAATAATCATTCCCAGATACTTGGTAATAAATAATCAGCCGATATACTGGGTAATAAATAATCAGCCGAGATACTTGGCATTAAATAATCAGCCGAGATGCTTGGTAATAAATAATCAGTTGAGATACTTGGTAATAAATAATCAGCCTAGATACTTGGTAATAAATAATCAGCCGAGATACTTGGTAATAAATAATCAGCCGAGATACTGGTAATAAATAATCAGCCGAGATACTTGGTAATACATAATCAGCCGAGATACTTGGTAAAAAATAATCAGCCGAGATAATCGGTAATAAACAATCAGCCTATAGATAATTGGTACTTAATAATCAACCCAAGATAGAAATAACTAATTTTTAGATTGAATAACTCGGAGAACGTTTTTGCTCAGACTAAGGTTTCAAGGGTACCATTGTGCATCGGACATACCTCTCTTTTTAAATTGGAATGAAACTTGAATTAATGTCACTTGTCTCTTCAACTACTTTTTGCACTAATCTTATAACCTTCAATCAATGTTGATAATTAAAAAATTAATAAAGTAATGATAATTGTATTTATTAAACTATATACTTTTTTCCCACAAGCATGAAGATGAACGAGTAACCTATCTCTAGTATTAATTGTATTGTATTAAGCTGTATACCTTCTCCCACAAGCATAAAGATGAACGAGTAACCTATCTCTAGTATTAATTTTATTGTATTAAGCTATATACCTTCTCCCACAAGCATAAAGATGAACGAGTAACCTACCCTCTAGTATTTATATTCTATTCACCTTTAGGTAAATTTACCTTTTTAATTTTTAATACTTCAGAATTTGCTAAAAATTCGACAAAGGAATTGAAAAGAAATTGAGTCCATTGTGACAAACTCTGATTTTCTAACCCCTATATTTTTGCAACCAAATATTGTAGACATTTCAAACATGAATTCTGCTAGATTCAATAATCTATGTTTGAAATATCAAATGTTTACATAATCAGGTTGTAAAAATATGAGAATTATAAAATTTCAGTTTGTGGCAAAGACTCAGTTCCTTTGACTACAAATTCGATTGTTCTAATGTTAGGAATAGCTATTGCAAAACAATGAAAGAAATACTTATTTAGACAAAATTATAACCATAAAGAACAAAAAGCTTCCATATTTATTATTAAAAATCATTTGGTCTATTTTAAACTGATCCAATTCCATCTCCATACATGTAAAAACTTGGTATCCAGGATGTAAGACTGACCTGTCTGTGATGTATGCAGCGAGTAAGGTCAACTTAATAAGGTACATAACTGCAATCAAGATTTTTCATGATTCATCTATACTATTCTTGGTCTGAACACATGTATCTAACAACCTTTAATTACTGCGAATGCAGTACACTTGAATTTTATTGTACTTTAAAGAACACTTGTTAAATAGAACACTTGTTATATAATACACTTGTTATATAGAACACTTGTTTTACAGAACACTTGTTTTATAGAACACTTGTTATATAAAACACTTGTTATATAGAACACTTGTTATATAGAACACTTGTTATATAGAACACTTGTTATATAGAACACTTATTATATAGAACACTTGTTATAAAGAACACTTGTTATATAGAACACTTGTTTTACAGAACACTTGTTATATACAACATTTGTTATATAAAATACTTGTTATATACAACATTTGTTATATAAAATACTTGTAATAAAGAACACTTGTTAGGCGAATTACTTGTTATAAGAACACTTGGTGTACAGAACACTTGTTGTACAGAACACTTGTTATATTGAATACTTCTTAGAATATTTGTTTCATAGTACACTTGTTTTACAGAATACTTATTTTATAGAATACTTGATATATAGAACACTTGCTATATAGAATACTTGTTATATAGAACACTTCTTATAAATAGAAGTCTTGTTGTATAGAATATACTTGTAATATATATAGAACCCTTGTTGTACAGAACACTTGTTGTTTAGAATATACTTGTAATATAAAATACTTGTTACATAGAATACTTGTAATATAGAACACTTCTTATAAATAGAACTCTTGTTGTATAGAATATACTTGTAATATATATAGAACCCTTGTTGTACAGAACACTTGTTGTTTAGAATATACTTGTAATATATAATACTTGTTACATAGAATACTTGTTATATAGGACACTTGTTATATATAAAACTTGTTATAAATAAAACTTGTTATATATAATAGTTGTTATATAGAACACTTGTTATATATGATACTTGTTATATAAAATACTTGTTCTACATAATACTTGTTATATAGAACGCTTGAGAGTAGGGTTAGTTGTAAGGCCCTAGGTCAAATTTCGGCCCGAAACCTAGGGTAATTAAGAAATAGTTATATTTAAATCACGAAACCTTGACCATCCCCAAGAAGAGGCCTTACCTCAACCCCGCTATAACGATTTAACCCACTCGTTATATTGAACACAATACTAGTCACATAGAATACTTATTATATTGAACAATTGTTATATTGAAGACTTGCTGTATAATAGAACACTTGTCATATAGAACACTTGTTTTACAGAACATTGTTATATACAACATTTGTTATATAAAATACTTGTAATAAAGAATACTTGTTATGTGGAACACTTGTTACATAGAACACTTGTAATATAGAACACTTGTAATATAGAACACTTGTTACATAGAACACTTGTAATATAGAACACTTGTTATATAGAACACTTGTTAAATAGAATACTTGTTATATAGAACACTTGTTATATTGAACACTTGTTATATAGAACACTTGTTATTTTGAACACTTGTTATATAGAACACTTATTATATTGAACACTTATTATATAGAACACTTGTTATATTGAACACTAGTTACATAGAATACTTGTTATATTGAACACTTGTTTAAAAAAATCCTTGATATAGAACACTTGTTATATAGAACACTTGTTATATTGAACACTTGTCATATAGAACACTTGTTATATTGAACACTTGTTATATAGAATACTTGTTATATTGAACACTTGTTATATAGAATAGTTGTAATATTGAACACTTGTTTAAAAAAATCCTTGATATAGAACACTTGTTATATAGAACACTTGTTATAAAGAGCACTTGTTTTATAAAACACTTTTTATGTAGAACACTTGTCACATAAAAAACTTGTAATAATGTTAATTTTTGAATTATTCTAAGAACACAGGACGTGAAACTTATGCTACTATAATTAGATGGATATAATTAAACGTGTAGAATACATATTTTTATATATTAATATATTTCAACGGAAAGGAGAAACAAAGTTGAATATAAAAATATGTATTTTAGGGAGCTGGATATCGGGAAAACATTTGAAATCAGGAAAATAATTTATAATTTATAAAATAAAGGGAAGACAACGAACCCAAACTAGACTTTATAATATATATATATTTTATCGCGAACATGTTTTTTTAACAAGAGGAACCATGTTTATGAGCCGAGAAGAGATTCTAATTTTAAATAAATTTTTGGAATTATTGTACTTCAGCTTTTTAATTGGGCTGAAATTTTTCTTAATGCTTATTATCAACTTTTAATATTTAAATTATTTGCCTGGCGTTGCCCGTGGAATTTTAAAAATCGTCCAGCATCGTCCAGAAAACGATAGTGTGATACCCATGGTGTTACGGTTGATTTACTTAATTTCCCAAAGGATTTTTCCCAAGTGGCAACTTCCCAAGGGTATTTTCCACAGTGTCAACTTCCCAAATGTGCAATTTCCCAAGCGGCAACTTCCCAAATCTAACCTAGCCAAAGCGTTTGGCCCCCCACCTACTCTAGTCGTGGCGCTCGGCCCCCAAATTGCAGCCTGAGGCGCCTCAATGGGCCTAACCTAACCTTTGGGAAGTTGCCACTTGGAAAATTGTCACTTGGGAAGTCGCCCTTGGGAAAATACCTTTGGGAAAGTACCTAACACCTTACTGTTTTTGCTATAGATAACATACATACACACTTACAAACGTACAATTTCGAAGCTCTGTTTTATAAAATAAATTTATTATTAGAGATCTTGAGGAGTTTACTGAAGAATGGCTGATTAAAAATCTTAAACTAGCGTAAATAGCAGTTTCAACTAACCTACTAGATCAAGAATATTTATGCACAAAAAAAGATGTGTACAAGCAATTAATCTTTTCATGCATGTAAGTATGTAATAATATATATATGTGAATTCTGTATTTACGGTTGATTTATTATTGATATATTATATATACCATTTGTAAATGGGTGCCAACAGAACATGCAAATGTAATTAACAAATTTGCAAATTTAAAAAAAATCTGTATCGATTCTTGATTAAAAATTTATATTTTATTATATCATTTCAATGAAATTTACAGTAAATATATATTTTCATTTTGCTGCAATTCTATGCATGTATAGTCTAAAAAAATCCTGATATCATAAAAAGTAACTATTTTCATTTCCATCTAGGAATATATCTAGGATGGTTATTTGATCCTTAAATTCTTAATAGCTCTTTTAGAAGAGGAGTCATGATTAAAAACATTTGTGATTTAGATCTAACGCGAAATTCACTTTATTTTAATTTCTAACGTGATCCTTATACAGGAAAACACAACGTTCTATATTTTGACCGAAGACAGTTTGGCACTCTAATCTGGCTTGACGATTTTCATGACGATATGTGAAAATTGGTTAATAATGATATTAGGCCATTGCCTGGATAATGGATATATTGCTGTCCGCTTCTGATTGGTTTAGAAAGACAACTGGTTAAAAGGACTTTAAAGGAAAAATGAAATGGGGTATATGATGAAACCTAAGAATCTAAGGCGTTAAACGTAGAATTAACTTATAGCTGTGTTGATCCTGTTTCACCTAAATCGGGCAGAGCCTTCCGAGTCCGTACATGTGTATTTTAATGCCGAACTCTTATTGGCTGGACTTAGGTGTTGAATCGACCTTTAGGGTTACCACACTTACAACATATTTTAAATTTGTTTAAATAAACAAAAAAAATTATTACATGACGAAATTTAAAAATATCATTGCACGGACTCAATGATTCTCAAAACTTCCCTGATTTAAATTTACACACCAATGTATCATTTACTCTCAGACAAATTTCCATTGATTCTAATTTGTCTGAGAGTAAATGACATTCCTTTTTAAAGAGGGGATTCAATGATAAACCCGAGGGCTTGCGGATTTTGCGGATTTTTTTTTGCCTTTGTAGATTTTCAAAGAATCTTTCAATGAAAATTCCCGGCGGGATTAAATGAAAATTGTTGCATACCAAAAAACCAACTTTTTATAAAGGAATGTAGATTTTTTTCTATTTTTTTGCGTCGCGTTGTACGCAGTGTTTTATTTACTAAGTAGCCAACTAATCTTGTAGAAATTCCGAATTTCATTAAATAACATATATAATTTTATGTTTGTGTTTTTCTTAAAATCTTGTTTATTGTTTCTTTTTCCCAATTGGTAACTCTGTTATCCTGACTCCCCCTTAACAAGGCCTGTGATTCTGCGTGAACGATACATATAAAACATCTATCTGATGTTTCTGTCCCAAGAAATTGATACAAAACTGTGTCAAATTTATACGAAAATTCATATATATGCAATTTTGTAAAAAATAGTATTAAACAGATCATATTCAACAAATACGCTACCAATCTGAAAAGACGATATCCCACAGGAGCCTGAGAATCTCAGGTTTGCTCCTATTATAATTTTTTTTTTTTAATTTTTAATAGATATAATTGATCATATAATTACGTATAGTCCGTATAGTATCACGTCACAAGAACTTAACAGCCAATGGCAGTGCAGTATCGTTGTCAAGTGATACAAACGGAAATCACGTGACCAGTATACTGCACTGTCATTGGCTGAAGTTCTGGGGACGTAATACGGACTATATGCATATGCATATGGACTAATGTAATAATATTATCAACTATATCTTGTAAAAATGCAAAAATTGATGTTTTACGAGGACAAAATAAACCTTGCAGTTTGGTTTCATTGTTCCCAATAAGCGTTAAAACCACCGAACCGATTGAACCAACATTTTGTCTGTAATGTAACAACAGATGTGGTTTTTGACCGATCAGTATATGCAAAAATATAATCTCGTAAATTTAAAAATTCCTCGTAAAATATTGAAAACTTGGCAATTTTGTCATCGTTTAACGTTTTGTATAAAATATTTAATTGCTGGAAAATGAGAAATGTTTGTTGTATAAGAACTGAGAAGCTGACTAGAAGAAAGTGTGTATACTACAAGTATACAGGCAAACCAACCTGCCTATATCAATTCACCCGCAGCTAGAGCAGGGTACAGTACCGGCCAGGGTAGGGTTTTTACATTTTATTTAACAAAGAAATATATACAAGCACAGCGTTCTATGTCTGACGACGATCTTCAGTAGTCAAATTCATTTATCATCTGAAATTCTAAGATTTTTAAATCACATCTTGTGTATTTTTTTTATACGATAGCATTTCAAATACTTGTTGTTGCATTATCTACTCCGATACTATTGTTGCACGATCCGAACTATTACAAGGAAACTGGTCTAGTCTTTACTTGTACCAGCCGGTCTAGTGTACCCAGTAACCCAGTACAAGGAAACTGGTCTAGTCTTTACTTGTACCAGAGTCCGAAATTTAAAAGAGTATCGTTGAATGAAACTCCAGAGTTTCCATTTCGGGGTCTTGACATTTATATAGATTTTAATTTAAGAGATTCGAAAAAAAGGAGAATTTGAAGAAACTAAATAATATAATATTTCATAACAAAAATATTGATATCTACAAAGCTGCCTAACCCCATTCGTGAAACCCGGTTACAAAACTGGTTTTTATAACGATACCCTGTCTTAAGTTTTGGGCTCAGCCGGTCAAGTGTACCCAGTAACCCAGTACAAGGAAACTGGTCTAGTCTTTACTTGTAAAGTTGTACCAGCCGGTCTAGTGTACCCAGTAACCCAGTACAAGGTTGACCCAACGTGTTCTCAAGGATCATTCATTTCACTGGAGATCATTCAGGCAGAATTGTATACAGTGGATTTATCGAGTTTTGTGGAAATTTAAGAAAATAATAAGGATGGGAGTGAAAGAGGGAAAGGTGGAAATAAAGGAAGGAGGGGTGGAATAGAATGGAAGATAATGAGGGAAGGGAGGAAAAGAATGGAAGATAATGAGAGAAGTGAGGAAGAGAATGGAAGATAATGAGGGAAGGGTGGAATAGAATAAAAGATAATGAGGGAAGGGTGGGATAGAATGGAAGATAATGAGGGAAGTGTGGAAGAGAATGGAAGATAATGAGGTAAGGTTGGAATAGAATAGAAGATAATGAGGGAAGGGTGGGATAGAATGGAAGATATCGAGGGAAGGATGGAAGAGAATGGAAGATCATGAGGGAAGGATGGAAGAGAATGGAAGATAATGAGGGAAGGATGGAAAAGAATGGAAGATAATAAGGGAAGGGTGGAATAGAATGGAAGATAATGAGGGAACTGAGGAAGAGAATGAAAGATAATGAGGGAAGGGTGGAAGAGAATGGAAGATAATGAGGGAAGGGTGGACGAGATTGGAAGATAATGATGGAAGGGTGGAAGAGAATAAAAGGGTGGAAGAGAATGGAAGATAATGAGGGAAGGGTGGAAGAGAATGGAAGATAATGAGGGAAGGGTGGAAGAGAATGGAAGATAATGAGGGAACTGTGGAAGAGAATGAAAGATAATAAGGGAAGGGTGGAAGAGAATGGAAGATAATGAGGGAAGGGTGGACGAGATTGGAAGATAATGATGGAAGGGTGGAAGAGAATAAAAAATAACGAGGAAAGGGTGGAAGAGAATGGAGGATAATGAGGGAAGGGAGGAAGAGAATGGAATATAATGAGGGAAGGGTGGAAGAGAATGGAAGATAAGGAGGAAAGGGTGGAAGAGAAAGGAAGATAATGAGGAAAGGGCGGAAGAGAATGAAAGATAATGTGGGAAGGGTGGAAGAGAATAAAAGATATGAAGGGAAGGATGGACAAGAATGAGAGAAGTATTGGCTAGAAAAAGGAAAGGATGGAAGAGACTGCGAGAAGGATTGAAAAGAAAGAGGATAGGATGAGAAATAATGAGAGAGAATAAGGTGAGAGTTGAAAAGAATGAGTAAAGGATGGGAGAGAATAAGGGGAAGGAAAGAATGAGGAACAAAAAGGAGAGAATGAGATAAGGGTTAGAAAGAATGAGGAAAGGATGGGAAAGAATGAGGAAAGGATGGGAGAGAATGAGATAAGGATGGAAGAGAATGAGGTGAGGGTACGTAAGAATCAGGGAAGGGTGGGGGAGAATGTGGAAAAAACATGGGATAGAATTAGGTAATGGTAGGTAAATGTGGAAAAGATGGGAGAGAATATGGGAAGGATGGGAAAGAATGAGGTAAGGATGGAAAAGAATAAGGTAAGGATGGGAGAGAATGTGGGAAGGATGAAAGAGAAGGAGGTAAGGATGCATGAAAGAATAAGGTAAGGATGGAAGAGAATGTGGGAAGGATAGGAGAGAATGAGATGAGGGTAGGTATGAATGTGGAAAGGATGGGAGAGANAGGGGAAGGAGGTAAGGATGCATGAAAGAATAAGGTAAGGATGGAAGAGAATGTGGGAAGGATAGGAGAGAATGAGGTGAGGGTAGGAAAGAATGTGGAAAGGATGGGAGAGAATGGGTGAGGGTAGGAAAGAATATGGAAAGGATGGGAGAGAATGAGGTGAGGGTAGGAAAGAATGAGGGAAGGATGGGAGAGAATGAGGTGAGGGTAGGAAAGAATGAGGGAAAGATGGGAGAGAATGAGGCGAGAGTAGGAAAAAATGAGGAAAGGATGGAAGAGAATATGGTAAGGGGTAGAAGGATGGAAGAATAGAAGGCTGAAAGAGAATGAAATAAGAATTGGAGAGAAAGGATGAAGAATGGAAGAAATTGCAGAAAGAATGGAAAAAGTTCTAGGACAATTTTTTAAAATTTCATGGTAGCCCTTGAGAAATGATTTTACAGTCTAAGAGTGCGTGTTTAAAAGCTACCAATGTCATCTATATAGCATAGTATTTTAACATATAGTTAGAGCTTATGTCATGTCCGAGTTGTTTTGAAATAAACTGTCTCATTGAAATGTCTCATTTAAAAACTCTCGAACAAGTTTCCTACAAATGATATTTATACTTTCAATTTACAACGTTAGGTCAACGAAAGAGTTATACAAAAAAAATAAAGAACAAACCTCCAAAAAGATGGGTTTGTGTAAGCAAATGTTGAATAAAAATCTCAAAACCACGGGCAGAATATGTAACTTTTGTATTTTTAACAGTTTTTGAAAATAAAACTAGGATAGGATTAAACGTGATAGCACGCTTTAGGATTTAAACTGGGAACAAAATGTTATCTCTATATAAGATATTTTTATTCTATAAAACTAATTAAATCTATAAAATGTTGAGACTAAAACAAGGATGAAATATAACAACCAGCTGATATAAAAAACCGCAATGTTTGACGCACAAATAAATTACTAAGTGTAAGTTTTAGTAAAATAATTATTTGATTATGTAAATATACATCCTGCAATAGCATGCATCGGTCAAAAATCAACATTTTAATGAAATTAAACACATTAATTATTCAAATTTACAACTAATTTCAAAATCAAAATTTTTGCCTTGAAAAAAATTTTGATCCGCGTCTTGATAATCGCATGTGAAAAAAACATAATCAAATCACTATTTTCTCAGTTCTTATTACAAAAAAATATGAATTAATTTCAGAAACAGAATTCTAGGTCGAAAGCAAAATATTAAACATAAAATTGAACCAGCACAGTGAACACGTAAAAGGGTTAGATTTTTCTTTCGGGATCTTTCGGCATCATGCCTCTTTAAATGGAGGGTCACTTAAAATTACAGAGACAGTCCCTTTAAAAGAGCGAGGAGCGACAAGAATGCATTTTATGTTAAAAATTAATTCTACAGAATTGATTAGAATTTTTGTTAAAACTATTCTAGGTTTATCCTATAAGAAGACCGCGGGTATGTTTTGCCCCAATGTTCCGTTTACGGGTTTCAGGTCTGTTTCTCTACCAGGGGAACCAGGGCCAACAGGGGGGAGGGTCCATGGTAAAAAAAATATTTTATATGTTGAAAAAAGTATATTTTTTTGCAAAAAAAAATTAAATATTGTAACTGTAAAGGTAGATTATTAAAAATGTCTCGATTTCTGAATAGTTCATCTAGTTTTAGAAAAAAAAAATTAAATAGAAAAAAAATAGAAAATACTGTGTAGACTGCAGGTGTAAAATATGTTTCCCCTGAATCAATACTCTCCTGGAATATGTTAATATTTAATCTAAAATTATTTTTACAAAATTACGGGTCCGGCCGGGTAATAAAAACGTTGGATTGGGATTCATTAGTGCAGACCCAAGCTTTCAAACATCCAATAAAAATACAGGGAACTCCGGAGTGAGACGGTAGGATCGGCCGAACCGTGCCGACAGTCGCGGATTTCCTCCTACTCAGGCCAGGTTCAAATTCTTATACTTTGTCTAAAAAGTCTGGTACAGTACACACCAATCGATTCAAGTCTATAGGATTACGAACAAAATATTTTGAAAAAATTTCTTCATTTCCTAACATTTATTGTGATGACATAGACTATAACTATTTGATAATAAAAGATGTTTTAAATCACAATTATAACTTTGTAAATTTGTTGTTAAACATTTATTTTTTACCTCTTCTTGAATTCTGGCTGTATTGATCGCCCTGAAAGTCACGTGACCCGCGGAAAATTCCTATTGGAGGATAGAAAAGGATCGGGCCGCGGTTCAAACGCCCGGAGTGGTAAATTCGAATTTCTCATTGGCTGCAGAGAAAATGCTATGAAGTCGGGATTGACGAACCCGACCCGACCCAGTTCAGTCTGTATTCAGCGTTTCTCATCTCTTAGTGTTTTCATAGTGTTTTCTCTGTGTTCCGCTTTGTCAGAACGGATATATGTGTAATTTCAAGAAAGTTACTTTAGTCTGGGAGGTTTTTATTTTAGGTAAATTATTTCAAAAACGTTTATTAACAACATTTAAAACAAATTTCTTTTGATGATTACAGGCCTGTAGTGAGGGAGTGGGGGGGG